CAACGTGTGCAGGGGAAGCTTGGAGATGTCTATCCCATCGATGACTATCTTTCCTGTTGTGCAGAAACAAACGCCACAGACATGTGGCAAACTCAGGAGAGAGATTTCATCCTTTGAATAATTAAGATTGTTCTCCCTTACTCTCTCCCACCTTCGCCTGGCCACAAGGCCCTGGGCACAGTCCCCAGTTCCACCAGTGAATGAATTAATAAGGGACTCTTTTTTTTTCCAAGTTCTGGGTCGAAACACAAAATGCAAAGCTTGCCATTTGTGTATCAGAAACATGTGTGTCTGAGAAAATGTACACTTCTGGGGAGATTTGTCTTCCTGACATATTTTCCCCTGAAGGAACGCTCTGTTATTTATTCAGTATTTGGCCATGGAAGGCCGGATCACTCTTCTCCTTTGAGTCCTCCGTCTTCTAGAATGCCTTTATCTTCCCTTCCTGTCTTATTTTGCTTTGTAGGATTTGTTGGAATCAGGCACCATGTACATATTTACTTATTTTTTAGTGTCTAGCTCCACACATGCAAGTTCCCTGAAGACAAAGCCTTTGGCCTGTCACCCACTGCTGGAATGAATAGTGCAAGGTATGGATAGGAAAGCAAGTTCAGATGTTGCCTAGGCAACCCACATTGTCTGTAGACTTACAGGACTGCACATCCTTCATGTCCCCTTTACCTGAGAGATTCATTTCTTCAACTTTGCCACGCAAAGGCAATGTTCCTTGGGAGACAAGTATGATGCACTCGGAATGGCGGCTGCAGCCCATTTGGTAACTAGCAGGGGCTTATCCGACCGGAAGCAAGGGACATGAGCAAACGTGTTTTTTTTTTCAGGGATGACACACTATTAGTATATTAATCGACCCCTGCTAATAAAGGCATCAAATTAGTTATAGTTCTCAGGGGACCTGAAGTCACATTTGTTGATGCCTGAGGGTCAGGCTGACCAAATAAGCTCAGCCACAACCACGGTTTTGTTAAATGAAAACCATCCATCAGTTGTCTTTGGACCATGTAATTGCCTGGAAACACAAACTCTGCTGAAGGTGTTGCCCATCATGGAATGAACAAGCCACTATCTAGCCTGGTGGTGGATGCTTACTTTGCCACTAAATTCCCCTCATTCTAATTTCTATCGCACATGCGCCCCCCATACACATTTTGAGACAGGTTCTCTCTATTATGTAGTTCTGATTGCCCCAGAGCTTACTGTGTAGAACAGGCTGGCCTCAAACTCACCGGGATTTACTTCCCTCTGCTTCCTGAAGGCTAGAATTAAAGGCGTGTACCACCATGCCCAGATACAGTTCAGTTTTGTTGTTCACAAACTGATCTTTTATCTCAAGGTTGTTTTATAGATTAAGTTAAATAACATAAGCTGCCAAGTGCAATAAAAGTACAAAGTACTATAATTATCGATATAGTCAATACAGACAGTAGTAGCAATCATTTCCTGGGTTAAAGGTCAGGGTCATTGCTGGAGACCCTTTCATTCAGAGTGCCTTATGTGTTGGCCTGCTTATAGCCACTTGATAAACTAAAAACCTGACATTATTTTTCTAAAACAAAGATGAAATGATTTCTGCTGTTATAGTACATGATTAAATATTTCTGGATATTGTGGACATGATTTTAGCATTTTACAGCAAGGTTTGTCTACACCCAAAACATTCAGCATTATTAAACTGTGCTATTAAGAACACAACTACAAAGGTCACACAGTTAAATTACGAGTGCAGATTACTTATTTCTGTGTAATTTTTTCCCTCAGTAGAGAAAGACGTATTTGTAATGTGCCTTCCCTTTCTTTCCTCTCAAACTTTCACCCCATCTGCTGCTGTGGTGGCTGTGTTCATCCTGCGAGTTTATCACAACCCGTTGGCAGCTGTCACTAGCTTCATCTTGGATTATCACTTCATTTTCCAGTTCTGTGTTCTTTCGTGATCTTTGGGGTGCCTGCCTTGACCCATGAGCAGGATATGAAGTCCAGATAGATATTTGCTGTTTGTTTTTGCATAATTAGGCAAATTGATTTGGATTTATTATTTTATTTCTTTAGTGTGTGTGTGTGTGTGTGTGTGTGAGTGTGTGCTTGTGTGCACACACAGATGCTCGAACTATGGGTCGCGTGAAAGCTCGAGGACAACCTGTGGAGTCAGTGTCTCTTTCCACCCTGTAGGTCCTGAGTACTGAATCCAGGATGTCAGCCTTGGGGGCAAGCACATTGACACTCTGAGTCATGAAAGGCCGCCTGGATGACAAAAACACTTAGTATCTCACCGTCAAATATGTCGACCATTCTGAAGAATGCCAGAGACAAGGACGACTTCCCACTGCCAGTGCGACCACAAATGCCCACCTAAGAAAAGCAGGAGCAATGGTGACTCAGACGGAGGCGTCAAAGGGATCAAGGGTATTCTTACTTTAGTCAAGATATCGTGGAAAAAAGTACAAATTTGCTCAAATAATTGTGTCACAATTTTCTTCTTAGATCTCATGAATTACGATTAAAAATAAAGTCCCCACTAAATGAATGACTTCATCCTGGTTTTTACTTCTGTGTGACTGCGTTGTTTCCCCCCCGTGGCTTCATTTCAGCACCAGCCTACAGTTGGACCTTCACGTAAGTGTCCAGTTTTAGCTGAGCAGAGATGGGTTTACAAGAACGAGTCCACTTTCCCTACACATTTATTTTAAAACTGGGATTAAAAGGAATCATCCCAGAGCACATCTAGAATGGAGGCAAAGGTCACAGAGTGTCTAGCACAGCTCTGAGCCAGGAGTCAGAAATTTTAAGCAGTGTGCCTGGTGCTGACCACTCTGATTTTGATGAGGGGCCAATGAAGGGGGAGTAACTCTGGGAGCATTGGGTGTCCTGCTCAGATCCCCTCTCCCCACTCCTCTTTTCACCCACAGCGTATGCGGAATGAGAGTCTGGGCTCCCATGGTGGGTGCCGACATGGAGATGGGTGTTCCCGTGGTGGTGGGGGCCCCACCAGAGATTTATGCAGACAAAGAATCAGATGGTGGCGAATCCCATACCTTCTGCCCAGGTTTGATGTAAGCCTTGACGTGTTTCAGAACGGGCTTCAGGTTATTTTCATATCTGACACATAGATCATGAATCTTGATCTCGCCTTCCTGTGGCCAATGTTCTGGAACTTGAGAAGGATCTGGGGGTAGTAGAATAGACAATAGTAGTTAAGAGATAGATGAAGAAAGAAACACACACACTTAAGTATGTGTACGACTTCCAGGAATAATGTATGTATGTATGTATGCACGTACGTACGCATAATTTTCCCTAAATTCATTGTAATACTGAAACAAACTATGGTAGCTTTTCTAAAAAATTGAAATTGCATTCAAAGTGAACAAAGTTGAGAATTTTAAGGTTTTTTTTAAGTTATTTTCTTTCCTTTAAGTTTAGTTTTTGAAACTTCCATGTAGATACACAACTCCTAGCTTTTTTGGCGTCTCAGCATTCAGTGCTATTCAAACTAAGTAAAGATAGTTTATCCATGGACTGATGCACAGGTGAGTGGGTCCCCAAAGCTTCTGATGTGAGAGAGCATCCGTCATTTGAAGATGAGAGGCATGGCTTGCTATGTCCCTGGGAGGCAGACATGAAGTCAGCATCTGCGGTTCCCGGTGAACACTCACATGGGGAGGTAAAGGCAAAGGACTCTGGGAGCACAGAGGGTGGAGATCTGGGGAATCCAGGGGGACGTGAAGTAAAATCAGCTCTTGAGATGAATCTCAGGAAACTGATTTCACGTGTGTATAAGAGAAGAGAAAAGGCAAAAGGAAAACGTGCGGTGATATTGTGTCTAGGGAAGACGTGTGTGTGGGTGGGTGAGAAATGGGACTGGGCAGGTGGTGAGAGTCACCCAGTGGCTTTGGCTACAACCGGCACCATGCAATTTACCAGCCAGAAAGCCACTGAATGACTTAGGCAAAAAAAAAATGCATTTGACTGAGATTTGCATCTAATGTAGGTCATCCTGTGTCTATCACCAACGTCCTGGCAGTCATTCTAACAGACTTGAGAACCTTGCTTAGTACTTTCAAGTTTTCTTATGTTTAAGTTAACAAGGCTATAAGGAAGAGAATACAATGTAATAAGGCCCCAATACCTCAACAATCCTTTCTAAATAGTATTGAATAACATCTACTTAGAGTCTACTTGCATCCAAGACTAAATTTTTGCTTATTCTCAGCTGCTAATATCAAGAAATATCAACATAAAAAGGGATCTAGTGCATGCATACATACATACATACATACATGCATACATACATACTGCCGTCACTCAGAAGACAGAGGCAGGATAATCTTGAGTTCAAGGCAAGCCTGGGCTACATACACGTAACATGCTTCACAACCCCTAACTCCAATGACCATAAATAAACGAATACATAAGTACAAGTAGGAAGGAAAGAAACGGAGGGACATAAATCAAGACGAGAAGGGATTCCCTTGGTATTAAAGTGACAAAGAAAAGCCAATGCAAAGTTCCCAGAGCAGTCCCGGTCACACACCCATGGTGCCTTCGTAGTTCTCAGACTCCATAGTCAAGAAACTGTTCACTTTCTTCACCGCACCCATCTGGACCTCCAAGTCAGCCAAGTTCCGCACAACCCAATTCAAATAATTGGTTATCTGTATCAGGTGACAAAAACGATCACATTTAAAATAGGTTAGCAATTCTCATGGTCACTGAGCATCTGGGGGACAGAATGGCCTATGCAGTGTCCACCACATGCTCCATTTTGTGAGTACTGCAGGTCAGCAGACACCAGGGGGAGCATCATGAGACATCAGTAGAGAAGGTACGTGTTCTTCAAAGCTCTCCCGTGTCTCTTTCATGAACTGCTCTCTGATCCCCCCACATGTGGAACTGATTCCCCTCATGCTAGTCTCGTTTATATCCACACCCATTTTATTGCCCCAATTGGGATGTAAACAAGACATGGATCTTGAACAACCTCAGAAATAGGATGCCTGTGGGATTGAGAAGGTTTTAAGAAACTAGCATTAATACTAGAAAGGAATCTAAGGGACTGGGAAATGCGTCAGTCTGCAAAGAACTTGCTACACAAGCATGGAGACATGGGTTTGGATCCCCAGCACCCACATAAGAGGCTGGGTATAGTGGCATAAGTCTGTAACTTCAGCACTGGAGAGGCAGAGGCAGGAGAATTCCTGGGGCTTGCTGGCCGGCTGGTCTAGCCAAATCCACAAGCTCCAGGTGAGAGAGCTTTTCTCAAAAAGTAGTGATACAGGAAGACACTGACCTGTGACCTCCATGATACAAGTGCACACACTTCTACGTGACCTGCTCGCACACATGAACACATACACCCCCCCAAAAAGAAAAGACACAGGAGGAGAGAGGCCTCAGCAGCTGAGAGTACATAGTGCTCTTGCAGAGGGGGAGTTTGATCCACAGCATTTATGTTGGGGAGGGGTCCTCAACTGCCTGTATCTCCAGCTCTAGAGGATCTGACATCCTCTTCTGGCCTCTGAGAACACCTGCATCCATGCATGCACACATGCACACAATAACAACACTGTCAAAAATCAAATAAAATCTTTAAGGTAAAAAGGAGAAAATTTAATCTAAGCTACCTGCCCTAAAATGTTAGCGGTAGGCTCAAATCTCCTATTATGTGTCAATGCCATGTCATAAATTTCAAATTTCACTAGTGTCCATGAAAGAGAGTTGATAATCGCCGTGGACAGTTCCTCCGGCGTTGCACGGGAAGAAAGATACCGGCATCGGTACCTACCGTGAGGGCGTACAGAAGCCCCAGACCCACTAGTCCAGAGTTGGAAGATCCGCTGATGGACGCGATGGATGCTGTGAGGACGATGCAAGCTCCCAGGTAGTCCTGGGAAGGGGAGAGACAAGCTAAATGAGCTGAAGATTCCCCTGCTGCTAAACCAAAGACGTCAACCAGCTCAGAGACAGTAACCAGTCAGTGGAAAAGGACACTGTCGCCTGAGTGTCTGGTCAAGCTTCAGATGCACGATTCCTCAGAGGTGCAGGGAGGAAGGCTTGGGAAGCGGAGGTTGGAATCAAGAGTGGCATCGTATAGATCAGAGGAGACAGGGGTTACCTGAAGAGAAGCTGCAGTTGCTGTCCCAACCAGAATCAGATTTAGTCCCCCTTCTTTCCATATACATGCTTTTTTGACAGACAAGTAGTTATTTTCTAGCGTTGACATCACGCACACTTGTGTAGTGGTTACCACAGACCCCTGTGTCAGAATAAAGCCCTCACAAGTGGGTCTCTGGTGCTTGATGGGGTCTGGAACTGATTATTTTGCCAATTGAGTTCATGTCTGGGACATGAGATTTGCAGATCATGTAAATGATGATAAGGGCTGAGTTTGCTCATACGTTAAGAAGCATATGCACGTCTTAAAGCTACAAACTTTCCTGTGACTCAACGATAGATAAAGCCCTTTTGCAAGACTTACAAAAATTAAATTCGCGAGGGCCAGTCTTGGATTCAACTAAATCACATCTGCCCATCTCCTCATACCCCTTCTAATCCCATTTGCCGGCTGGGTGAGGGACTTCTCTGCCTTACTGAGCCCATGTGTCACTTGTTCTAGAGACAGGGAGACTTTGAGATGTTGGTCTTTCCCTGATCATAAGTTACAGCCAATTGGAGAATTCCTTCTGTGGCTAGATCTCTCCAATCTCTCTAAAAGACATCTACCCACTGGATGATAAGACCAGTGATAATAATAAAACATTTAATGTGCTACAATCAAAGAAGGAAGCGTCTCTAGTAGCTCCCTGTGCACACCGGTGCCTGAATCCAACAGCTGTAAACATTCCACTGCTGCAGAGCCTTCCATGAGTCCAGCCTTGATACCAAAGAGTGTTTGAATACCGGCTTTGCCAGTTAATGGCTAGTGAATTCAGATAACTAATTTCGATGCCTTTGACTCTAAATGCCGCTGCGAAAACTAGAAATTATGCCTAGCTTACAAAAACATCACAAGGCATGAAGTCATAGTCATGTTTCCCCACCCCTGGGAATCGAGATGGTTTTTAGTTCTGAATAATTTTCAAATGTTCGAAGCAAGTTTTAGAAACCTGCGTACATCATAGAATACCAGAGGTCAAAGCATGCACAAAGATATAATTCCACATCAGTTCCCATAGTAGTTACAAAGGAATTTTTTTTAAAAAAAAGCAATCACATAGAGCGAACCTCTTGAGGCAGCAAATATCGCTGAGTAGTAAATTCCTCTATGATTGCCGCTTCTGCCATAGCCAATGCTAACAGCTTACCATATCCAGTCAGTTCTTCACGTCCCACCCTTTGCTTGAAGGGTAACTGCAGGAGTGCAGAGCCTATCTAGTCTAGACTCTTTTACTGTTTGCAAATGCTGACAAGTTCCCAAGTACTTTGAAAGCATCCATAGCGATAGGCTTTTCCCCTAAGCACTCTGAAAAATTCCTTGTTTCAACACAATGTGGCATGTTCACAAATCACATAACATCTTTTCTAAGGAGGGGAGGGGGAGAGAACTGGGATTGATGTGTAAAACAAGATTGTTTCTAATTTACATAAAAAGGATTCACAAAGAGGCTGGAGAGATGGCTCAGTGGTTAAGAGCACTGGCTATTCTTGTAGAGGACCCAAGTTTGATTCCCAGCACCCACACCGAGACTCACAACCACTTACAACTCTAGTTCCAGGTATCATAGGCCCTTGTAAGCACTTCATTCACATGCACACACACACACACAACTTTTTAATTTTTAAGAATAAAATAAACACATAGATTGCCCATTCATAAGGGAGAGCCCAACCACACTAAATCATCTGTCTAGTGCCAAATTATAATTTTCTGTGTGTGGTTTTTGGTGCATAGGGACTTGCAGGTAGGGGTGTGTGTATGTGTGTGTGTTTTTGTGTGTGTTTGTGTGTGTAAACCTAAGCTCAATCCAGGCACTCTTTATCCGGTGCTGTCCTCTTTGTTTTAAGAAATGTTCTGGAACTCACCAAGTAGGCTAGGCTGGCTGACCAGAGAGCCCAGGGATCTGCCTGTCCTCACCTCCTCATTTGTGAGATAACAAGTGCACACCATAATGCCAGGCTTCTTACAAGGGCTCTGGGGGGAGTGGGGGCTGAACTCAGGTCCTTGTGTTTCCAAGCTGTTTACCAATGCAACGGGAGCTGGCTCCCCAGCCACCCTGGAATGATAATCTCTCCTGGTTGGGTAAAGCCAATGTTCCTGGAATAGAAGCCCTTGATTCCCATTGCCCAGAGAGAAGCTTCAGGTCCAATGTCAGTGAGTCCACAACACCCATCTGTACTGGGGCTTACAATGAAAACTGTAACTCTCCGTAGAACAGACGTGTGAGCAGTCAGTAGCAATGAACACTGCATGTTCTTCTGTCCTCCAAGCAGTCCTCATAACTGTGTCTCCTCTCTAGCACTTGGGGACAAGGAACTGATATGAGGGACTCAGATTACAGTGTGATTGCAGGCCTGTCTACCGGGCAGCTGGCAACAGAAAGTTCACTGCTGTCTCACCTAACAGGCTGAAGGCAGACTAACCAAGTCTTTGCACTTTCGCGTGCCTACTGACTTTCTGGTTGTTTGTTTTGGCTTCCTGATGAGAATTTTCTTTGAGCTGTCCACCACACAGCACGACAAAGCCTTGGAACCAAAGCCTCTAGATAGACTTACACAGTTTTTTGCAAATGGAAACGCTGATGCCAGAGAACTGGAATTGTTTAATATGGAGGGATGAAGGAAGGACGTAAGCTGTGTCCAAAGGCCAGGCCCTGGGGACACACACAGAACCCTGGCCACTTCACTCGACACTGATAGGAAAACAGCTCCTTCCACTGCCAAAGCAAGCAGGGTGGCCGCCGTCTTGCTATTAGTCTGCCAGTCAAGTCACTTTATCCCTTAGATACATCCCCCTCTGACGAGTTAAAGCCTTGGTCATTCTTTTCCCAATCTAAGCAACTAGGGAATGAACGTGGTGGGGGATGAAATCTTCCATACTGAAACACAGAACCAAGGAAAGATAATAATGTGGATGGCCTTACGTCTTTCCATTTCTTCTTTTCTTTTCCCGTGGATGTGTGACGGATGGGTGTGATGTGTGCATGTGTGTGTGTTTGCATAAAGGTACCTGTGTGTGTGTGTGTGTGTGTGTGTGTGTGTGTGTGCGTGTGTGTGTAGGCATGTGCATTTACTGAGGCAGAGTCCTCCAGAACCTGCTAACTCATCCAGTCTAATTAGCTTGTCTGAAGATCCCTTCTCTGTTGCTGGAGTTTTCTTGTCCTACCAGGTCCCGCTGCCCTTCAGACCCAAATAAACACACAAAGATTTATATTCACTATAAAACTGCTGGCCGATGTCTAGGGCTTCTTATTGGCTAGCTCTGTCTTAATTATTAACCCATTTCTATTAATCTATTTATCTTCACATGGTCTTGGCTTACCGGAGAATGCCCAGACCTGTTACTCCTTTGGCGGCTACATGTCTCTCTCAAGGCACCTCTCTGACTACCTTTTCCGAATTTTCCTTGTCTCCTAGTCCCACCTATTGGCCATATTGGCCAAACAGTGTTTTATTCATCAACCAATAAGAGAAACACATATACAGAAGGACGTCCCCATCACCTCTCTGCTTCTCCCGTGCTGAGATGACAGGTGGCGAGCACACCTGACAGGTGGCGTGCACACCTGCTGTTCTAGCATCCAAACTCTGCCCTTTAGATGTATGCGGTGGCATTTTATCCATTGATCCCTTACCTATTGATCCCTTATCTATTGATCCCTTATCTATTGCTCCATCTCTTCAGCGTCAGGGTTTTCTTAACTCTCATTCAACATGAATGGAGAAAGAAGCAAGCACCCATCATTTACTAGACAAAATTTTAAAGTTGGATGGAGCCCAGGGACCCTTTCCCAATGCAACAATCTCCACCTGCTCTGGTTTCTCTCCCTCCTCGTTGGGGTTTTCTGCCAGCAGCAATGGTTGCGGGGAGGGGGCTCTAAAATCAAGAAGTAAGTAGGGGGCAGCCTTGGGGAACACTGAGGTCGGGCTTTCTCCTTTCTGCATTGAGGCTCCCAGTCCTCCTGGAGGCTTCAGGGAAAAGCTGACTGGGTAACTGCTGCCCAGTGCAGTGGCGCTTACACCATGCTGATGGTTATGTCTGTTCTGAGAACCTGGTGAGTACTCGCCCCGTGCAGACATTCCTGTGGATTTCCTGGGCCCTGGGTAGTAAGAGGGGCAGGAAGGACTATGTGAATGGGGCAGATAAGGTAGATACAGATTTTTGGGGGGGTCAAATGAAGGCCCTCCTGGCTTATTTTCCCTACCCTCGGAGGATTTACAAAGCACGGTGTGTGTAGCCGTGGGGCTGAGAGCAACTTCCACCCTCATCATCTCCAGGATCCCGATTCCAGAGTTCATCTTTCTGACAGAAAACCCAGTTGTGTGAGGCTGCAGTTGTGGGTATAGATGCTCACGGTAATGAAGCCACGTGGGGGAAACACACTTTTTTCCATGGTAGAACTCACACGCCTGACTTATCCAACAGCACACCTCTGGCATACGCTCCGTAGCTGCAGCACATAGTTAAAATTATTTTATTTATGCGTTTTACCTGTGTATATGTCTTTGTACCATGTGCATGCCTGGTACCTGAGGACCAGAAGAGGACATCCGACTCCCTAGAACTGGAGTTGGGGGCACTTGTGAGCGGACTTGGGGGTGCTGGGGATTGAACCAACGTCTACTAGAAGAGCAAGCAGAGCTCTCTCAACAGCTCAGCCATCTCTCCAGCCCCTGCGTTAGTTTTTGTGGGGGAATTCTACTCACGAAAGCAGCCTAGTGAATCTGCATTATATACAAAGAGGAGGTTAAACAGCAAATGTATTCCATGAAATGTCTAACCAAGGAGTTAGGAAATTGTGGAATGAAGGACAGAGTCTGCCCCCGACATTTAAAAGTAATCCCTTCTTTAGTCTTCCGGTAAACTGAATTCTTCTACACCCAGGTACATTTGGTTGCTCCTTCGTGTGGGGGTTACAGTGCTGGGTCAGACGGAGTCATTTTGAGTTGGCTGCCATTCTTTCCTAGCTCGCCCTGCCCTGTTTCTTGGCAGTCTCCGGCCTAATGTCTTATTCTGGCTCTAAGAACTGAGCATGTGGTTTGCATGAAGACTTTTGTCTTACACTTGTCTGTGAACCTGTCACTGGGGAGTGCTAAGGACAGAAGTCATAGTCAGACATCTCAAGTCCACAGAGAATGGACTTACCCCTAAAGTCACGCCTGATCTCCAAGCTAGGGAAAACCAGACTCACAGGCAACTACTGTCATTGTCTCCTTACGATCCTGAAAATCCACTCGCTGAGATAGTTTGTTGGTTCTACTATTCAGATATGATACTTCCCCTTAGAGAAAAACAGGGATTTTTTTAAAGAAGAAAGCAAACAGAAGCTTAAAACAAATAATGCTGGTTTGGATGGTCTGGTAATAATGCTTGGGTTTCATTATAGATCTGTGCAATAATTTACTTCACTTTCAGTTATCTGTAATTCCTAAGCAACTCTGTCCTGATTTTTCCAACCTCACAGTCAGGTGAAAGATGGTTCATTGGTTGTTTTCATTGACTAATTCTTCTTTGAAAATTTTTTATAACATAATAATGCTCTATTGCTCAGTGAGCTCTCTACAGCCACAAACACAGGGGTAAATATCTTTGTCAACCAGTGAGAAATCACAGTAACTGAAAGACACAGGTCACCCATGTCAATCTACAGCAATCCATTTGAACCCATCAAGTCTCCATTATCATCTACCCCTCTGGTTACTGGTTTTTAAAAGAAAATCTGCATTTGGTTGGGGAAACAAATCACCAGAGAAGGTGCTTAGCTTTAACTGTCAACTTGACACCACCTGGGATCACTTGGAAATAGTCTCAGTGAGGGATTGTCTGTACTGGATAGTCCTGTGGGAAACAGAGGTGGAAAGTCCCATGCCACTGTGGACAATACTAGTCCCTAGGCAGGTGACCTGGAATGTGCAACAGTGGAGAAATTAAGCTACATACCAGCAAGCCAGTGAGCCTATATGCACGCATTTACTTCTGCTCTTCACAGTGGGTGTGATATGACTAGGTGTCTGAAGTGCCTGCCTCCGTTTCCCAAAATGAGGGATAGTAATCTGCAATTGTCAGCTGAAATAAGCTCCTTTCTCCCCCAAATTGTCCATTGACAGGATATATTTTATCACAGCAACAAATCAAGCTAGAATAGCATACTAGGGCAATTACGTTATTTCCATTGTTATTTTAGTGGCAGATCCATGAAGTACATGTTTTATAAATAAAGGGGGATCTGAGACTGAAAGAAATTAATTTGGTATATGACGTCTATACAGTGCCAAAGTCTGTGCTTATTTCTATGGGTCACATAGGAGAGAAGACAGCAATAGATGACTTAGTCACTGATATTTTGTACTAACATAACTCTCCATTAGCTTAAAACAAAGAAAATCACCATCCCTTACAGGCTGCCTGAATCAGCAAAGGACGTGAGTGTATGTGGTCACTTTTCAAATTCTCTCTTTAAAAAAATGACATTATGTAAATATTTACCGTTCCATTAACTGAGGTAGGTCAGAGAATATAATGAACACAGAATGATTTTTGCTTTAGGGGCTACTTTTGTTGTGATTGGCTAAAACATTTTGATAGGTTAAATTTCAATTGGAACATAAACAAACCTGATCTATTTTAAAGTCCAGACAATGGAGGCCCCGTACTGAGGCTCAGCGGAAGGCTAATTCTACCAAGTGTCTGGAACACAGCGAACATACCGTCCTGACCTCCAGCCATCTGTTGGCAGCCGAGAGAAATAAGTAGGCAATGTTGTTCGTGTCTGTTAGCTCTAGCATGCGTTGCTTGAATCTGGTTTCATGCCTGCAGAAAACAAAAACACGACGATGTTAGCCACCTACCAGGAGACGTATTAAAAGCCCGTCATGCTTATCTGCTGCACAATTTCTTCAACAGAGTAACACATGGATGGATAGGTGGCAGCAAGTGGACCTCAGAACAGCTCTGCTGCATTCTGGATAAAACCCAAGGGGTCAAGTGTTTGCCCCCTTTTCCTGCCGCAACTAGGAAGAGAAGCCATTGCCATGACAAACCTTTATTAAAGGTTACTCTGTGATTCTACGAAATTGGAGGAGCCCTGTAAACAAGATCTGACTGGTGTCACAAGGGCTACAGAAATTGCAATATTTCCTACTTCCATCTGAGGCTGGACGGAGAACCAGTGAAGACAGAAAGTTGTGCATTTGTGAGAGGCAAATATATTCCTTCAAAATCCTTTTTGTTTGGCCTTTTGTTTAACCAAAGAAAGAAAGTAGGGTGCCATGGAACAGAGGGTTGGGGGTCTTGCAGATGACTGGTGAAGTACAGGGTCTGCTTACACTGACCCTATGATGAGGACGGAGATTTACACACTGGGGGAATGGGAAACCTAAATGGAGAAGCAGGGAGGGGAGAGAGGAGGGCAAAGCCAGGCTTCCACAAGCACAAGGAAGACGGTCTGTGAGTAGCTTTAGGGTTGAAGTTCTCAGGTGAACCAGGCATTGTAAGTAACTGTGAGTGACACGAGAGAAAGTCTGCCATCTCCCAGGGCTAGGAAGATGTCTCACCCTAATGGTCATGGTGATGGAGATACTGATCACTGAACAATTAAGCCCATCCTTGGTATTCAAAATAACCACATAAAATTCTGTGCAGTTTATTTTGCCAGCAGAACTAGGAATAACCTTCATGCAAGCACGCATACATGAGCATGTTTCAATCTGCCCTACACCCCAGTCTCTTGTACTAGCACATGCAATGAATCTATGCAGCGGAAAGCCTTCTCGAAATCGGGAACCACCTTGTGTACTTGAACATCAGGTGTGATTCCATAGACACACGTCCTGAAAAGCATCTTTTCTAAGCAACAGAAGTATCCTTACTTGGTAATGATTTTCCTTGAATAATGGAAACAACAGAGAGTTGGAAAACAGCTGGTTTGAAAAGTTGGTTACATGTCCAGTTAAGTGTGCTTTTTTCCCTCTCTGTGTTCAAGGCTGCTGTGACATAACCCATCTATAGATCATTTCTCGAAGGAATTTCCAACCTGTTAGTAAGTCTCGTTTGCTGAAAGGGTCCCCCACTCCTGTAAAATCTTCTAGGAAAGTTGCAAAACTTTTAAATAACTCATTACTTGTATCAAAGAGTGGAGGAGTCCTGGGTGGGGTGTCTCTTGGCCCACCATCAGAGTCCGTACAGGCCAATATAAAGCAGATACTTGATATCTCTCCAATCAATCTGACCATCCCAGCATGCCAAGCCAGATAGATAATTTGGTCAGACAGCAACGTCTGATCTACAGTGATCAGAAACATTCAGTACTGAGAGCCAAACCATTACTTCACTCTGAGTTATGTGGCCTTGAACTAAATGCCACGTCCTGGGAGACCTGCGCCGAAGAGTGGCAGCACTGTGGCTTGGGACTAAGCGGTTCAAGGGACACGTCTGCCTTCCAGACGACCTTGATGGATAACTGTAGCGCATTACGGACAGGCGAAGGGCTTGGGAGGTTGTAGGATCACCGCAGCAATGGGAAGGGGCTGTGAAGTATTTTGTGAGGGTCACACATGTGTGCTTCCCAGGGGAGTGCCAGGTAGACTGGGCGGGGGGGGGGGGGGGGGGGTGTTGGTCATATTTACATCTTCACACTCAACGCATTTAGTCAGAGGCCATTCTCCAAAGTGTGCTAGACTGTGGAGATACACAATGTTTTTCTCAGGGTTAGGAGAAACTGTATCAACTAGTGAGTCTGATGTAACCTGGGATCTTTCTTTAATGGACCCAAAAGCATAAAGGGGAAATGTACACTGGAGAACCAGGTACGGGTTGGGGAGAGGGAAGGTCTAAGCCAGGCTTCCCAGAACACAGGGAAGATGGTCCAGTGTAGTTTTAGGGGATGACACTGGGTTCCTCAGGTGAACAAGGCATGCTGAGCACCTCGGATGACAGGAGAAAAACCCACTGCTTTCCTGGCCTTGGCAGGCTTCTCTCCCCCGCTGGGCAAATGTATCCAAGAGGATGAAAGCTTGGGACCCACACTCTTAAACCTTGGTCCTGACAGCGTGCTCTGTCTGGACCTTCCCCTGCTGTGGTTGTCGAGTTCCATCCCCAACACTCCACACGTTTGCAAGGAACTGGCAGCAGCCTGAAGCAGCAGGGAGGAGGCGGGGAGAAAACCCAGCGAGCATTCCTTCTCTGTTTCCATTTGGCAAGGAACCTGCTATTTTCCTAATGGAAACTTTGACACACACAGCCTGTATCTTTTCATTCTCATCCAGCTCATCTTCTGAGCATTCTTAGACCTCTATTCTGTCAGACAGAAAAATAATAATAAAGCAACTGCAAAGGGCACTCACAACTTAGTCTAACTTAGCGGCGACGCTTTCCCTGTAAGCGACTAAACATGTGCATGCGTGCACCCTGAGCCCCCGGATGCAGAGCGAACAGATGGTCCAATCAGAAAAGACAACCTTGTGAGAGCTGGCCCAGGGAATGCTGGGTAGACATGGAAAGGAACAGATATGGGAAGTTGTGTGTTTAATTCTCTTTAAGTATTTTCTATGGTTTCTTTGAACTTTATTCGCATGTATGTGTATGTTTAGGATAAAGAAAAAAGTATTAGGCAGGCTTTTGTGAGCAGTACACAATATTTTTTTCCCTTTGGTTTTTACGAGACAGGGTTTCTCTGTGTTGTTTTGGAGGCTATCGGTCCAGTCCAGCCTCGAACTCACAGAGATCCGCCTGCCTCTGCCTCCGGAGTGCTAGGATTAAAGGCGTGCGCCACTACCGCCCGGCTGCAGTACACAATCTTAACCATTGTACATCTCTCCAGCCCACAAGAAGATGCTTCATCCCTGACTATGAATACTAACCCCAATGATTCTAGAAACTTATCCACAGCAAGCTGGCCATCACCGTCTTTTGAAAGTGCTTATTATGACTGAAGAACGCTGTTGTTTATAATATTTACGATTGACTTTTGGAATAAATATGAAAGCTCTAATTCTGGATGTAGACACAGACAAGCTACTTCTAGATAGAAGCTTCACCGTCTTTGTTTCTCACAACTGTGATCCAAGCGCAGAAGAGTAACACACAATATTTAGTTTTTCTCACAGCTGTCTAAAGTCTTTCTTGATGTACAGTTCACTGAACTCCGCCTCATGTGTCTAGTTAAAAAAGGGAAATTAACAAGTTGGACCTAGACCCCTGGTCCATTTCCTCTCCTTTTCTAAACCTTTCTCAAATTTTTCGTGATGCTTTCCCCGATTCCCATCCTTGGCAGTTTTGTAGTTCATCACGGGACACACGTCGTGTGCTCCAAGAAGGGGTGGCGGTTAGCTGTTATTTGCTGACAGGCGTTTGCGGATGGGTCTGCCCCCATGAGCCATCTGAATATGTGCTACTCACCTGAAGGCCCGAATGGTGGTGAGCCCTTCAGCCGTCTCCGAGAAGTGGCAAAGCAGGGGGAGCTGGGTGCTGTCATCAAGCTCCTGGAGATCCCTAGGACACAGAGGCAACAGGACATGTCACCTGCCTCCAGGTTCTGAGGCCACCATTGCAGGTTCTCAGACCCTGCACTTGGTCTTGTCACCATCCATCTACACTCCGCCTCTTAGCTACGTCCTCTGAATCGATGCGCTTAAATGAAGTGTGGACCCGTAACCCTGACACACCCGTCCTTTCTCTTCATCCTCAGAGTGTAGGCTTTGCTAACTGAGCGCTTCAATAAAAGAGTTACCATGACAAAATATAAATGCAAATGCAATAATGAAATAATCTTGATTCGGAACGGATGAATTGGTGAAAGTAACTCTGTGAAGGGTATGGTCTTCTTGTTGTTATTGTTTGGGGGAGGAGCTGGTTTACTGAGAAGGCATCTAATGTAACCCAAGCTGGCCTTACAACGTCACTGGCGAAAACACTGCAACCTGGATCCTCCTGTTTCCACCTACCATGTGCTGGGATTGCAGGCATGTGCAGCCGTATCCGGCACGAGGATATATAGTCTTGTAAGGGTGACGCTGGACTGTAGAGAATTCTTAACCAAATGAAAATGCCACCAAACAGAAGTGACATGAGAAGAGCTGAGCCTCATTAGTAATGCAAAGAACGAGAGAGGGATGAGTTAGGACAGTCTAGGGGAGGAGTCTTTAAAGTTCTGAGTTAGTAAGATGCTAATCACTTTAAAAGAAGAGGGGGAGTGATGGTGGGAAGTTGGTTGGTAGAGGGAGCTTCATGAGCGACCATGATGCATTAGTTATACCAAAGTCACTCGGCTGCTTCCAGTTAAAACGTAACTGCTACTTACCAGTGCTGAAGGACAGAGAGAGAGAAGAGATCAGAGGGGGAAATTGACCATGGTTTTGGCGCTGGCCACAGTGAGTTGAATACCTGTTTCCAAGGAACTTTCACTGTTCCAAGGAGCTAACACCCGTGTCCACACACACATATATACATGTCTCCATAGCCTACTCAAAAATAGAAATACCTCAGGTTGGTCAATGGAGCCCTTTTCACAAAGATGTGTATTCATGAATTTTCTTTTAAAGGTATTTCACTTGTCTGTTTGTGTAGGAGCTCAATGTGCATCCCAGGTTGGCCTCAAATGTACAGTGATTCTCCTGCCTCAGCGTCCCATCCACCAGAGTGACGGGCATTCATACGCCTGCCAAGACCAACAACTTTAAGTCTTACAGGCTTACATTTCTAGAAGACAGGACTGAGTTAAACCAACTGTCAGAAAGCATTTCTCTTTTTTCTTCCTCTTTCTGCAGTTCTTGGGGTCATGGGGGGGGGGTCTGGAGGCCCTTCCGTTCACGTGTGAGCATCCAGTGAATTGATAAGTGCTGTGCCTCAGCCACAGGGGCCATTCTTAATTGGCCGTGTAATCCCACAGACGAGTGCAAAGGCTTCTCCTTCTGAGTTCCTGAGGACTTGGCTCGCTTTCACGACTGGCAGAAGTGGAGAGGAGAACACAGAGGAAAGACGGTGAAGACGGCAAAGGAACGTGAGCACACTCCCTTTCTTAAACAGAAACAGGTGGCTACTGGCACAGCTGACGCCAGCAGCACATTGCCGAAGCCACTAATTGAGGTCAGGGCTGAAAAAAACGTCTCGAATAAGCCATCTTTGTTTACAGAAGTGTCGTGTGTGAAACCCAGAAGGTGAAGGCACAGCTTGACCTGTGTTCTTGTAAGAAGGAAACACGCAGTTAAGTACCCATTAGACCTGTGACTTTAGACATTGAGGGTCATGTTACTCCCCACTTCAACTCCATTTGAGATAAAAAAAAAAAGTCTGTTTAGCTGTGTGATCTTTTCCCCTGGGCGAGTCGAGGACAAGATTCTGGAGCCTGTAAGATTTCACACATCGTTGGTGATTGGGTCATCTCCCAACCTCCAGATGAGAACGGGTGCTCTGGGACGGCTGCCGAATCTGCTATCAACTCTTAATTCCTTAAAAGAAGATTATCATGTTACAGTTGACCCTTAACAAATTCTGTTTGTGCCCTTTCCCTCTTTCGATAGTACTAAAAATAAAAATTCCTTATACAACATTTTGAAAAGACCATGCCCTCTATTATACTCATGTGGACAACTGATTCAGACTATGTTCCAGGCGCAAAGCTCACAGGTCACATTTGCGATGGGTTAGAGATCGTTGCCTAACACTCAGCTTATCCTGGTAATGGCAGAAACAGGTTCAAATGGGGCTTGTGGTTGCAGCAAGATCCAAATGCTTGCCATAAGTGAGAGGCACTGGCCCTCTGCAAATCAACCAGCAGTCATCAATGGAGTCCTGAGTTCTTGGCCCTGAAGTACAGAGTGTCAGCACCAACACCAGAGGAAACGGAAGTGGGAATCTAACTGCTGCCTTCTTGCTTTTGGTCTGAATTTGCTGCAAACAAACAAACAACAAAAAGAAGGAAGGACAGAAGGAAACAGAAAAGAAGGAGAAAGGAAGGAAGGAAGGAAAGAAGGAAGGAAGGAAGGAGGATGCTGAGAAAGGAAAAAACGCTCAAATAAAGCACATATCTCCAGTCCATGAAGAACTCTTAAATCATAGACCTTGGAGAGAAAGACTCTAAAATAACACCTGTGTGTCCAGAGGACCTCACTAGAGTCCTTCTCTTTTCTTCTCTCTTCCCTCTGCACAACTTCATCTTCTTTGCACTCCTGTAACACCAAGTGTGTACAGTCTTCTAAAAAACACATTTGCCTTTTCTTCTGGCTTAATCCATGTGCTACTTTATATATGGCTTTATCTTATATACTTTATATGTACTTTTTAAATAAAGATTACGTCATATATATGGCTTTATCTTATACACTTTATATATACTTTTTATAAAGATTGCTGCATATATGACTTTGTCTTAACAAGAGATGGGTTTGTTGAGAACAGGTATTTTGTCACCCACCATGTGGCTCGACGAAGCTGTTAGTAACAGCAGGTGTTTACTGAGTGCAGAAATAGAGTCCCTGCAACTGTAAAGCTCATAGCACTCTTCAAGAAAGTTCTAAACACAAACTTCCAAGCGTACAGTGGCGGACACTGTGTTGATCATTAATCATTCACCTTCTCAGGGAAACAATAATTCCTATATTAACAGAAAGACTAAAACAAATGTTTCCCCTTTATTTATTTGACTGGATTAGCAGATAGATGGAAAATTCTGTGAACACAAATTCTTCAGGCTCTTATTGTGATGGTGTGCCTCTCAGACACTCAAGATTATCCAACCGCACAGTCAAGGATGATTCATCTCTTCATCTGTCTTCTTCTACTATTTCATGCTACATATTTGAAGGGCTATGAATTTAACCATTGTTTCTGCTTTGAAATATACTGGCTCTAAAATGCTCACTCTTCAGGACTATGTTTGATCTTGTGAGTTTCCTGCCCATGTTACATTCAGAAAAAGAACCAAGGCATGAAAAGGCTGGTACATCTAACTCAATAGACAAACTGTTGGCAAACGGAGTGATATGTTAGTATGTGTCAAGGGCGAGGAAGAACCAGACAATCAATTACAGAAAGATTGACATTAGATCTCACATTATGACATAAGGTTTTAACAAAACCAATTGCACTTCTGAATTCTCCACCTTCATTTGAAAAACAAAGTAACAGTTGAGCAAAAACAGTTCCCAAATGAGTCAAACAGGCAGGCTTTTTGGAAAGGGAAGAATAGTTTTACTTACTTAGAAGCAACTCGGAAGTATTTCTGGATGAAGTAAAAGGCGACGCCGAGGGGCACTAGGGCGACAAGGAACACGGGCGTAGCGTAGGAGATCATCCCGATGGCAGACAAGCAGAGCAGGGTGGAGCGGGTCAGCGATTCCAAGGTTGGAGGGATGTGCTGGGGAGCAGAGAAGTCAAAGGACAGCGTGTCCAGCTCATGAGCAAGCCACATCGGTGACGATGTAATAAAAACACTTTTACACCAACGTTGAGTAATATGGGCTGACAAAGCTGTCTATACACATGTTTACTGTAAACACTTCCATGGGCTTCCATAGCTATATCTATGGACATACCATTGACATGCTGTCTGCCTACTTATCTTGGATATTTTGTATAAATGGTTCTACTAGACATCTTTTTCACCCCCGTGTTTGCTTTGTTTTACTGTGATGGATTGTAGGTATTTCCATGTCAATGTTTTCAAGCATTCTTTTTTAATGGATATACATTCTTCAAAACTCACCTGTTCCTCTACTGTAAAACACATAGATTATTTTTCTTGTAGTTCCTTGTGTCCTTTGAGTGTCTTTGGATTATTTGTCTTTTCTTTATTGAATTTAGATTCTATTTATATATTGCAGTGTTTATCTTCTTTATTTTATAATTTAAATTTGTCCTTGGTGCTTTCAGCTCTATCAAGATGGAGATTTTTATATAGTTATTTCCATCTGTCTTTTTCTTATTTTCTTGCTGTGTTCCATCTTACTTCAAAAGACATTTTACAGTTCATGGTTCCAAAATTATCTGGCTATCTTTCATTTCACCATGTTATGGCTTTATATGACTATCTTAATTCTATAGTCATTTGTTCTGTATTTAATGGATAATTGTCTCAAAATCTTTTAGTTTTAAAATTAACGATTCTCAAAGATTCAAGATGCTACATTTATCTTGTGTTAAATTTCTACATGTACTATTTTGTGTGTGTGCATTTACACATGTGTGAGTTGGTATGGTAGCCTATATGGCAGCCTGAGGTTGACACTGGGCATCTTCTATAATAGTTATCCACTTTTCCCTTCGAGTCAGGGTCTCTCAGTGAACCTTTGAGATGGACTAGCAGGCCCTGGCATCCACCTGCCACCCCACCCCAGCACCCAGGAAGGGTCTCACATGCACAAACCCATACATACAACTTCAAAATTTAAAAAAACAGTAAGACATAAAATTAATATGAGGAACAATTGAAGAACATGCCTAATGTCAACCTCTGGTTAACACGCATGCGCGCACATGCACACAAAAGTATGCATGGAATGTTATATGTCACGTGCATATACTCACACAAGCACATGCATACAGCACACATAAACACATAGACAGAAATTTTACCCTATTCTATTGCTTTTTTTTTCATTTTGATATGAGAGCAAATGGGTTCTAATTTTAATTTGAGAAATTCTCTACCACCAACAGTCATCAGGCCCTGTTTGGAATGATGTCTATTTTACACTGAGGAATGTGTCTTAGAAGCAGCTCAGATACTCACCTGGTCAATGATGTTAGTATCAGCAGAGAACCGATTGAGAATCAGTCCCAAGGGTGTGGTATCAAAGAACCTAGGCAGGGAATAGATCAAAGAGTATGGTGATGTGGGCGCTTGGATCTAGAGTCTTGAAAATGGCTAGTTTTCTTCTTTAAACTTTCACAATTCAACATATGTTTTTATTAACTACATGCATAGGGGCAAGAGATCGCTACATTTTTTTTACCTTATTGGCCCAAGGATTATCTTATTAAGGAGATTGTAGTGGAGGTTCTTGGCAGCTGTAAGGCCCATCCATTCCACAGTGAGAGAGGTGACGAGGCAAAGGAAAATGCCCGCTCCGCAGAGAATGCTAAATCCAGCCACATAGAAAGTCTAGGAAGAACCAGCATGGGAAGTTCACATGAAATGATTATCTGGGCTTTTCCTAACCAGAAACAAAACATCTAAGTCAGACAGCTTGTCAATGTCCTGTCCTGCTTGCATTTAGAGAGCTGAAGATGCAGGGCAGTGTCCCCTTCAGGCCAGTTCCACAGGCCAGGCACCCACTGCTTGCTTTTTCCGCCTGCAAGGTCCGGCGTAAGGACTACAGGATCGATGTATCTTTCAGGCTGAGGACAGACTCTTGGTTTTCTACATTGTCAAGCTCATGCTTCCCATCCTTGACCACAGAATAACCTCTCCATATACTGACCCAGGATTGAAAATCATCAGAAAAGCAGGATCACCTTATATGTGTTTAACATGTAATCTATGATAGTGACACACATTACATGTAAAACAGATATATTGAACTCCTTGACTCTATGCAAATGTTACACTGAAATGCCTCTTATGACGGCTCAGCAGTTAAGGGTGTTTGCTGCTCTTCCAGAGCACCTGAGTTCAGTTCCCGGAACCCATGCTGGCTGGGTGGGTCACAACTGCCTATGGCACCAACTCCAGGGAATCTGGCACCCTTTTCTGGCCCCCATGGGCACTGCGCTCATGGGCACTGCGATCATGTACACATACCCAGATGCATAAAATACAATATGTAATCATGTAATAAATAAAAATAATGTAAGCAAGTATTTAAAATGATGAGAACAGTAAGAGATGTCATGCTTGGCATCGTTGGCAGTTTGCCCTGTTTTTGCTAACATTCTGAACTTGCAGCAAACTCCTCCAGCCTCTGGCTGTTAACCGACTTCAGCAGAGGGGCCCTCCCTCTGCACCGTTTCTGCGCGCACCATACCTGGTCAGCTTTCCCAGTATGGTTTATACTGTACTCGGATGTCCATGTAGCCAGCCAGTAGTCTATGGCCACAATCACTGAGTGCTTCAAGAGCTTGGAGAACATCATGAGGAAGAGCAAGAAAAACCCTCCCGAAGTGAGGTACCACCAACAGGTCTTCCAGGGCATCTTGGTCCTGAGTCTCATCACGGTTGACATGTTGTCATCATCGTCTTCCTCCTCCTCTTCCTCTGCACGTGCACACAAACACACACACAGAGCAAACCTTGTGTAAGCTTCAGATGGGCACCAGATACATTTTTATTTTCTAACAAGAACATGCATAACCATATTTAGCTTTTTAAAAAATTTAAATACTTTAAGTGGTGCATGCTTCAATTATTTGAAAAAAAAAACAGGCTCGAAATGGTCAGGCATGGTGGCATGCTGCTGTAATCCTAGTACTTGGAAGGCAGAGGCCGGAGGATCAGAAGTTCAAGGCCAGCCCCAGCTAAAAGCTACATAGGGAGTTCAAGGCTAGCCTAGACTGTAGGAGAGCTGGTCAAAAGAAAGAAAAAGAAAAAGAGAGGAAAAGAAGGAATGGAGGGAGGCAGGGTGGAAGGAAGAAGGAAGAGAGGAAGGGGAGAGGAAGGGAGAAGGAAGAAAGGGGGAAGGAAGGAAATAGAGATAAAAGGTGAATGAATGAACAAGTATAAAAACTCACATATAGACCATATATGTGGAATATAAACCATATAGACCATACAGCGATTTCCAGACACTTAAGTTAGTGGTGGAATTGTGTTAGCAATGAAAACATGGTCCTGGTTTGCAAACATCAAATTAATGGCTTTCTGAACTTGGTAATCTGCATGAGGAGAAAAGCAGCTGTGGAGTTTGTGTCTACCCTAGAAGCACCAGCCCATAGTTCCTCTGTCCTGGTTTCAATGTGGCCATGGAGGAGAGCTATCATGACGGAACACTCCAGAAGGCAGAGCTGATGCCCTCATGAAACAATGATGGTTCATGTCAAAACAATACAATGATTTTAAGTGTTTTTTAAAGCTTCTAGTGTGTCTTTGCTCTTCTTCAGAAGACAGTATTAGATGTGGAAAAAAAATAAAATATGGGCTCTCTACCATCTTAATTCTTCATCAGTGTCTAACAGAAACCACATGTGTAAAGACTAAATTACTCAAATATAGGGACTGCATGTCCTATATTTCCATTGATTCTTGTTTGAGGAATCAATATCTTAGTAACAACCTGATCCAGTCATTATAACTAGGCTTTTCCAATGCTTCTGTTTTCAGATCCCTGCTTTTGTCCTATGAGTGCACGGACACCCACTTAGTGTGTCCCTCCACAAGGGCCTGCTGTTGGTGGACATAAGCCTTGCATAGACGCTGTCATGTTCAGTATTAGGCACTTAGTTTGGCTTCTGGGCCATGTGAAAAGTGGCTTGTTACATGTGTGTGGCACACTTACGAATCAATTTCCAGAGCAAGCCCCTCATGGCAGACTAATCTACCTGAAAGTCTCAGATATAAGAAAGAAAAACGAAGAAAGCTTGCCTTCGTCTTCATCTTCCATCTGCGCCTTGGCCTCCCTTGAGTACATAGCTCTTCGGAGTGTCTTCCTCTCCAGCGTGGTCTGGTCGGCTTCCATGTCCTGTGGACAACAACGCGTTCTCACTGAAGGAGCCTGGGGAAGGGTTCGGCCTACCCACGAATGACACGCTGGATGACTTCACACCAATTCCAAGCTCTGTGCTTCATTCTAGGCACATAGGGCTCCTGTCATGGGAGCTGTTGTGGAAACAGTGCTGGAGATTCACAGACAGCACTTCCGTGCTCAGACATGTAGGCCAATAGGAAGCCAGAAGGAGCTACAACATCAGGGACCTCAGCCTTCAAACCCAGCACCACCCCTGAGACATCCTGTTTCCCATCAAGTTCAAACACAGTTTTTTTAACCTGAAGATTCACTTAGGTTAAATATCTTCTTTTTTTTCCGAGACAGGATTTCTCTATGACTTTGGAGGCTGTTCTGGAACTAGCTCTTGTAGACCAGGCTGGTCTTGAACTTACAGAGATCCTCCCGTCTCTGCCTCCCACATGCTGGGATTAAAGGCATGCACCACCACCCCGTTAAATATCATCTTTTAAAATTAAAAACAACCAAGCTAGGCATGATGACAACTGCCTGTCTTTGAGAACTTTTGCTTTGGGGTTTGGCCTCAAAGATTTGAAAATTCAATTTCCTGTTGCTTTTTCCATTCACAAATTGAACTGCATCTGGTTTCCAAGTCTATCTTTGTGTTTTTAGTAAGGCTGCGGTGTGGTACAGCTACACTGGATGTGGACCTGGTTTTTAATCCTATAAGTACCACTAATACATGCTGCACAGCTCTGGCAAATTATTTGACTTCTCTATGCTGTAGATTTCTGTAAAAATGAGAAAATACTGTCTGCCCTTCCTCATGACTTTTCATGAGGGTTAAGTGAGAGTGTTAAGGGAGTCTGTGGAGTCTAAAGAAGATAAAAAAAAACCTGTGTTTTCCATCAGAGTTATTCCAGACACACCCAGTGTCTCCATCCAGAGCTCACAGCATTGCCTTCTTTCAAAGACACCTCAGCTTTTGTCTTGACTGTGGTTGCCTGATTGTAGGCAATGCATGAAAATGATCTTACCACACATGGGAAAAGAAGAGGTAAATCAGCAAAATAAGGTAAGTCTCAAGCCTTGATAAACAACTCATTCAACTTGTAGCTACACATATAATTCCAAACGGTTCAGAGCCAAAACTCAGATAACACTTCATCCAAAAGATAGCATAAGGTAGGACAGGCTAGGAGCTAGGGAGGAAGCTCAGTGTGAAAGAGTGCTTGCTGCACAAACAGGAGGACCTAAGTCTGAATCTTAGCACCCATATAGAAAGCCAGGGGTGGCCATTCGCACATGGAATCCCAGTGTTGTGTGTGGGTGGTGGAGACAGGAACAATGATGGTGTGTGTTGTCATCAACCTAGATCCAAGTTCAGTGAGAGATTTCTCTCAAGGGAATAATACAGAGAGAGACAGAACATGACATTGAATATGCTCCTCCCATCTATACATGTGCCCATGGGTGTACATGACTAGTATATATATATATATAAATACACCATGCAACCATGCATGCAATACACACTGGACATACAATAAATAAACAAGCAAATAATTAACAAATAAATGGTAAAATGTGATGAGGACATCTTCTGTACATATGTTTCCTTTATTGGCTAATTAATAAAGCACTGTTCGGCCAAAGAGGTATAATGATAAGTGGGACTAGGAGACAAGGAGGATTCTGGAAAGTGTAGGCAGAGAGGAGTTATCACGTGATCCCAAGAAGAGAGGACACGAGTCAGGCATTCTCCAGTTAGATAAGATCTCATGGAAATACATAGATTAGTAGTTGTGGGTTAGCAATTAAGACAGAGCTAGCTACTCAGGGGAGAAGTGAGGGGGAGAAGTGAGCAGCTTGGGCCCTTGTCTCAAGTCTGATATCTGCTTGCCCACTCTGGGATCTCCTGGTCTGGGAACTGCAGGCAGGACCAAGCAACCAAGAATCTGCTAATATAGCTGTACTAGTCCTGCTGGGAGAGAGGGAGTGCCTTAGACACTCCTGCACCCATCATGAGACCCATCAGAGTACTGGGCCTGGTTGCACCCACTAGAAGAGAACCTTGGGCCAGTACCCACCAGGAGAGGAAGAGACCCTACCTGTGCTGACTAGAAGAATGGATGGGAAGATGACAATATAAGAAAACATTCAACAAAAGAAAACTAATATGATACCACCAGAGGCTAGGAACTCTACATGAGCAAGACCTGAACATCCCAACACAGATGAAAAAGAAGAGAATGACCTTAAAAAACAACTTCATGAAGATGATAGAGACCCTAAAAGAGGAAATGAGAAAATCCTTTAAGGAAATGGAAGAAAAGACAAACCAAAAATTGCAAGAAACAATTCAAACAGTGCAAGCTCTGAGAGATGAAATAGATACAAAAACCATAGTCTGAGGGAATGCTGGAATTAGAAAAAATGAGAAAACAATCAGGGACTACAGATGCAAGCATAAGCAACAGAATGCAAGAGATGGAAGAGAGAATCTCAGGTGTTGAAGATACACTAGGAGAAATAGATTCATTGACCAAAGAAAATTTTAAGTTCAACAAATCCAGGAAATATGGGACACTGTGAAAAGGCCAAACCTAAGAATAATAGGTAGAGAAGAAGGTGAAGAAACCCAGCTCAAAGGTGCAGAAAACATATTCAAAAAATCATAGAAGAAAACTTTCCCAATGTAAAGAAAGACATGCCAATGAAAGTACAAGAAGCTTACAGAACACCAAATAGAGTGGACCACAAAAAGCCCCCTTGCCACATAATAATCAAAACACCAAACATACAGAATAAAGAAAGAATATTAAGAGCAACAAAGGAAAAAGACCAACTAACATATAAAGGCAAACCTACCAGAATTACACCTGGCTTCTCCATGGAAACTCTGAAAGCCAAAAGGTCCTGGATAGATATTCTACAAACACCATGAGACCACAGATGCCAGCCTGGACTACTATACCCAGCAAAGCTTTCAATCACTATAGATGGAGAAAACAAGATATTCCATGACTAACCCAGATTTAAGCAATACATATCCACAAATCCAGCCCTATAGAAACTGAGGAAGTTAACTACACTCGCAAAAATATAGGCAATAGATATTCCCAGTTTACCAAAAGAAAAAAGAAAAAATGGTGTAAATCCACACACAACACCAAGAAGAACAACAACAACAAATCCAAAACAAACAAGAATTAACACTCAGTGGTCTTTAATTTCCCTCAATATTAATGTTCTTACCTTGCCTATGAAAGGACACAGGTTAACACAATGGATACGAAGACAGAATCCATCCTTCTACTGCATTCAAGAAACACACCTCAACTTCAAAGATAGACATTACCTCTGAGGAAAGGGTTGGGATAAGATTTTCCAATCAAATGGATCCAAGAAATAAGATGGTGTAGCTATCCTATTATCTAACAAATTAGACTTCAAACTACAATGAATCAAAAGAGATGACAAGGGCTATTTCTTACTCATCACAGGGAAAATCTGTCAGGAAGAAATCTCAATTCTGAACATCTATGCCCCAAATATAAAGGCACTCATGTTCATAAAAGAAACATTACTAAAACACAAATCACACATAAGACCTCACACAGTTATAATGGGAGACTTCAACACCCAACTTTCACCACTGGACAGGAGCACCAGGCAGAAACTTAACAAAGAAACAAAGGAACTAACAAAAGTTATGACCCAATTGGGTTTAACAGACATCTATAGAACACTTCATCCAAACACAAAAGAATATATCTTCTTCTCAGTGGCACATGGAACCTTCTCTAAAATCGACCACATACTTGGCAACATAGCAAACCTCAACAGGTACAAAAAACTTGGAATAATCCCCTGTATCTTACCAAACAACCATGCTTTAAAGTAAAAATTCAACAACAACACAAGATGCCAAAACCCTACAAACTCATGGAAATTGAACAACATGAAACAGCACCATGCCTTGGTCAAGGAAGAAGTAAAGAAAAAAATCAAAGACTTCCTAGAATTCATTGAAAATGAAAACACAGCATACCCAATGGGACACTTTGAAAGCAGTACTAAGAAGAAAATTCAAAGCACTAAGTGCACACATGAAACAACTGGAGAATAGTCACACTGGAGAATTAACAGCACAGCTGAAAGCTCTAGAGCCAAAAGAAGCAAACTCACCCCTGAGGAATAGATACCAGGAAATAATCAAACTGAGGGCAGAAATCAATAAAGTAGAAACAAAGAAAACAATACAAAGAAACAATACAACAAAGGGTTGGTTCTTCAAGAAAATCAACAAGATAGACAAACCTTTATCCAAACTAACCAAAAGGTAGAGAGAGAACATGCAAATTAACAAAGTTAGAAATGAAAAGTGACACATAACAACAGACACTGAGGAAATTCAGAGAATCTTCAGGTCATACTTTGAAAACCTGTACTCCACAAAATTCAAAAATTTAAAGGAAATGGACAATTTTCTGGATAGCTATCATTTACCAAAGTTAAATCAAGAAGAGATAAGCAATTTAAACAGACCTATAATCCCTAAGAAATAGAAGCAATCATTAAAAGTCTCCCAACCAAAAAATGCCCAGGGCCAGATGGCTTCAGTGCAGAATTCTACCAGAAATTCAAAGAAGAGCTAATACCAATACTCCTCAAATTGTTCTACATAATAGAAGCAGACGAGTCATTACCAAACTCTTTTTACAAGGCTACAATTACTTTGGTACCCAAGCCACACAAAGACACAATTAAGAAAGAGAACTGTAGACCAATATCCCTCATAAGCATTGATGCAAAAATAATAAAATACTGGCAAATCAAATCCAAGAACACCTCAGAAAATTCATCCACCATGATCAAATAGGCTTTATCCCAGAGCTTCAGGGATGGTTCAACATACAAAAATCTATCAATGTAATTCACCATATAAACAAACTGCAAAGGAAAAACTACATGATCATCTCACTTGATATTGAAAAAGCCCTTGACAAAATCCAACAACCCTTCATGATAAAGATCCTGGAGGGATCAGGGATAACAGGAACTTACCTGAACACACACACACACACACACACACACACACACACACACACACACACAAAACAATATACAGCAAACCAACAACCAACATCAAACTAAATGGAGAGAAACTCAATGCTATTCCTCTAAAATCAGGAACAAGACAAGGCTGTCCCCTCTCTCTAAATTTCTTCAATATTGTACTTGAAGTTCTAGCTAGACAAAAGGAGATCAAGAGGATACATATTGGAAAGGAAGAAGTCAAACTTTCACTATTTGCAGATGATATGATAGTTTACATAAGTGACCCAAAAATTCTATGGGGGAACTCCTACAGCTGATAAACATCTTCAGCAAAGTGGCAGGATACAAGATCAACTAAAAAAATCAGTAGCCCTACTATATATAGACGATAAATGGGCTGAGAAAGAAATCAGAGAAATATCACCCTTTATAATTTCCACAAACAACATAGCATTATTTGGGGATAACACTAACCAAACAAGTGAAAGACCTGTATAGCAAGAACTTTTAGTGTTTAAAGAAAGAAATTAATGAAGATACCAGAAAATGGAAAGATCTCCCATGCTCTTGGATAGGTAGGATCAACATAGGAAAAAATGACAGTCTTGCCAAAAACAATCTACAGATTCAATGCAATCCCCATCAAAATACCGGCACAATTCTTCACAGACCTTGAAAGAACAATTCTCAACTTTATATGGAAAAACAGAAGACCCAAGATAGCCAAAACAACCCTGTATAATAAAGGAACTTCCGGAGGCATCAGCATCCCTGACTTCAAGCTCTAGAGCTTGAAGTAATGAGTATAGTATAGGGCTAATCTCCAAAATTTACAAAGAACTCAAGAAGCAAGTCTCCAAAACACTAAAATTTCCAATTAAAAAGTGGGTGGGGTACAGAACTAGATAGAGAATTCTCAATAGAGGAGTCTAAATGACTGATAGACACTTAAGAAAGTGCTCAACATCCTTAGCCATCAGGGAAATGCAAATCAAAACAACTCTGAGATACCATCTTACTCCTGTCAGAATGGCTAAAATCAAAAACACCAAAGACAGTTTATGCTGGAGAGGATGTGAAGAAAGAGGAATACTCCTCCACTGCTAGTGGAAGTGGCAACTCCTACAGTCGCTTTGGAAATCAGTGTGGAGATTCCTCAGGAAAATGGGAATCAGTCTACCACATGATCCAGGATTCCACTCTTAGGCATATACCCAAAAAATGCACATTCATACAACAAGGACATCTGTTCTACTATGCTCATAGTAGCATCATTTGTAATAGCCAGAACCTGGAAGCAACTTAGATACCCCTCAACTGAAAAACTGATAGAGAAAAATTTTTTGGTTGTGAGCCTAGCCTTTAACGGCTGAGCCATCTCTCCAGCCCCTGATAGAGAAAATGTGGTACATTTATACAATGGAGTACTACTCAACAGAATAAAACAATGGAATCTTGAAATTTGCAGGTAAATGGATGGAACTAGAAGAAACCATCCTGATCAAGGTAACCCAGCAACAAAAAACCAAACATGCTATGGACTCACTCATGTATGGATTTTAGACATAGAGCAAAGGATTACCAGCCTACAACCCATACCACCAGAGAAGCTAGGAAACAAGGAGGACCCTAAGACAGGTATACATGGTCTCCCGGAGAAGGGGAAAGGGACAAAATCTCCTGAGTAAATTGAGAGCATGGGGGGAGGAGACATGGGTTTAGTGGGGGGCAGGGGAGGAAGAGAGGGATTGACATGTAAAACATGCTTGTTTCTAATTTAAATAAAAAATAGAAAAACAAGACAGAGCTAGCTAATTAGAAGCCCAAGCCATTTGCTAATAGTATTATAATTAATATAAGTCTCTGAGTGTTCATTTGGGGTGACTCAGCTGTGGGACCAGGCTGGTGGGAAGAGTGCTCATAACAAAAATGTAGTAGGTTCAAAGTAGCCTGTTCAATAACTGTATGCAAGGACACAATTATCTTGAGCTTCAGAAGACATCTGTCACAGAACAGTGTGCATCTTATGAAGCTGTCACAGAGCAGGGAGCATCTCATCTTGAGTTTCAGAAGACAGATACCACACATCAAGTAACTACACAGAACTTTCTGACCCTTCTTACCTTTTCTAATTCTTGATCTTGTCGATTCATGAGAGTTTTCCAGTGTTCATAAAGCTCCACATCTTTGGTCTGAATGTCTTTCAAAGTCCCTTCTCTTAGCACACTCCCATCCTTCATGGCTATGATCTACAGAAAGAGAGCATGAGCAGAAACCACAGCAGAACCTGGAAGTGGCCAAACAACCTAACTTGGTCTCTGGAAGTCTTTCCTGGTGTCTCTCGGACATGACTGCAACACAAATGCAGGGAATCTCACCCAGTCAGCATGTGTCAGGTACTGCAACTTGTGAGTCACAAGAACAACCGTCCTCTTGTCATCTTGGAGAAACTTCAGAATCCCTTCCTGCATCAAGTGGTCACTCAGGTGGATGTCCAGGGCAGAGAATGGGTCATCCTGCAGCATGGGGAGTTGGAAGGGAGATGAGCAGACTCCAAAGAGCCAATTTAAAAAATGAGAAAAAGCAACATGACCCATGTAGGGGTGAACCCACGATACTGTCCACGCCCCAAACGTGGGACAGGTGGTAGATGAAAGTGAAGGGAAAGCAAAATCTCTCTCTCTCTCTCTGATGCTGGCCACATTTCCCAGGGCTTCTCGTTGTCCCAGTGTTAATAGATATCCTTGTTCCCCCCTTGCATTGATTTCCTTTTCAGACCCAGGCTTTCAGTGAAGAACTGGGGGTGCCTGGAACACGTCTTCTTTGCTTCATTTATTTCTTGGTTGTTCTCCTACTTGTTTAATATGCATGCTGGTGTCTACATGTGGGCCCAGGGAAGGAGTATCTGGATTCTTATTCCATCAATTCCACATACTGGAGTACATACTCACATATGTACAAACTTTAACTCCGAAAGAATTTAGCATAATCCTGCTCTCTATACACAAAAAAACCTGACTGATTATGTAGACAGTGAAATAAAGCAATTATATTTAGAAGTTAGAGTCAGTTTATATGTACAGCTACTATGGAGTAATACAATTAGCTCAATATTTATTCAGCATTGAATTATTCTCTGTTCAATAAACAGAAGCAATAAGTGATGATTTTATTAAAGCATTTAAGAACAGTCTGATGAAAACTAAGCATTAGTAAAGTAATTAAACAGTCACTTTCTAAAGATACCATTGTTGAGTGCAGCCTTACCACCAGCCTGGTTCCAGAGCCCCATCAGTCCCAAATGAACACACAGGATGCTATATTAATTATGAAGCTGTTGGCCGTTTGCTAGGTTTCTTACTGGCTATCTCTGACTTAAGTATTTCATCCATAATTGTTAATCTAAATATTTCTCTTATCAGAGAAAGGGGTCCAGACGTCTTACTTCTCTGGTGGGCTACATTGTCTCTGTCATGTCTCTCTTTCCCAGAATCCTTCTCAACTCCTAGTCCCACCTATCTTGCTTCCCTATTGACCAGCAGTGTTTTATTGACATATACACAGGACTTCCCCATCATACCATAGTCAGAGAGAGATGGGTGAATTAATGGATATCCTCAGATGGCTTTTATGTAAATGTATTTAGTAACTGATAGGAGCCTACAGTGGTTTATTTAAACCGTAAAAAGGCAGGGATATTCTAGATAATAGAATAGCTAGCAAGAAAATAGTCATTGTACACACATATATGTGTGTGTGTGTGTGTGTGTGTGTGTGTGTGTGTGTAGAGATGCCTAACATACAGGTATGTTATCTGGGTTTATGAATTTATTTTAGAAACTAATGAAATGAAATTGATTAGTGACAATTTTCTGAAATATTATAACATTTTTACATGATATTGAAATGTTTCAAAGTTATTCTGATGTTTTGGGTCATTTTTATGAATATCAACTATTTCTAAGACATTCCATGAAGCAGAGCATCTAAGAGGTTAATCTGTCTTCCTGCTGCCCAATAACTTGCTTTGTAAAATTGTAGCATTTTTTAAAATGGCTCACACCTTTAATCCCAGCACTCAGGAGTCAGTGGCAGGAGGATCTCTGTGAGTTTGAAGCCAGCCTGGTCTACTGAGCTAGTTCCAGGACAGGTTCCAAAGCTACAGAGAAACCATGCCTCAATAAACAAACAAAAACAAAATTGTCACAGATGGATCTGGAGAGATGGCTCAGGGGTCAAGAGCTCTGGCTGCTTTTCTAGAAGACAGATTACTTAAAAACTACAGTTTGTGTAGCAATATAAATCATCTGGAGATACACTGTTCCCATGCTGGTAGTGGGAAAAAGACTTAAGTACTCTTCAGGAGACCACTGGCAGGGTTCACCTCCTGCTCCCAGCAGCAATGCTACAAGAGTTTGATTATAAGGATTACCAGCCAACCACCGGGCTAAAAACTTCAGGTAACTACTATAGGGATAGACTGATTGCTTTTGACACACTTCTACTTCTGGTCTCTGTAAGACCCAGAGCCTCTTTTGTTAGGCAGACCAAACATCCCTAATCATTTGCATAATAAATTTTTCATATGGAAAAAGACACAAATTAGAAATGAGTTTTTACAGGAACCCAGGTCAATTTTCCACACAATTCTGAATTGAGATGTCATAAGACCAGGCTGGGGAAACCCACAGAGGCAGCTGACCTGAGCAAGGGAAAGTTCATGGACCCCAGACTAATAGCTGGGAAACCAGCATAGGACTGAACCAGGTCCCCTGAATGTGAGTTTCAATTAGGAGGCCTGGGCAGTCTATGGGGCCTCTGATAGTGGAACAAGTATTTATCCCTAGTGTACAAATGAACATTGGGAGCCCATTCCCCATAGAGGGTTACTCTCTCAGCCTAGACACATGGGGGAAGGCCTAGATCCTGACCCAAACGATGTGATAGACTTTGATGATCCCCCATGAAAGGTCTCACCCTCTCTGGGAAGCAAAAAGGGGATGGGATTCGGGGGAGGGTCGTCAGTGGGTGACATAGGTGGATGGGAGGGAGAGGGGAACTGGGATTCATATGTAAAATAAGATTGTTTCTAATTTAAATAAGAAGTAATAATAAAAAAGAATTCCAATTCATCTAGATTCTTTTTCTAAATGGATTCTAATTCAGCAGGAAACTCCAAAGCCGGCCTGTACTTTGAAGAGTTTCAAGACATAGAGGGAATTGAATGTCTGAAACAGTGGCTCCCAACCTCCTGCACCCTGTGACCTTTTAATACAGCTCCTCCTGTCGTGGAGGCCCCCAGCCATGAAATTGTTTTCGCTGCTACTTCATAACCACAGTTTTGTTACTGCTATAATTCACAGTATAAAAATATCCGTGTTTTCCAGTGGTCTCAGGTGACCTCTGTGAAAGAGTCATTTGACCCCCAAAAGGGGTCTTGACCTTTAGAGGGTTTAAACCCTCTATGAGCATATTTACAAATGAAGGCTAGTAATGGCCCAGGAGAGGGACAAGCTTACGTTCTCTGCTGGAGTCTAAAATTTCCATGTTATACATGTTATATAGTGTGGTGATATGCTGTTTGTGCTTTAACAAATAAAGCTTGCCTGAAGATCAGAGTGCAGAGCTGGCCACCAGTCAGCCACAGAGGCCAGGCAGTGGTGGTGCACACCTTTAATCCCTGCACTGGGAAGGCAGAGGCAGGCAGATCTCTGTAAGTTCAAGGCCAGCCTGGGCTATACAAGATTGATCCAGTCTAAAAGAGAAAGAGAGCCAGGCGGTGGTGGCTCACATCTTTAACACCAGTACTTAGGAGTCACACGCCTTTAATCCTAGCATAGGAGGGTGGAGATAGAAGTGACTTGGCTGGGAGAGAGGAATGTAAGGTGGGAGGAGACAGGAGCTCATTGCATTCAGTCTGAGGATTCATAGAGACAGGATCACCCCTTTGGTCTGAAGAGTCAAGTAGAGGTGAGAACTAGTGGCTGGCTACTCTGCTTCTCTGATCTTTCAGCATTTACCCATATAGCTGGCTCTGGATTTTTATTAATAAGACCAATTAGAATTCATACTACATATACATGCTGTTATTTTGGCCCCTACCTCCTTTACAAACTAAACCAGATCAAAATCATAACCAACACAATCCACGAACTCTATAAGTACATGAAAACCACCTGGAGCATCTTCAAGACATTGGTGATTCTATTAGTGTTGAGTGAGGATTGCTATTGTTTTAGGAGTCACACATAATTCTTAACTGCAGTCTGAAGTGCACATGATTGGAGCATAATGTCTATTTAGATGCCTATTTTCTGAGCCTTATCTCGTTGCCATGAAATGCACAGGAGAATTTCTGCCCAATTATCCAATATCATCCACACTCCCTCATTAATGATTCTCGTGGTCAAGAAACCCAGATAAACCACTACCACCGGGAATGACCAAATAGGTTCAGACGTTGGCAGTGATTACCATCAAGCCCAACAACCAACCCTAAGTTGGATCCTTCACACCCAGATGCTGAAAGGAGAGAACCAACTTGGTAATTTGTCCTCCAGCTCCCACACATGCACTGTGGTAGACAAGCACTGCCTCCCCTTCCCACACAAAATGAGTAAGTAATGCATAAAATTTCAAGATACTGATGAGACTGTCCTGAAGCTATTTTTTTTGTAATTTCATGGACACCAGCCCGGATCTACCAACTCTCCATCTTGTGTGTTGATGAACTGAATTGTACTGTGAGGATTTAGCTAATCTCTACTCTGTAATTCCGCAGATTAAACAGCTTTCCCTCAGCTATCTGACTTCACCTTTTAAATACCCATTTGTCTGGAGGTAGAAATAAAATTAAAGTTCATGTTCTTACCAAGAAGACAATGTTAGTGTTTTGGTAGAGTGCCCGGGCAACACAGATCCTTTGTCTCTGACCCCCACTCAGGTTAATGCCCTGGAAAAGAAATGCCAGAAACACCCATTTTCACCATTAATAAGGGAGCTGATGGTAAAATTAACCTTTAAAACACAAGTCTCTCTAAACATTTTTTACCATCACTGATAATTCTCTCTAATGCCAATGCTTGACGAACGTCAACCATCTTAGACCATTCACATTACCTGTTCTTTCACACTGATTGAGAGCTCTGCTACACAAAAACCAGCATGCTTGGTGAGTGCCAAAGACAAGCGAGTCCCTGTTTTTAATTTTTGCTTCAATTATACTTTGATGCACACCTTTTTTTTTACAGAGCTTTTAATTGTATTTTTTAATTATGCGTGTTTCTGTGTGTAGGTATGTGCACCTGAGTGTACGTTGCCTGTGGTCAGAAGAGGGAGTCAGATCCTTTGGAGTTGGAGGTACAGGAGGTTGTTAGCTGCCTCAATGGGTGTCTGGAACTGAACTTGGGTCTTCTGCAAGAGCCATCTCACCAGCTCTCAACACACAGTGTTTCAATTTGATCTTACAAGTTATACCAAGTAGCACTCCACTGCAATATTCTTTTACGATGAAGTATTAATGATAATTAATAATTCCCATTAACTTAGCATCTAGTATGTACCAGGCTGGCATGTGTAGCTTTACAATTTTCTCTGCCTTATTCCTCATAGAAGGTTCAATAGATGGAGATTGTACTCATTCTCCACCTGTGGATGCTATGAAGCTACTCCTCTTAAATGAAATATGAAGCTGCAACAGAGAATGGTCACTAAGAAGATGGCTGGTCCTAAGCAGCCAAAACTGACTGGGAAATTTCTCGGTTCCTTAGCCTTGGTATCCTCAGCTGTACTGAGCCAAGGACAAAATCATCCACAGCACCAATGTGTTATCACAGTAGAGAACACACATTACCCCTTGACCTCCGACAGCTTTGGACCTATGAGGGTTGCAATTTTTGTTCATCATTAGTGTGATAAAGATAGCAGATCTAAATGTTTTCAGCAGCTCAGAATAACATGATGTCAACATAAAACAGGGGAGTGTAAAGACAAATAATACTTTGACAAAATAATAGCTGTTGATGAGAACGGAAGAAACCATCAGAAGCCATTTCGGTTTCCAACGCAATTCAAATCGGCAGAACCAGTAAGCCAAAGTGTGCTTGGTCAAAGTCGGGGGAGTGGGCGTTTCACTCTCTCCCACCCCCACCTGCTGCCACAAGTCCCGAGTGGCTATCACATTGCGACAGGCACAGTAGGATCTCAATGGGCACGCAAAGGATGGTGGTGCCAGAGGCTGCCGTCCTTACGTTCTGGTGCTTGTCGCTGGGACAGCGTGCAATTGGTAAGCCCCCAGACTTCACTGTGCTCCTGTGAGGATTAAAGACAAGCAGACACCTTTTCCTGATTTTTGTGCATTGCTCAGTTCAATTACACATAGCTCACCCTCTCTCCAATTTCAGTTTGGTCTCCAAATGGTAACAAATCAATATCCGGCTGAAGAGAGCAGGCGTCGGTGACAGCTTTGTACCTTTGGGAGAAGCGGCATTCAGCGTCTTTTGAAATATAGATATTCTCTCAAGTGCATTATATACTCTGACGATAGTCACTCACCTCCTCTCCGCTCTGTCCCCTCTCTTTACTTCCCAACCCTTTCCTTTCCCTTTCTCTCCTGTCCCTTGGCCTCCTCTAGTCTACTCCCTTCCCCTAGTCCCCCTTCAACTCTCATGTCACGTTTATGGTTAAAAGGTTTTATTTTCTATTTAAGGAAACCTAGGACCCAAAGCATAACAAATCATCCACTATTTGTCTTCCTGAGTTTGTCTTATGTGACTTAGTAGCTCCTGCCATATCCATTCTCTGGCAAACAATATAATTTTCTTCTTCTTTATAATGAATAAATAGTCTTCATTCATGGTTTGTCTTTGAGCTTGTTAATCATTATTTGCACATTGACCACAATCCCAAGTTTAGTATCTTAGGCAGAAATAAAACATCTACTGAACATGTTAATGTGAGCCTTGACTAGATAAGTATGCATTTCCATTCATCTTTCTATAAATGAGGGTATCGGTGTGAGGTTATATGTACAGTAAGTAACCAGATTTTTGTTCAATTACAGTTTACATCTGAGACATCATTTCGTTTGTTAAAAAGTATACCCAAGTTGATTTGTCTATTAAAACACTTAAAGCTAGCATCTTCAAAAGAGGATCAAGGCAAACACACAACAGAGCTGGGCTTTCTCAGGTGCTATTGGTGGGGATGAGGACTAGGCACCTCCTGCAACATGAGAAAAACAATAACCAAGAAGATTCCATGAAGGAATGGCCAAGAAAAAAATGTTTGCAAAAATGAATTTTAAGGAGGATCCTAATTGAGATGGTTCACGGTGGCTCTAAGGGACAGAAGGAGGCTGTCCGTCACAGCCAAGGGCAGGGTAAGTGACTGCCCTTGGACATTGTCATGTATATTAAGGAAGGAGAGACAGGAGGACTGATAGTACTCAAGTTTCATTAAGCAGAAAAAAAATGGGGATACAGCACAGGTGCATCAGGGATAGAGAAGCAAAGGACTTAGAGATGCTGGAGAAATTATCACATTTATTTATTGTGTTCACGTTCATATGTATAGGTGGGATTGCATGCTCATGTTGGCACAGGTGCATGTGTGTATGACTATCTGTGTGTATGTTCGTGCGTGCGTGCGTGCGTGCGTGTGTGTGTGTGAGCGCGCGCGTGCGTGTGCGTGTTCATGTCTGTGTAGGTGCGTGTGTCTGTGTGCCTATTTGAAAGTCAGGAAACCTCAGGTGTCATTCTTCAGATAACTAACCACCTATTTTTTTATCCACTGCCCTGGATACCAGCAAGTAGGTTAAGGCTGGCTGACCAGTAAGCCTTGGGGATCACCCTGTCCTGCTCGAGCACAGACACATGCCACTGCATCTGGATGTTTTTACATGGGTTCTGGAGATTACATTCGGGTCCCCAGACTTGCAAAGAAGACATTTTACTACTGACTGAGCTATCTCCCGGGCCCTCGACTATTTATTGGTTCTAAAATACTCAAGTCAATCTTGATTCCTTCCTCATCTGCTTCCATCATCCTAGAACTTTTCTCTCAACCATTTATTCTTTTACATTTCTACTGCCTGTTCCAAGCATATGTCTAAGTGATTCTTCTAAATCCCTCCTCCTCTGCATCCCTTTGACCCAGTTCAGATTGTGTCAACCTGTGTGTCTATATCTAATCTGACTGATGTGTGTCTGTCTATACCTAATGTGACTGATTTGTGTCTATATCGAATCTGACTGATGTTTTAGCCTCCAAAGTTAATGTCATATTTCCTTGCAGTCCTTTCCATTTTCAGTTTTAGTTTTTTTATTTTATTTATTTGTTACTTTGGGTTATTTCTGAGATAGGATCCCATGTAGCCAGGCTGGCTTCAGCTTGCTGTATAGCCAAAAATGAGTTGTAACTCTTTGTCCTCCTGCTGTCACCTCCCAAGTGTTGGGATTTCAGACACGCCCAATCTCACTCACCCTGTACCCCCTTTCCAAAGCATGCAATTCCTCCTTGGAATACATACAATTATACCAAATGGGCTTCATGGTTTCCCCAACCTGATTCACCCTTCTGACTCTCCTTTGTCTGCCTGTTCCCAGACCCCGGAAGACTCAAATAATTTACATTCTCCTCTCAAGAAGCCATGTTTCCTGCCTTCTCTCCTGGCCAGCATCCCTCTCCTCTTGCCTAATTCTCATTAACTTTGAAGATCCCAGATTTGGATCTTGAGACTCACCACTGTGAAAGTGGCTCAAGACACAGGCCATCTTGTCTACCTTCCTGTGGAAGATGGTGGAGGGGAGGTATATTCCTGCTCACCGTAGTCACTGGAGGCCTCCATGACCAAGCTCATGCTCTGCCCAGTTAACCCTCGTGATTCAGCATACATATGTGGGCATGGCCCTTTTTACCTACTCATGACCAACCTACATAGTCCCATCCCACTGTTCTACAATCTCCGGTCATGACCTTCAGTTTTGGGGGCATCACTCCTCAATGTGAGAACTGGTCCAAGCTCATGGATCCCGAGCAGTTGTTCCTGCTGTAAATCCTGTGTGAGCAAAGTTACCTCTGTCTGTTGAAAGGACTCCCAAAGGTGATGTTTTCCTCCACCGTAGCATTTAGGAGCCAGGGCTTCTGGGCAGCATAAGCCACAGAATACCTGCTTCTGCTGGGGAGGGGACAAAGACAACACAGATTACACAGGGTACCGTGCTGAGCCTTTTGTTATAACTAAGGGGAGTGAGACTTGAGAGAATGTAAGGCACAGAAGCAGGCAACTAAAAGAGGGGAAGGCCAAGGCCGCCAACCTCAGAAGGCAATTTATTAAATAACCCGCTTAAGTTACAGGGGTCAGAAGTGACGAGCAAGATTTGATTATCCTGTGCTGACACATTAATGTTATGAGCTGTAAGAGAGAATTTCTTTTCTGAATTGAGATTAAAGGGTTGTTAATGATTCACTCTCTTTAGTAGCCGCAGATGTTTTGGCCTGTATTAAATGCCCTTTATGAAACATTGGATTTTTTTTATAATGACCTTTAAGAAACATTAATTAAAACTAGAATTGGAGCATACATTTGTTGCTTAATTACATAAATATATTTTTAAAAGTCAAATAATGTGTAAATATTTCAAAATGAAGAACGATATCTAGAAGAGTCCATTTAAATGTTGAAATTACACATTCAAGGTCCACATTTCAAAACATATAAAATATTTTTAAGGAGAGGTATTGGAGGAAGGATGAATATGCTCAAATACATTGTACGAAATTCTCAAAGAACTAATCAAAATTTTAAGGGAGAATACAAAAAAATAAATAAAAACTATTAAATTTCTCCTCTCTTTCTATTTTTTTTAGTACAGGTTTTATCATATGCTTACACATTAGGCTTCAACTTGCAATCATTTCAAAATACATGAGCTGAAGAAACAGAACATGAAGAGATCAGGCAGGGGAAGGGAGTGGGCGAGCTTCAATGTCAGACCTCCACAGTTAGTTCATGATATGTCAGTCCTATGACCGGATTACAGTTAACGGAGAGGAAGGTTAAGAGGAAGAAAAGAGAAGAGCTAAACAGTCATTGGGAAGCACGGCATTGTCGGGCTTCAGAGGACATTACAGTCTAGTGTGACAGTCATCTTCTAGATAGCTACATACACAGGAAGGCAGTGGTCCCCAAGTCTGGCACATCTGCCTGCCCTTTCCCTTAGTGTGGGGAGTATTTTCTGATGTTGGGGATCAAGCCCAGAACCTCCTTGAGCTTTTAGTTTTTGTTTTGCAGGGTTGTTTTGTTTAGGGGAGGGTCATTTGTTTCTTTAGTTTTTGTTTTGCAGAGTTGTTTTGTTTGGGGGAGGGTCGTTTGTTTCTGAGTAGCTAACGCATGGGGGCTCTCCATCTCAGCACCATTTTCAGATAGCATTTGACATACAACCAATGCATGTATCAGTTCTTAGAGTTTTTATTGAATGAGCCCCCAAGCCCTTAGTAAAGACAGTTTGATTTTCAGACAACTTGAAAAGCATGTGACCCACTGAAACAAAAACAGTTGACCCAATGAGCCATTTGTTTGGGAAATTCTGGTTTATTAAGACAGGCTATCACTCCAGCCTGGATTCATCTGGAACTTAATGTATAAGGAAGAATGATTTAGAAATCAAGCCCATCCCCCTGCCTCGGGGTTGCAGGCATGGGCTTGACGAATTAAGCCTTCAGCAGTCTGCAACGGTTGCGAACCACTGCTACTGGAAATATGGTAGGCATCTTAAAAATGACTGCACACCACCGGAATAAAGAGGGGAAGTAGGGACAAGAGATTAAAGACTGAGGGGGGGGGAGTTATTCTTATTAAGCTTGGGTGAAAATAGAAATAATACCTTCGGGCTGCTTCAAAAGAAGGCTCAGATTCATTTACGCTGTAAGGCACGGCAAACAACGTTCATTAATGATGAAATGTAACCACGAAAGGATGTGTGTGCAAATAGGTATGAGACAAACAAACGCAGAGATATTCTCTGAGTTTATTTCAAAGACAAAGCAGATAAATTATTTTCTTCTTCCTCAAGCAGGAAATAACTAATCGCTAAGCTTCTGAAGATAGCAGGCCCAGATCTCTCCCACACAACAGCTCATGCAACAGCCTATATTCTATGTCTAGTTCTGTTCTGGGATGAAGGTGCTGTCCTCCAAGGATCATGTAAGAAAGCCAGATGTGCGTCAGGGTCAGGACTGCAACACTTGAACCCAGCTATGGAGTGGTAAGATTCGAGTAAGTGGGATTGAACTGATCCCATGTAGTTATACATTCTTTATGGGGTGGGGGGATCACCTGAAGATCGGTATTTTTGTGTTTGAATTTTGAGGCATTTAGGGTCACTTGAATTCTATTATTTTGAAAGATCTGTATTCAATAGCTCTGTGTAATTGATCTAATCCAAAAGTAAGTGTTATTTTACTTCAGACAGTGTTCTTTGGTTTTGTGTGTGTGTGTGAGAAAATGTATCTAATTACATTACCTGGTGATAAATTTCTTTTAGAACTGGTAAGAGTTAAATCCACTATTACACATTGCTAACGGTAAGATAAGATGTTTAATAGAAGCAAAGAGTCATTAGTAAGAGACTAATAAAATATCAGACTAAAAAAAGTCTCCCAACAACTATCCCCTGATTTAAGTAATTCACACACACAAACAAAACAGATACTAAAATATCCCATTTCTCAATTTAGATACCAAAACGCTTGAACTTAATGTTTTAGTGGTAACACTGTTTAAGTCATCCATGAAAGAATAGCAGATATGTTGAAAGATAGTAGGCTCATTTATATATTTTTCATCCAGATGGAAATGCCCATCAGGATATGTCAATCCAGGGTGAAGACCTTGGAAACCATCATCTTACCCAAATAATGATCGATTAAGTTCAATACCAACTGAAATACCCTGTGGAGCCGGAGAGATTACTTGGTGGGGCAAGTCCTGGCCTCCAAGCCCAACTGACCTGAGTACAAGCCCTGAGATCCATGCAGTAGAAGGAAAGGCTCCCTAAAGTTGCTCTCTGGACCTCACACCCATGTGGGAGCGTACGCACCCCCCCACATTAAATAGATTAATAATTAATTAAACATAAGATCTATTTCTGGTCACTTCCTGGTACTGAGAATACCAGAGACACCAAGAATGAAGGCTCTATCCTTCCTGCCCGGTGCTGTACTGTTGTCAGAGTACCGACAGAAATCTCCATGGAAACACATTTCTGGGCACACCTGGGGAAGCATTTTCAGAGAGCTTTAACTGAGGAGGCAAGAGCTCCTCTGAATGTGAGTGACAGCTTCCCATTAGCTGAGATCTTGAACCGAAAACAAGGCGAAAGAACTGGACACCAGCACCCCGTGGTTCTGCAACACCTGAGAGCACAAGCAGCATGGTCAGTGGCTTCCTGGCCCAGCAGCCACGCCCCTCGGTCATGATGGACTTACTCAGCCACGCCCCCAGTCATGATGGACTGTACTCAGCCACGCCCCCAGTCATGATGGACTGTACTCAGCCACGTCACCCAGTCATGATGGACTGAACTCTTGAAATTTGAGAAAAAAATCCCTTCTTTCTATGAGTTGATTTTGTCAGTTATTTTCTCACAGCTATAGGCAAAGTAACTAATTAATGTAATTAGCAATGGAGCTGATGCCACAGGGAAGATGGAGAACCAGCCCACACTAAGAAATTGCCAGGAGAACCTGAGGCCAGAGAAAGCTCATAACCGATGCCCATGCATTACACGGCTCAGACAGAGAACAGGTAAAATCCCATACGGCTGAAACGTGACGTAAGCAGTGAGCATAAGACCCACCGAGAGGAGCGGATGAGAACTTAGATGGTAAAGGGCCCATGAACCACTTCGCAGGGTCCTACAAAAGACACAGTAAACTTTCACTGCAGAGACAGGTTCAGGGGAGACGCTGCGCTCCAGTGGAACGCGGGAACCGGAGGGAGGGATACGGAGACCTCTGGAAGCTCTCAGAACAGTGAGGGCTGAGCCCTAAGGAGAGCCGTGGTGAGCAGATCCGGCTACCTGAGCTTGCAGGGCTGCAGAGAGGGCGGAGAGGGCGCAGGAAGAGCAAGAGATAATGAGCTCAGCAGGAGACGTGCCTGTGGTGGGGCAACAGCGCAGACTTTAACGTCAAAAGCATTCAGATCGAGGTGCCTGGGGAATTTCCAAATGACTTTGGCCATGAAGCAGAGTTTAAAGCTCAAGGGAGACCCAGCAAGGAAACGAAGACTTTGGAATGATTTCCTGTCTTGACACGTGTGTTAGATAACAAAGTTCCAGCTTCCAGTCCCTCATTACTCACAAAAAAAAGATCAGTAAACGGTTCCAGCAATCTCGATTTGTTTACGAGAGGACAAAAGACTAGGAGCGGAGGGTGGAAACCAAAGCCTTGGGAAAATGTGCGAAGATCCGGTAAATACAGAAGAGAGGAAGGCAGAATCCCGGAAAACCCCCCGCGGAGCCAAGCCACTGAAGAAAAGAAATCTATGCGGTTGACAAAGAGGACAGGCTTATTTTGGGGTTGGATTTGGCTGCTTGCCCAGGCTAGCCCCCAAGACATGATTCTCCTTCCTCATAACCCTGGGAACTGGGATTACAGACACGAACCACCATGCTTTACCACATTGATGAGGGGAGAACCAAACTGCAAATTTTACGGAAACTAAGCAAGGAAGTCACCTGAATATGAAAAGCATCAGGCGATCGAGAGGCAAAGTCAGGTCATGTCTGCAGTGTGTCCCACACACTTAAGGATGTCATGGTTTAAAACCAATTACTTCATTTATTTGTGTATGGTCACACATATGCCATGGTCCAAAATATGTAAAAATGTATCCGGGGGTTATTATCTAAACTAATTTCATTCTTTACCACCGTTTTCCAACAATATACATTTTTTTTTACAGAATAAGATGGATATACAGTCTCTATGCTTCATGCTTGGGAATGCAAATAAACAGCTTACATAAATTACAAAATGTATTTCCATATTGTCATTTTTATTTATTAAGCAAATTGTAATAATAATGAATAGTAATGCCCAGAGTCAGAAGGACTCAACTGAATTGCAGGCCCAGAAAATTAAATAACACCAGAGAAGACCAGATTAGAACTCCCTGGAGGCATGAGAAGCAGACCTCAAGATTTTCCTGTCACTGCTTCACATTCTTACAAATTTCAACCAACCTTGGTAAAGCAATGTTAAATGAAAACCAAGTAATCTGGTTATGATGTTGCATCACGTGATTTAATCTGGTGGGATCTGCTTCTCCCTCCAGAGCAGCGATTGACAGTGGGAGCACAGATACTGCGCGGTGTCTAACTGCAGGATCAACACCAAACTGAGGGGCCGTGATTCCCTGTGCTGTCATCTGAGTGTGAGCATGCGCTGTCATCTGAGTGTGAGCATGCTCTGTCATCTGAGTGTGAACATGCACTGTCATCTGAGTGTGAGCTGTCATCTGAGTGTGAGCATGCACTGTCATCTGAGTGTGAGCTGTCATCTGAGTGTGAGCATGCACTGTCATCTGAGTGTGAGCAAACCGTTTCACCACTACTGCCTTCTAGAGTTTTTTTCCAGCGCAGACAAAACAGACACTCAACTTTTCTCAGCTTCCTTCCTTTGCCAATGACACTTCAAGCAAGAGTTCTAGGCCAGATTTCACAGCCAAGCATCTCTGTCTCCTGACATTTCAAGTGCAGTGCATTCTAATGGGCCCAGAAACAATCTTTAGTCCCTCAGAGGCACCAGTGTACATGAACTACACTGGCTACGCTACGGTGGAACTTGTGACCACGAGTTCAAAACTGGACCCTTTACAGCAAGGCTGCTCAACTCTAGCACAGCTGCTGGTGCTGGATGACTCTCCTTGTGGGGGCTTTACTGTGCGTCTCAGGTTGCTGAGCAGATATCTCTCTGGTCTCTACCAAACAGAACAGCAGCAACACAGTTCTCAAACACTTCTCCGTACATTGCTAAGTTCATGGAAGACTCACGCCTGGATAGGAGTCCCTAGACAAGACCTTTATTTATTCATTCATTTGTTTACTTATGAATTTGTTTATTTATTTATTGCACAAAAGTTTCAACTACTTTCTTCATATACTGCCCATAAGGAATCAACTAGGTAGGCCAAACTAACTAAACTAGTTTCTTCTTCAGTACTCAGTTCTGTGCTAGTAGAGTCTCATATCACTTTATTACCTCAACCTGTTTGCAGACCTACTGCGTGAGTGACCTGGGTTAGTGGTTTTCATGATTTGCTTTTTTTTAATTAATGTATTTATTATGTATTCAATGTTCTGCCTGCATACATGCCTGCAGGCCAGAAGAGAGCACCAGATCCCATTACAGATGGTTGTGAGTCACCATGTGGTTGCTGGGAATTGAACTCAGGACCTTTGGAAGAGCAACCAGTGTTCTTAACCACTGAGCCATCTCTCCAGCCCCCCATGACCTCTCAGTGTTGATGGAGGTGTCTGCAAGTGTCTCAGCATCTAAAGAAGCACCAGGCTGGGTGAGTTCCTCTTGACGTCTTTGTGAGTTGCACAGCACACTAGGCAGTCCTACCCTGTGTGTTCCTCAATGCCTCTAGTGTCTGGCTTACATTAAATGTGAAGAAAAATTGTTGCTTTTCAGCCTCTTATGAAGACTTTAGAAAAGATCACTTTCTATCTGCTCCCTGAACTTTGAGTGCTTGATGTTCTGTTAGCATTTAAGCTTCATAAATAGCATAAACTTTCCATACTTTATTTTATTACAGAATGAATCTTATTTCTTTGAGTATCCCATTTACATTTAAAAATTTGTCTTCACCACCCCAATATTTTATCTTAGCGTGTACTAGTTTATACTACCATTAAATATCACAGTAAAAGCTGTTTTATAATTTTTATGGCACTTGAAGTTTCCACTAGTTTTTGATATTTCTGAGAGTTTTATTTTTATGTCTGCATATTTCAGAAATTCTACAGCTTATAAAATGGAAAACTATTGTTCTAGTCTCCCACTGGTAGATTTTTAGCTATGTGACCGAATAGAAACCTGTTAAAAAAAAAAGGCACTGTCCTAATAGTGCCAACTGTCAACTTGATACAGTCTAGAGGCACTTGAGAAAGGAATTCTCTCAATTAAGGAATTATCCTCATCAGACAGATCTATGGGTGTGTCTCTGGGAGATTTTCTCCACTGCTAATTAATATACATAGACCCAGCCCACGAGTGTGTCACTCCAGGCTGTATAGGAGAACTAGCTAAGTGAGCTAGGTGAAGCAGTCAGTAGCATCCTCTGTGGTTTCTACTACAAGTTCCTCCTTGAGTTTCTGCCCTGACTTCCCTCGGTGATGGACATTGAATTGGCCGTTGCTTTTGGTCCAAGTGTTCATCACAGCAACAGAGAAGAAACTAGAACAGACATACTTACTTGCTCCAGTAGACTTTTCCTTCCAGGGTTTGCATCTCTCCAAGGATGGCAAGGAGAAGAGATGATTTGCCACACCCCACTTGACCCACGATCATGGTTAACTGACCTAGAGAAACAAATCAGAGTACCGGAAGATAAGGAAGACATCATTTGGCTAAATGAAACCAACCCCGGCCATGGTGGGCATGCTGGGACTCTCAACACCAGGAAGACAGACAGCTATAAAGATGGCTGCAAGCTCAAGGCCTGCCTGATGTTCATTGCAAGCTCAGGGCAGGCCCTAGTTCCAAGGGTAGATGAACTATTGAAACCGCGTTTGATGGGTTTTATAAAAGAAGACAAACCCTCAAAGTTATGGGAATACGTCATGAGAGTGGAGCTGGAAGATGGAAGTGAAAATTGCTGAAAATACACTGTGAAAAATTCTGAAGAGAATTAATAAAAACATTATTTTTAAGAAACTCAAAATGATATGTTGTGGGATAATTTTTTGTGTGTGCTGTGAAGATGTGTTGCTGTTTTACCTTGCCTGCCAAAGCACTTTTAGTAAAGAGCTGAAAAGCCAATAGCTAGGCAGGAGAGGAGAGGTGGGTTTTCCAGGAAGAGAGAGGAACTCTGGGAAGAAGAGAGGCCGAATTAGCCAGGCAGACAGGGAGGAAGTGGAATACTTGGTCCTGAGCAGAGGTAAGGAGCCACAAGACAGAATACAGATTAATATGAAATGGGTTAATTTAAATTATAAAAACTCGTTGGGAGCAAGCCTAAGCTGAGGCCAAGCTTTCATAGTTAATAAGAAGTCTCCATGCCATTGTTTAGGAGCTGGCAGTCCAAAAAAAGTCTGGCTCCAACGAAACACTAAACAGATGGTTATTACAGAGTAGCTGCTTCTCCATAAAACTTAAAGGCAAAAAAAAAAAAAACTAATGAGCAAATACAGTGATCAGATGGGTGACCCTGAAGTGCTCGCAAGTGCCATCTGCCGCGGGACATTTGAGTAGATGGTGTAAAGTGTGTCACTCTTTTACCTTGCCCGTCCAAGTTTATTAAACCTGATTGGTTTAATAAAAGGCTGAATAGCCAATAGCTAGGGAGGAGAGGTTAGGCAGGACTTCCAGTCAGAGAGTGGAACTCAGCATTAGAATCTGGCATAGCAGGAGATGCCAGGGAGACTGGAAGGAGTCAGACACACAAAATGGTAAAAAGCCATGTGGCAGAGCAAAGATCAGTGTGAATGGATCGATTTAAGTTATAAGCGCTAGTTGGAAACAAGCCTAAACTAAAGGTCAAGCTTTCGTAATTAATAATAAGTCTTCATGTCACTTTGGAGGGGTTGGGGGTTCAAAGAAAGTTTACTACAGGCATCAGTATTTTTCAGGGCTTCAGATGTTTTCACACTCTTTCTTTAAAATTGTTCTCAAACACAATGAGAAAACAACAATCCCAATTCCTTAAGTTCCTCGAATCATCAAGTAAACAGTAAATAACTTTGTTCAAAGACACAGATTTTCAATTGACACTCCAGTGTTACAGTGATAATGAATGAAAGGAACCTAGTTTTTGCATGTGTTGGGGGAGGGGAGAAGTCATATGTGTGGAGGCCCAAGTTGAGGTCTTGAATCTCATGAGGAACCTAGTACATATAAGTAATATAAGCTGTGACTGTATCTTTTAAAACTCCCTTAACAGGCAGGAGAGATGGGACACAGGTCAATGGCTAAGATTATGGGGACAAGAGTTCAGATTCTCAGGACTGGAGTCAGGGGCATTCCAAGCCCTGTAGATGGAGTCAGGGGCATTCCAAGATCAAGATGGAGACAAAGCAATTCCCAGAGCAAGATGATGGAGACAGGACATTCCCAGAGCAAGATGATGGAGACAGGACATTCCCAGAGCAAGATAATGGAGACAGTGCATTCCCAGAGCAAGATGATGGAGACAGTGCATTCCCAGAGCAAGATAATGGAGACAGTGCATTCCCAGAGCAAGATGATGGAGACAGTGCATTCCCAGAGCAAGATGATGGAGACAGTGCATTCCCAGAGCAAGATAATGGAGACAGTGCATTCCCAGAGCAAGATGATGGAGACAGGACATTCCCAGAGCAAGATGATGGAGACAGGACATTCCCAGAGCAAGATAATGGAGACAGTGCATTCCCAGAGCAAGATAATGGAGACAGTGCATTCCCAGAGCAAGATGATGGAGACAGTGCATTCCCAGAGCAAGCTGGCAAGTCAGATGAGCCATATCACTGAGTTTATATAACTGAGAGACTCTGCTTCATTGAATAAGGTGGAAGATTAATTGAGGAAGATTCCAGACCTCAGCTTTGGGCCTCCAAATGTATGAACTCACCATCCCAAACCAACCCCACACACATACTCACACACATGCAAAGATGTATGCACAAATTCATACCACACACACACACACACACACACACACACACACACTGGAAACTAAATAAACACAAATACAGCCCTCCTTTTTCACTTTTTGTTAGGCTCAATTATCTGGAAAAAATACAAAAATGCTTAGGCAATGAGCCTTACCTGTTGGAATTCGAATGTCAATATTGGATAATGTAGCTAAACCACTGCCCCATGAGAAGTATCCATTTGTCACCTGGAAAATAAGAACATGAGAATTAAGTTAGATGTGCAGTACTGGTGAATAACTAAGGACAGCTCCTTTCTAGTGTTTAAAGCTGCAACACAAGTTACCGCACACAATGCCAGTCTAAACGGAGCGCTGGGTGTTTAGCGGGACAGATGAGCCACGAGGAAAGGGGGCTCGGCAGGGCAGAGCGCTTGCTGCTCTCATACAGCTCCTGTGCCCACTGCCCAGCACCCACACCACCTGGCTCACCACCAACTGCAGCCACAGCTCCAGGGGATGCATCCTCTCCTCTGTTAGCACTTACACACATGTGCTACATACAAACTCACACGGACACACACATTTACGCATACAAACAACAAATAAGAAAACACATCCTTTTTAGGTTTAAAAAATGTATTTCCTTGTCATGTACTAGAAAAGGAAAACAGTGCTGAGGTCACCAGTGAAAGTGAGGACATGACCAAGGTGTCCTGTGACAGATTTGAGAAGTGACTGAAGATGCCACAGCGTCATCCCAGTGTAAGAGGAAGAAGAAAATAAAATGGGTCTGAAACCACCAGAAAAGAGCCTGGAACGTGTGCATTCGCCCCTAAACATGTAGCTGCACACTTTCCATAGGCCAGGCATGGAACCTCACTGCCCTGGAAGTCACTTGCTTGCACTTCCTGCTTACCAAGGTATCATTATTTCCTTCACTAGTCTTTGATGGAGTTGCACATTAGATAATTATAGTTATAGGTTTCTTTAGTTATGATAAAAATAAATCAGGTACAAAACTTTGGACTCACAAAGATAGATAATAGAGTAGTTTCTCTAATTTTGCCAAATACAGATAGACTGGATATTGTAACCATATTCTTATTTAATACCTATTTTTGTTGTACACGATCTTACTATGTGAAAGTTAAAATCTTCCTTTTAATTAGTTAAAAATGGGTGAATGCTGTGGAATAATCCTCTTGTACACTGTAAAGATTTGTCACTCAAATCGGTTTAATAAAAGGCTGATTGACAAGTAGCCAGGCAGGAAGTACAGGTGGGGCAACCAAACCAAGAATTCTAGGAAGGAAAAGGGCGGAGTCAGGAGTCACCAGTAGATGCAGAGGGAGTAGGAGATGAACGTACCATGTTAATAAAGATACCACCATATGGCAGAGGATACATAAGGAATATGGGTTAACTTAATAAGAGTTAGTTAGTAATAAGCCTGAGCTATTGACTGAGCATTTATAAACAATATTAAGTGTCTGTGTGGTAATTTCGAAGCAGCTGCCCGAAAACCTGTGCTCTACACCTCTCCATCCCTAATATTATATGACCAGTAAAATCTGAGGAATAGACTCTCTGACCTGTCAGTCTTCTACGATGTGTGCAGAGAGATCCTGTGTTCCAGCTTTCCAGAGTCATCGCCCATTCTGGGGTGGATGTAGTTGCTTTGATCCTGTAAGTGACTCCCAACCTCTACTCCTGTAAGTAACCCCAGTAGACTCATTGGTTCACCAAGTTGGACTTTAATGGAATCATTACATTGGCCTTTCATTAGTTTCCTATCTTTGGTGAGTAGACATTTGTTCATATCTCCCTAGGAATAGTGCCATGCCACAACCAACTTTTCCTTGTTGTCTTTTAAAAATGGAATTATAAAATACTAGTATTTTCTATGAGTCTGAGTATGTGTGAATACTAGAGGAATGAGGTGAATACCAGCCTCTGGTGGATTTGAAATAAATGCTCCTTTTCTGGGTACCAAACACAAGGCCGAAACAGAACCTGTGATCAACAACTGAAGAAAAGAATTATAAAGTCACCGGAGTGTGCTTTACCGACTGTCAGAACTGTGACCACAGTCAAGAGGCCCTGAAGACACATTTGGGACACTTTTGCAGATGTCAGCCTAGAGTGTAGCACACATGCTTTCACTTGCGTAAGAATGCAGGAGATGGACTAACCCTTATTGCAATATCCTCTGTCTCTGCAGGCCGGAGGCGGCGTGATTGCTCATAGCTGTCTAGGTGGTATCTTCCAGGCTGCTTCCTGTTTATCGGTTTTGATTGCTGTGTTCCAAATAGAAAAGGACAGGAAGCGTTATAAAAACATGGAGATTTTTACCAAACGTTCACTCACATTGCTGTTTCACCTCAATTCCAAGAAAAATAAACAAAGCAAATGTCAATTTTTAGCCTTTCCTATGGCTTTTCCACAAGAGAAAATAGTGGGAAAAAACTTTTAGCTAAAATTTTAAAGCTAATTAACCTATCTCTTGGGAAAATGAAAAGATGATGATGCAGTACTTGCAAATGATGTTGGTTTCAATCTAGCCCAGGAAACCTGAGCCCCTGGTTCAGTGAGAGACTGTGCCTCAAAGAATAGGCAGAGAGTGAGAGAGGACACGGTGTCCTCACCAAGCCTGTCTGTATGCATAGGCTCATGAGCCCATTTACCCATCCATACATGCACACACACGCTCTCAGACACAAACATACTAAGACACATAAATAAATATTTTTTAAACCCTGTGTACTATAAACAACCTGATTAGATTAACCCCGAGCAAATTGCAATCCATCTGGGAGAGCCATCAGGCTTATAAACAAACATTCCAGGGGGACATTTACTTATCATCTTTGGGATCAAAAGAAGTTTGAGTCTGACATATGCACATAAGTCACACTGAGTTGGAACACACCCAGGAATCTATTGCAGGCTGTCAAAAGAAAAAGACCTAGGACTATTTTCCATGGACAGTGCATCACCAGGAGATCCATAGGCGCTACACTGTGATCTGATCTACTTCAAATGACGCACCGTTCCTCATCAGCAGACAAATCTCTCCACTGCAAAGAATCTAGAAGTAGTAAGGGGAGGGGAGTGTCTTTGCCTGTGAAATGCTTGCAAGTGACCTGAGTTTGATACCCAGAACCCTAAATAAAAAAAAAAAAAACAGTAAGGTAGATGTGATGGCAGGGTTTGCAGTCTCGGCACTGAAGAAGTTGAGATAGGCCAGCTCAACACACCTGAAACATTCCAGACCAGGGAGAGACACTCGGAAACCAAGGTGATGACTCTCAAAGAATGACAGTCAAGGTTGTCCTCCGGTCTCTATACACAGGAGGTCATAAAGTGCATGCAGGCACACACACACACACACACACACAGAGAGAGAGAGAGAGAGAGAGAGAGAGAGAGAGAGAGAGAGAGAGAGAGAAGAGAGAGAGAGAGAGAGCGACAGAGACAGAGGCAGAGACAGAGACAGAGAGATGAGCACACATACATATGCACCTACACACACACATACACAAGGGGATGGAAGATGACTCAGTATTTAAGAGTCTGCTCTGCTAGAGAACTTGGGTTCCGTCCCCAGCGCCCACATGAAGGTCATAACTGGCTGTACCTCCTGCCCTTCTCTGACCTCTACAGGTGCTGCACAGGCATAGATGTTGTAAAACACCCATACACATAAGAATATTTTTAAAATTTTAGAGTGAAAAACTCAAAATTTGTCTATAAATTTAGCAACGAAGTACCTCCCGATAAATAAGTATATGCCTCGGTCAAAATACCTTGCGGAGATGTTTCAGGTAATAATGCAACAGTTTTTAAAACTGTTAATTTGCCAAAAAAGCAGATGATTCTAGAAGCATAAAACTTTTGAAAATATTTCTGTCTGAAATTTCAAGTTTAACATTTAAAAATGATTAACATTTTAAGAAAAGATCATTTTTATGACATTTAAAAAATTTCTACGAGAACTAACAATGTCTGAAAAAAATCAGTAATTCAATTCAAACAAGATAGTGCCTTTCCAACTTCCATTAATTGATGTCCCAAAAGAACATCAACCATCAAACATAGCAACGCCAAGGCTTCATTATGAGCAAAACAAAACAAAACCTTTGTAAGAAAACAGACAGCAGAGGACCAGCCAAGGTTAGGCCATCTAGGAAACACTACATGCACACACACACACACACACACACACACACACACACACACACACACACACACACAATCTTGCTTTGAAAGAAGGGGGGTGGGTGATGAAATTTATGTTGGTTATCTGTCCTCCCCAGAGCCCTCACAGATAACACTGGAAGCACAGCACATGGAATGTTCTTGAACTAAGTAGCTCTGTACCTATGTTCTAGCACCACTGTCTCCTAGAGTCATGACCACTGTGGTAGTGCTGTGGAGGCTCAGAAAGATGACGTCACGCTCTTCCTGACATCAAGGAGAGGTTGATAAGTGGAGATGTGTTGACAGAGACTTGAGTCACACCTCCATAGAAGTAACTTAAAGAGACTTTGGCCCTAGAACATCGCCGATTCTCTGTGGCAATGCTACAGCCAAAACCACTTAGCTCTAAGCTCTCACAGAATATATAGCATCCCAAGTGCTCTCAAGGAGAAGTTTCCGTTAGTGTTGTTTTCAAACACGACATTTTACAAAAGCTTGTCATTTGTGGTTTGGGCCATCCACGGTGACGAATGGCCCTGGAAGGCACTAGAAATCCAACCTGGATTCAATAACTGAAGATTTTGGACATGTTTGAAGGAGAGCCTTGTTTCTTCCAAAAATCTTTTTGCGGTGTAATTCTACTCCTCTGCCTCATCTCGTACAGAAAATAATTCTTCAGATATCTCCAACTTCGTGAACTGAATCTCCCCTTTCTTTGAGGTTACCTCTCTCTGCTCACCCTGCCTCTCTGGAAAATGGTCTAATGCATTCTTTGGGAGATGAAGACTATCAAAAGAGTGGGGACCTGGTTCTAATCAAAGATTTGATTTTTTTATCTTAAAAAATATAGATACACTTGAATGCATTTTTTAAAGATATGTGTGTGTGTGTGTGTGTGTACACGTTTGTATAGGTGCACACAGAGGCAGAAGAAGCCATAGAGGGTTTGGAGATGGAATTACAAGTTATTGTGAACTGCCCAGTTTAGGTACTGGGAACCAAACTCGGATTCTCTGCAAGAATGTCAAGTGTTCTTATGTTGACTGAGTTGCCTCTCTGGCCGCCATGAATATCTTGTGTGGTTCATGCAGGGATGAACCTATGACCGAAACACTATAAGCTCCCTGCTTTAATCTGAGCTAGGAATTCATGTGTGATTATGTTCATGTACATGTCCACACAACGTCTGTCAGCCTTTGCAGGCCTTGCTATGGCAACATAAGCAGGCACACATGGCGGCTATTTCTCAGACAAAAATCACACCTGTTCAATGAAACAACCAAAAAGAAGGGGGTTTTGTTTTGTTTTTTAATTAATTCATTATTTTACATTCCAATCGCAGTTCCCTCTCCCTCCTCTCCTTCCGCTCCTCCCCTCTCCTCCACACCCCACCACCTCCCGTCTGCTTCTCTGAGAAGGTAAGGCTTCCCCTAGTAAATCTACAAAGTCTGTCTCATCACCTCGTTGAGGCAGGACCAAGGTACCCCTCACCCCACCCACCCCTGTGTCTAAGCTGAGCAAGGTATCTCTCCATATAGAGTGGGCTCCACTAAGTCAGTTTGTGCACTAGTGTTAGATCTTAGACCCACTGCCGGGGGCCTCATTTATTGTCCCAGTCTCAACCATTGTCACTTATATTAAGGGAGTCTAGTTCAGTCTTATGCAGTTTCCCCATTTGTCAGACCTGAATCAGTGATCTCTCACTAGCTTGGGTCAGCTGATTGAATGCCAGACATAAAGCAAAAGATACCCAGCCTACAATCCACAACACCAGAAAAATTAGAACCCTAAGAAAGGCTTCAACCAGTCCCATCGATTTAAAACTTATCTCATAGCTATGTTTTGTAAATTTCCATCTCTGATAATAATGTTCCTTCTCCGGATAACAGGAAGTGCTGTAAAAACATTAACTGCAAAATATGTACCTTTTGATCTCACCCTAACGTTAATTGCCTCCTTAGTCAGTGCCCTATTTCAGCAAATGGTTCCACCGTCTACCCAGCAGTCAGCCAATCAGAAAGCATCCATCCTTGACTCTCCTGTCTTCTTTGCTAACATCTAATCTTTCAACGCATTTTTATTAACTGAACATAAAAAGACCCGGAGGGATCTGGGGGTACGTAGCTCAGTGATAGAGGGTTTGCTTATCATGGACGAGGATGTGGATCAGTCCTGAGCAGCACACACACACACACACACACACACACACACACACACACACACACACACACACACAGAGAGAGAGAGAGAGAGAGAGAGAGAGAGAGAGAGAGAGAGAGAGAGAGAGAGAGGGAGGGAGGGAGGGAGGGAGGGAGGGAGGGAGGGAGGGAGGGAGACACAGAGAAGAGACAGAGACGAGACAGAGAATACACTGAATTCAATCACTTCTTCACCAGATTTAACATAACTGCAGCAAAATTCTTAGTGCAGCCATCGTCTCTTACCTGTGTTATTGTAATCACCTCTACTCACCTCGAAATTCCAACCTTTGCCTTATTGACCCCGGTAGCCAAAGTAAGGTTTTTGAACAATAAGTAGAGTTATACTGTTGCTGGTAATCCCAGCAAGTGGAATTAGCAGGAAGAATAAGGATTCCAAGTCATGCTTAGTTGCAGAGTTCCAGGCCAGTTTGGGGCACATGAGACACTGTCTCCCAAACCGAAAACAAACAAACAAGCAACCTCGTCCAAAGGCTTCTACTAAGCTTGCGTAAAACCCAGCCATTCTTGTGTCCTACACAACCCAGTCATTATCATAACTGTGCCTCATCTTCCTCTTTGTCACCAGGACTTCCCTTCAGCTCTTTATATAAACCAAATCAACCCACCACTCAAGAGCTCTGCATGTGCTAGCCTTCCTGTTTCCCAGTGTCCCTCCGGAAGACACACATCTGCATTCTTCAGGTCTTGGCCCAAATGCTGGCTCCCCTGAGGGGCCATCAGGGGAATGACCACCCTAATTTGCATCCCCCTTCACTTTTTCATGTCCTTTTCATTTTTTTCCCCCTGCAGGAAACGGCCTTGTAATTTCAAGCTCATTTATCATCTGATCCCCTCAGCAAGAAAACAAAGCATGCCGGGAGACACATCGTGAGCCTTGTTGAGGGCCACATTAAATACAGGGTAGCCAGTGAGTCTGGAAGCCTGGGGAAAGTATGACAAGCAGTTGGTTTCTACTCCACGTGACACACGTCCAAACAGTGCTGACTGCTTCCAGCCAGGCCTTATTCGGCTACTGAGTAAATATTTTTGGCGAGCATGGGTGAACCTGCTGGATTACAAGTGACAGGGCTCAGGTTAAAGCTCTCATTCTGGCCCTTCTGATCGATCCTATGATCTGGTTCAAGTCACTGCAGCATGCAAAGGCAGTGTGCTTGGATGAAAACAAAAACTGGCAATGTCCTATGATATGTTGAGTGAACCAAAGTACTTCATGTACCACTGAGCGTGTCTTAAACTAAAATGTGTGCTAGAGCTAAAACACCTCCTAAGGCTATGGGTAAAAAGAAACAATCTCTCAATTCCCTTTTGCATCAAGCAGGGGTTATTCTCTCACAACTTATAGAGGCCATGTTCCCACGTCTGTATATCGATTTCAGGCATGTGAGGATTTACTTTTGTAGAAGCAAATAGTTGTTTGTTTTTTTTCCCCTTCGTGCAGATTGAAACAAATACAGCTTACAGTTTTCTCCTTACTGCGCCCATATTAAAACATGTCATTTGTCTGGCCTGTCCTCTGTGTAGTGAGACACACTCACCACTCCAGTGTGCTTTTTACAGGACTCAAACGGCAGCGAGCCCTCCGCCGTCCTCCAGCTGTCCTCGCCAATCTCATCACTCAAGAGAAACTCATTCAGCTTCTGAACGCTGCAGAAAGAAACCAAGAATCCCTGCGTCAGGAAACTAGGTGAGGTCATCGTCTAAGAAGAACATTGACTGGTTCACTCCGGGACTTCGTTCCCAACATCTGACTGTCTAGAACTGTCTCAGGGAGTGGCAAGCTACCCATCTTGAACGACAAGCATCCCTTTTGGATGTATGCAAGGTGTGGCTGCCGTTTTGCTCTCTTGTTTTAAGGGATGTGGTCTGAAGAAACAACCTCGCACACACCCGCGTTGTACCTCTGAACACCGCAAGGCCAAGCGCGGAGACCCAGGCCTGCAGTGCCTGGCACACGTTGCTATATGGATGTTTGCTCAGTGAATCAAAGAATAAACGGACTGATGATTCACACACTGTATCTGGTGGATCCAGTTCTCCATTTCTCCCTGCTAGTAAGTATGCACACACAAATCTTACTGAAGCTTTTACGGAATACATAAGCCTTAATGCCGAAGCCATGACCCCTCAGCTACACCCAGAGTGGAAAGAACTCTCTCTTCTCTATGTAACATCCTGTCCTTGCTGGCTTCTTTTAGTCATCAACCTGACACAGCCTGGTGTCACTGAGAATGGAGTCTCAACTGAGAGTTCCTAGATCAGATTGGCCTGTGGGTGAGTCTGTCGGGATTGCCTGGATTGATTGACAGTACGGTCTGGCAAGTCTGTGGGCGTTGCCTTGATTGACAGTTGATGTGGGAGGGTCCAAGCCACTGTGGGTCACCACCAGTCCCCTTGGCAAGTGTCCCTGAGCAGAACAGGAGAGATGACCAAGCATAGCCCTCCAGTTGAGCCAGCAAGCAGGGTTCCTCGACAGCTCATGACTCCCCTCCATGGTGGACTCTAACTTGGAATTATAAACTCAAATAAACTCTTTCCTCATCTAAGTTATCTTGTGTCAGAATATTTATCATGTCAACAGAAATGAAGCCAAGACACACCCCATTTGGCACCTCCAGTTACAATGTACACAGATGATGCCCTGTGCTAAATCTCTGAACCCCTCTACTCCTTTCTGCGAGGCCAGAGGTTCTCAGCCTTCGGGGCATGATGTTGTTGGGGGTAGCACATCAGATATTTACATTATGATTCATAACAATAGCAAAATTACAAAATAACTTTCTGGTTGGGGGGGTCACCACAGCATGAGGAACTGTCGTAAAGGGTCACAGCACTAGGAAGGTTGAGAACCCCTACCCTAGGCTCTCTGGCTGAAGGCCCCACACCCTACTGCATTATCGTAGTTTCAGTACTATGTGTTATTTGTATCTCTCCCGTTAGACTGTGGGCATCATTAATAGTGAAGCTCTCCCTGCTCTGGGGCCATCTCAATGTGCACATAGTGATCGCTTGGTGGTGTTGGTGAGACAATAAGAGGCTAAATAAGTAGCAAAAGCATCTCCTGGTTGTACGAGGTCGTCTCAGGAAACTCTGAGGCAAATAACTACGTGAAATGCACAAAGCCTGACCAGGGGTGACACAATTTCAGCCGCACCACCAGGGTTCTCATGCACGTGGCAAATCTAGCAATGTAAGACGCGGTCGCTTCCAGCCTTCTGTCCTGCTAACTCTGGTGTCAATCATTTCTCCATCCACATGAAACCACCTTTAGCCACCCAATTACACTAAGACGTCTAGGGTGCTTCCTCCTCCCTCTACCACCTCTGATAAAATTAATTTTCCTTTCTCCAACTAGTCAAAAGCCACGTATCCTTTTAGAGTTAGCAACTATAGACATGCCCTTCAGACCAGACAGCCTCCTTTCCCTCTAAATAAACTGGTGGTCATCAACGGATCACGCCATTCTGTGTACAGGGATCCATCCTGCTTCCTAGCTTCTCTAAGTCCACAGTGGACTCCCTGCTTGGGGCTATCTGCCTCTCCTCTTTGCAGTTATTAATGCAACCACCAGAGAAAGAAGACCTACAAAAATGCTTGGGCGCTAGACGGTAAAAGGGCGGTAAATGAGTAAGATTGAGATTTGTAAAAAGACCAACATTACTTGGCCATTTCTATGCATTGTCATGTTTTTAAAAACCTCCAGAAGCTTGACTTCTTTTCCATTTTGTATTCCCTTGATCTCTTTTTGTTGTCTTATTGCTCTAGCTAGAACGTCAAGTACAATATTGAAGAGGTATGGAGAGAGGGGACAGCCTTGTCTTGTTCCTGATTTTAGAGGAATCGCGTTGAGTTTCTCTCCATTTAGTTTGATGTTGGCTGTTGGCTTGCTGTATATAGCTTTTATTATGTTTAAGTATGTTCCTGTTATCCCTGATCTCTCTAATACCTGATAATGAAGGAGTGATGGATTTTGTCAAAGGCTTTTTCAGCATCTAGTGAGATGATCATGTGATTTTTGTTTCTCAGCTTGTTTATATGGTGGATTACTTTGATGGATTTTTGTATGTTGAACCATCCCTGCATCCCTGGGAAGAAGCCTACTTGATGATGTTGGATGATTTCTCTGATGTGTTCTTGGATTTGATTTGCCAGTATTTTATTGAGTATTTTTGCATCAATGTTCATGAGGGATAATGGTCTGAAGTTCTCCTTCTTAGTTGTGCCTTTGTGTGGCTTGGGTATCAAGGTTATTGAAGACTGACTGACAAAAAGAGTTTGGCAATGACCCTTCTGCTTCTGTTTCGTGGAATACTTTGAGGAGAACTAGTACAAGCTGTTCTTTGAATTTCTGGTAGAATTCTGCACTGAGGCCATCTGGATGTGGGCTTCTTTTGGTTGGGAGACTTTTGATGACTGCTTCTATTTCATTAGAGGTTATAGATCTATTTAAATTGCTTATATCTTCTTAATTTAATTTTGGTAAGTGATAATTATCCAAAAAACTGTCCATTTCCTTTAGAGTTTTGAATTTTGAGGAATACGGGTTTTCAAAGTATGACCTGATGATTCTCTGGATTTCCCCAGAGAATGTCCACCTTTTCATTTCTGATTTTGTTAATTTGCATGTTCACATTCGGCCGTTTGGTAAGTTTGGATAAAGGTTTGTCTGTCTTGTTGATTTTCTCGAAGAACCAATTGATTCTTTGTAGTGTTTTCCTAGTTTCTACTTTATTGATTTAAGCCCTCAATTTGATTATTTCCTGGCATCTACTCCTCCAGGATGAGTTTGCTTCTTTTTGTTAAAGAGCTTTCAGTTGGGCTGTTAATCCTCTAGTGTGAGTATTCTCCAGTTTCTTCATGCGAGCAGTTAGTGATATGAAGTTTCCTCTTAGCACTGCTTTCAAGTGTCCCATAAGTTTGGATAAGTTGTGTCTTCATTCTCAATGGATTCTAGGAAGTCTTTAATTTCTTTTTTATTTCTTCTTTGACCCAGGAATGGTGCAATTGCGCATTATTCAGTTTCCATGAGTTTGTAGGTTTTCTGCAATCTGTGTTGTTGTTGAATTCTAACTTTAAAGCATGATGGTCTGATAAGGTGCATGGAGTTATTCCAATCTTTTTGTACCCATTGAGGTTTGCTATGTTGCCAAGTATGTGGTCCATTTTTGAGAAGGTTCCATGTGGTGCTGAGAAGAAAGTATATTCTTTTGTGTTTGGATGGAACGTCCTATAGATGTCTGTTAAACCCAATTGGGTCATAACTTCTGTTAGTTCCTTTGCTTCTTTGTTAAGTTTCTGTCTGGAGGTCCTGTCTAGTGGTGAGAGTGGGGTGTTGAAGTCTCCCACTATAAGTGTTTGAGGTCTTATGTGTGATTTGAGTTTTAGAAATATTTCTTTTATGAACGTGGATGCCTTTGTATTTGGGGCACAGATGTTCAGAATTGATACTTCATCTTGGTGTATTTCTCCTGTGATGAGTATGAAGTGATCTCCTTCATCTCTTTTGATTGATTTTAGTTTAAAGTCTAATTTGTTAGATATTAGGATTACTACCCCCACTTGTTTCTTGGGTCCATTTGATTGGAAAATCTTTTCCCAACCCTTAACTCTGAGGTAATGTCTGTCTTTGAAGCTGAGGTGTGTTTCTTGTATGGAGAGTAGAGCTTAGCACTGTGAAAAAGTCACCCTTATTGAAACACTTTTTGGTTTTGAGACAGGGTTGTTCTTAAACTCGGCATGGAGCAGAGGGTAATCCTGAACTTCTGATCCTCCTGCCTCTACATCCCAAGTCCTTGGATTACAAGCCTGTGTCACCATGCCTGCTCTTTTATATAAGAGCTTTATTTTATTTTTTAATTTTAATTTTATGTGTATAGGTGTTTTTCCTGTGTGCACCGCTAGCATGTGTGTTACATGCAGAGGCCAGAAGATGTTGGATTCTCCCGGAACCAGAGTCAAATTTTAAATAACAAGTGGCATACATTTCTTTAGTTTGTTTTGTAACACTTCACCCTAAAACTCAAACAGGGTGAGGTTTGAGGCGGTGCCAAGACAGCCTGGATCACATTTTCCTTTCGTTCCATTTTGTTATAAGCATAATAACAGGGATAGCACATGTGCGCATGTGCGCATGCGTGCTCTGCTCAGTGACCATCATGTATCATAAGGGCTTCTGGCTATTGCTAGGAACTCTTTCAAGAGAAGTGTAGGGCTTATCCTGGAGCAGGGAATGCTGGACGGCTTTACATGTCCTCCAAGGAAGCGGTTTCTCAGTTTTTCTCATGCACACACAGCACAAGATCATGAGTCTTCTTCAGCCCATACCAACCCACCGAGTTTCTGAATATGCTTAACAAAGAGTCCAGTAAAGAATGTATGACTTCTAGAGTCCTGAAGAGGAGATTTCAAAATCAGCTGACCAAAGTCTCCGATTATAAACAGGCGGCTCAGCTCACTGCAGGCCAACTGGCATTTGAGATTGGTCACGGGTTCCCAGGCACTGAGGCAAAGGCAAGAGAGGCCAGTCAACACTGGGAAAATGCTTGTCTGGGTTCCCAGAACCAGTACCCAGTGGGAAAAAGGTCTGGCCACTTCTGTTGACCCACCGTCTTTGCAGGACCTGCAAATCAACCCTGGACGTCATTTTAGAGAAGTGAGCTTTTAGAAACACATTCTGTTTGGCCTGTGGCTTGGGGAAGCTGGCTTGGGGCCCCAAAAGCGCGCTGGACTTTATCAAACTGGCAAATGCCTTTCCCCCAGGAGGGGTCAAGGGAGAAGGGGGTATGAGAGATGTACAGAGGGCTTTACCCACCTTCCACCGCGGTAGGATTTACTCATTGGGTTTGAAGAAGATCCCTTTTTATCTTTTTCAAACCAACTCTCCAAGTCCTTTTAATGTTTGGCAAGCTGCTTATTTCAAAGGCATGATATGTTGTAAGTTATAGACTGCTTTCTATTTCAACGTCTAGTGCAAAGTCAAGTTTCAGTTAACTGAGACTGCGACCATGGAAGGGATGGCTGTTAAATGGAGAAAAGGAAAATAAGAACCAAAATAGCAAACGCTGGCTATTTATCAACTTTATTGTTTGAAGTGGCTTCCCTTCCAGAGTGCTGCCTAATTTGGAAGGCTGACTACAAACTGCGGTCTATCTATGTAAGCCATCCAAAGGCAGAACAATGACAGAAGAAATGAGGGTAGCTGAGGCCATAGGGTCAGGGTTCCAAAGCCCAGCAGCCTGGCTCGAAGCAGTCACTGGGAGCCTGGCTCAGAGAGGACTGAAGCTCTGTTAGGATACCATCCCTTCCCACCCCCATCAAAACCTGGAGCATTTCAGTGTAGCTCATTTGCATGGTAACTGCATTTAGTCACTGGCAAGCCAATATAGAGTGTTGCCTACAACCAATGCATTGAACAGCAAATGCTAGGTTTCTCAGTAACATACGCGCCTTGTCAAAATCGTTTTGTTTGGGAATATCCTACATTGCTGTCGATGGCGAGATGCGCCCCGCAGGGGCAAACCTCAAGGGGCCAGGTTCTCCTCAGGGTTGGAGCATTCACACACATTTCTTTCAAAGGTCACATGAAAATATGACAAAGGCTGTTTTGCAGCACAAGCTAAGATTCTACAAGGCACACAAAGATTGCAAAGTGAGAGTCAAACGTGACTTCAAGACTGCGTTGTTTACAATATGGTTTAAGACAGCAGATGGTGGCACAGACAGCACCGCGTGTCTTGTCAACACAGTTGTGTGTGGTACAAATGGAAGAAGGGGGAAGTGGTCATCATCATGTGACACCCACTTTTGTAGCTGTCAGTTAAGGGTAATTATAGCCAAGACAAAGTCTGCCCTGGCTAGAAGCATACTTAAAAGGGAAAATGAACAGTTTTCCAAGTCTTCCTATTTTCAAAGAATATGAGCTGAGATTATTAATTTTTTGGCAGATTAAACTGAAATTCATGCAGCAGACAGATTGGTGCAGCTTCAGTGGGAAACAGAGTGGCCACATTCATAGATACATTAAATCTATGTGCAAGCTTTGACCTACATCACTTTGATGAAAAGCATAATTGTCATCTTCATGGAGAACCTTTAAGATGTCACTGAACCTATACTACTTTGTTACAGTTTTAAAAGTGAATGAATGGAAACTTATCCACTGAGGTAAAAGCTAACAACTGAACTGTCATCTATACCTGATAGGAGAGGGAAAATCAGTTTTCTCCAATAGCATAACACTGCAGCACAGGCCTTATGGTCAGGAGTAGTTGGTCAACATATAGAAGACTCCATGATTTTTGGTTTCTTTTTTTTTAATGTTGTGTGTGTGTATTTGTATCTGTGTGTTCATGTATGTGCGTGTGAGTGTGTGTTTGGATATGATTTGATGCTTTTTTGCTGTGGTTTTATTATTTTTTTGCTTTTGTTTTTCTTGTTGTTATATTGAATTTTTGTGTTTTTTTTTAGAAAGAACTTAAAGCTGGATGAGGAGGATCTGGAAGGACTTAGGAGAGTGAAGAATATGGTCAAAATAAAGTAATAAAAAAGAGTAATAATAAAAAAGGAAAAAGTAAGGCAAATCTGCAACCATTTCATAGGAGCCAAAACACGGAGAGCTAATATAGTCTCTCTAACAATGGGAATCTCTGACAGTGTACCTATGGCTCCTTTGGGCTTTTGCAAATCTACCAGCAGGAGCCCACATTATTCACACCCACCGCCAGTTAGCAGAGAACCCAGGCAGTTCAGCGCTTACCTGATGATGGCTTTGACGGCAAACCTGACCACGGTGGACAGCAGGAAGAGCGGCGTGACGAGGATATGGAAGAGGGACAGAGAAGCAAAGGCCTCTGCAGGCTTCAGGCTGTTCCCGCTGGCATACGCGTGTGTCACAAACGTCTGCACAAAAACAAATAAACAAAAAAAAATAGATTTATTTAGAAACTCTGGAGAAAGTGACACGCACGCTGATATTCAACTCGACCAACCTAGCGCATCCTACTGTGTTGGCATGTCCACTGAGACCATGAAAAGGCATCACTTTATCCCAAACTCACAACTAGCACAACACCACCAGCCATTGGTAAAGACATCAAGATCTGCTTGTGATCCTAGTGGTAAACTTTTGGGACAGACAAGACAGTTTATTTACAGAAAAGGAAAGTGACTTCTCTCAAATTACTGTGTATAGAGGAAGAAACCGAGCAGAGAGCTCAGAGTCCCCAGCACCCAGCCAGATGCTCTGCAAGAGACCCAGAGTTGCTCTTCTAAGCAAAGAGCATGGTCTCGCATTTAAAGGACTCCACTATCTGTACTAAAACTCCCACGCTGTGCAGTGAAGACTTAGTCCCGTCTGTAAACATTGCGTGGTGAGAAACAGTAGGTAGTTATTCAGGGCACCCATCCTGATTGCTAATATGAACTACTTTGTCATAAGGATGCATGAGAACCAGGCCACCACAATGCAGATGGACACTTTCCAAACACTGTTAGCTTTAACCGCACTCACCCTCATTTGGGGATCGGTTTTATTGTCATAGTTGGGCAAGCTACCAACACCTAGTAGGGTGGAAGCCAGAGACAGCAGTGTTTATCCTAATGCTAAGGATATCCCCTTACGACAAAAAAAAAAATGGTCCAAACCAAAGCACCACCACTGTCAAGACTGAGCCATCCCGGACTAGAACCATTGGGCTGGAAAGCACCCAGACGAGAGTGGCACTCTCCGTCGGAAGTCACTCATGAACACGGACTGGCTTCAATTTCTAAATGCAAGAAAAAGTGTCTTACTGCAAGAACAGCTGCGATGGGGATCGCTGCATTCATGAAGACTGCAGGAAAAAAATCAAATATGTTATTTCACTGAACTGCGCAAACATTTTCCCCATTTAAATCCATCATCCACTATTACTTTAACCGCTCCATGAAGACAGCGATGGCAGAGTGTGTTAGTCGCGTTCTGTCTGGACTCGCCAGTATTCCCCAGGTGCTCTCTCCTCATCTGTGGTTATATGAGCTCCCACACACACGTTTTAGCCAGAAAGTACTTTTCTTTATTAAAGAGTTATGACATTTTCCTTATTAAATGTTCCAAGCAACAGGATTCAGACAAAATAATCCTTTGATGATGCAAAATATTAGAACTTTTAGAATGTGCGTTTTTTTTAGAGTATTTGCGGATTAAATTTCATCAGTTGTGAAAATCTGATTATTATGCAGGTAAAAAATGAGAATTATTTCATGCTCAGGGTCCGACAAAGGTTGTGAGCTTTCACTTTTGGACCTCTCAGTTAATAAATAATTCCATTCCTTAGCTCTTCCATAAACCACAGATACAGAGCCAACACAAGGGCAACTCAGAACTTTAGGCTAAAATCCTAGGGAAGTTTAGAGTAGTATGGTTTTTTCTTTTGTTTTAATGGCTGATGAATTTATTTTTAATCTATGTGTGCGTGTGTGTGCTCCTGAGTGTATGCGTGTGCACTATATGTGTGCAGCTGACTGAGGAGGCCATCCAATTCTCTGGAACTGGAGTAACAGATGGTTGTGAGCCCCCACACGTCAGTGCTGGGAATGGAATCCAGGTCCGCTGCAAAAGCAGCAAGAGCTTTTAACTGCAGAGCCATCTCTCCAGGTCCCATTTTTTATTTTTGCTTTTGTCATTTATTGACATGGTCTCATTTTGTAGCTGAGGCTAGACTTGAATTCACTATGTAGCACAGGCTAGCTTAAACCTCCAACTCTTCTGCCTTAGGCGCCCAAGGGCTAGGGCTATGGCCATACACCAACAAAAATACTAGTGTTTGAGTTGTAGTTAAAACCAGAGGGATGGTTTGCTAGGATCCTTTGTGGTGATATTTTGTTTGTGCTCTAACAAATAAAGCTTGCCTTAAGATCAGAGGGTGGTGCTAGCCCCTAGTTAACCATACAGGCCAGGCAGTGGCAGCTCACACCTGTATCCCAGCAGCTGGTTGGGATCAAATGCCTTTAATCCCAGCACCAGAGGGAGGAAACAGGGAGTGATATGGATGGGCAGAGAGAAGAATATAAGGCGGGTAGAGACGGGACCCAGGCCCCTTTCAGGCTGAGGAGTTGGTGAGGTAAGAGGTGGCTGTGGCTAGCTCCTTTGTCTCTCTGATCTTTCAGCATGTACCCTGATATCTGACTCCAGGTTTTTATTATTAAAGCCCATTAGAATTCACGCTACAATCCTTCTTAGAAACCACAGGGTTTTATCAAAATCTTGCACCACTGGCATGTAGACACAAGACCCACTGAGGATAAGGCCCTTTTCACGGCACCTCCAATAGAAAGTGCCCTCGGTGTTGACTGTTTCCATTTCAGAACAGAAGCACACAGCATCACAAAGATCTAAAGCCAGTTACAATTCAAGAGAAAATAATAAGGAACCTCCAAATTTCTAAGTCATTAAAGAACAAAGCCACCCACAAATCAAATCAAGTAAGAGTGGTGGCTGTGACTAAGCGTGTGTGAACTATGCTAACACAAGCCCCTTAGGCTGGAGAAGAGTGAGCTTGTACTAAGATGGAAACAGTATGCAAACGTTCTCCAGAGCACACTAGGGGAGCAGAGTGTGCGTCCCTCCCCCCTCTTGAAGCTTTTCTCCTCCTCATTTTCTCTTCAGGAAAGTCTATCAGAAGCGCTCCCCAAAGCAGGTAGCAGAAGCAAGAGCTTTTAAATGCTTTTAAAGGATTTAGAGATGGTCGTTAGCAAGACGATCAAATCAATGTAAAGACACGGCTCCCCTTTTCATGGAGAACAACTGACTTTCCGTTCTGTAACTGAGGAGTTTCAGCTGGAGCACCACCTGATGTCATTTACCGTTTCCGTATTAACTGGTGAGACAGCTCAGTGCTTGCTGCACAAGGCTGGCAACCTGAGTTCAATCCCTGACACCCTCGTAAAGGCGGGAAAAAGAGGACTCACTGCACAAAGTTGTCCTCTGACCCCCACATGTGTGCTACAAATGTGCCGGCCCACACTCATCATCAAAAAGTAAAATGAGCTTTTTAAAAAAGTACCAAGGATTTCAGTACGCGATGCGTCACAGCCAAAGTCAACTTGCAAAGAGCCAGATTCGGGTCTCCCAGCCTCGGGCTCTCTCCTTAGTGTACAGAGCCCATCGTGTGGCTAGTGGAGACTGGGTAAAATATCTAAAGACAATAATGGCTTCCTTTGAGGACTAGCACATTTCCTTGTTTATAGCACAAACTTAGCACTGTGCACATAGTGGTGGCTCAGGGTGACGGGGGGGGCTCACTGGAGAGTGACGTGTAGAGCGCGAAGGTTTTGAGGCTGGAGAGCTCCTTCATCCGCGTCTCTTCCACACTTTTGCAGAAAATGTGCTCCCAGGCGTACAGTTTAAGGAGCTTGATGCCTTTCAGGATCTCATTTGTCTTTTTCAGCCTCTCGGTGGAATAATCCTGTAAAACAAAGGAAGAGGTCGTAGCCCGAGATGCAGCCAATGACACTAGAAAGGCAGGACCCAGAGATGCTCAGGCCTTCGGGAGACCTTGGTTCTGAACAGCTCTGTCACTATTCACACTAGAAAATTCCCAGGTTAGCTCAGTTCAGTGCCACAATCTCGACTTCATTCATTCAGATGTTTTAGGTTAGCAACCAAAGCAAATGGATTCCGTGCGAATGTGTGTCATCATACGGTCTTCCTGTTTGTTCCCCTACTCACTGCCCTGCCCCATAGCCTCTCTCCCCTCCAGATGGACCCTGTCCCTCCCCAAACCGATCGATCCCACCTTCTGCTTTCCCGCTCCATGTATTCCATTGCCCACTCTATGCTCTCTCCTTTAAAATGCCATCCTCTCCTGACACAATTCCCTGGTATTGGGAAACCCTCATAAATGCATATGTACACATATGCACGCATACACACTTATGCACATACATACAAATACACACACAAACATTCACACATACACCCGCATACACATAGATACGTTACAGACACGTGAGCACACACACAAACATACACAGATACATTACACAGGCACCTGCACAAGCATATATATATATATATATATACACACATGCATACATTCACATATATACACATACCACTCACACTTACACATGGATGCACACACATACACACACACATACACACATATAAAATATGGAATGCCTCTTCAGTTTGTGTCACCCACACCCAGGGGCCATGCACATATTCTCTGAATCATTCCAGCTTTAGCATGTACACTGCCCAAGCAAGAATTTTCCTTGGCCACACCTGCGCCCCCGGCCTCAGGTGACCTTGGGTCCTCCTGGGTACCCAATCCCCACCCATCACCAGCTCCCTTGATCTTCTGTTCCCACTCCTGGCATCCAGAGGATGCACCCACACAGGAAAGAACTGAGTCCTCCCAGACCCAACCCCTGACTCTCCCCACACCTGAGCGCCTGGCTTCAGATGAGCTTAGGTCCTCCTGTGGACCCAATCCCTGCCCATCACCCGCTCCCTTGATCTTCTGGGGCCTACACCTGGCATTGAGTGGAAGTGAGACCTTCCAGACCCCACCCTTGGCTCTTCCCACACCTGTGTGCCCGGCTTCAGGGAGACCAGTAGAGATAGAGAGACCCCAACTTCACCCACTCAAAGAAGGGATGGGAAGATGGCATTGTAAGAACATACTCAGCAATAAAAAGACCAATATGACTCCACCAGAATCTAGAGACTCCACACCAGCAATACCAAAAAAGCACACCATAGATGAAACAGAAGAGACAGACCTTAAAAATTATTTTATGAAGATGATAGAGACCCTCAAAGAGGAAACAAGGAAATCCCTTAAGAAATAGAAGAAAAAACAAGCCAAAAAAATTGAAGAAATAAACAAATCTCTTAAAGAATCTAAAGAGAGTCAAGAAAAAACAAACAAGTGAAGGAAACAACCAAAGCAGTCCAAGCCTTGAAAACTGAAATAGAAACAATAAAGAAAACACAGAATGAGGGGATGCTAGAAATGGAAAGGCTGGGTAAATGACCAGGAATTATGGGTGTAAGTATAACAATAGAATATAAGAGATGGAAGAGAGAATCTCAGGTGTTGAAGACCCATTAGAGGATGTACAATCATCGACCAAAGAAAATCTTAAATCCAACAAATCCCTAACACAAAATTTCCAGGAAATAGGGAACACTGTGAAGAGGCCAAACCTGAGAATAATAGGTATAGACGAAGGTGAAGAAATACAGCTCAAAGGTACAGAAAACATATTCAACAAAATCATAGAAGAAAACTTCCCTAACCAAAAGAAGGATATGCATATGAAAGTACGAAAAATCTTACAGAACACAAATAGACTTGACTAGAAAAAAGAAGTCTCCTCATCACATAATAATCAAAACATCAAGCCTACAGAATAAAAAGAAAATATTAAGAGCAGCTAAAGAAAAAGGCTAAGTAACATAAAAGGAGACCTATCTGAATTACACCCGACTTCTCAATGGAAACTATGAAAGCCAGAAGATCCTGGACAGATGTCCTACAAACGCTAAGGGAACAAGGATGCCAGCCCAGACTACTGTACCCAACAAAGCTTTCAATTACCATAGATGGAGAAAACAAGATATTCCACATCAAAACCAGATTTAAACAATACATATCCACAAATCCAGCCCTACAGAAAGTAGAGGAAGGAAAACTTCAACTCAGCAAAGATAATTACACTCACAAAGACATAGGCAATAGATAATCCCACTTTACCAAATATCAAAAGAAAAATGGAGGGAAACCCACACACAATAACACCACCACCAGTAAATCCAAAACAAGAATCAACAATCAGTGGTAATTAATATCCCTCAATGTCAACAATCTCAGCTTGCCTACAAAAAGGCACAGACTAACAGAATGGATACGAAGACAGAAACCATCCTTCTGCTGCATACAAGAAACACATCTCAACATCAAAGACAGATGTTACCTCACAATAAAGGGTTGGGAAAAGATTTTCCAATCAAACAGACCCAAGAAACAAGCTGGTGTAGTAATCCTAGTATCTAACAAATTAGACTTCAAATTAAAATCAATCAAAAGAGATGAAGAAGTACATCTCATATTCATCACAGGAAAAGTCCATCAAGATGGAATCTCAATTCTGAACAACTATGCCCCAAATACACAGGCACCCACATTCATGAAAGAAGCATTATTAAAGCTCAAATCACATATAAAATCTCACACACTACTAGTAGGAGACTTCTACACTCTGCTCTCACCACTAGACAGGACCTCCAGACAGAAACTTAACAAAGAAACAAAAGAACTAACAGAAGTTATGACCCAACTGGGTTTAACAGACATCTATAGAACATTCCATCCAAACACAAAAGAATATACCCTCTTCTCAGCGCCACATGGAACCTTCTCTAATGTCAACCACATAATCAGAAACAGCAAACCTCCACAGATACAAAAAAATTGGAATAGCCCAATAAACCACCATCCTTTAAAATTAGAATTTAACAACAACACAAACTGCAGAAAACCTACAAACTCATGGAAACTGAACAATGCACAATTGCACCATCCCTGAGTCAAGGAAGAAATAAAAAAAGAAATTAAAGACTTCCTGGAATTCAATGAGAATGAAGACACAACATAACCAAACTTATGGGACACTTTGAAAGCAGTGCTGAGAGGAAAGTTCATAGCACTAAGTGCCCACATGAAGAAACTGGAGAATACTCACACTGGAGAATTAATAGCCCAAGTGAAAGCTCTAGAACAAAAAGAAACAAACTCACCCCGGAGGAGTAGACACCAGGAAATAATCAAATTGAGGGCTTAAATCAATAAAGTAGAAACCAGGAAAACATTGCAAAGAATCAATGAAATAAAGACTTGGTTCTTTTAGAAAATCAACAAGATAAACAAACCTTTATCCAAATTAACCAAAAGGCAGAGAGAGAGCATGCTAATTAACAAAATCAGAAATGAAATGGGGGACATAACAACGGACACTGAGGAAATGCAGAGAATTATCAGGTCATACTTTGAAAACCTATACTCCACAAAATTCAAAAAATTTAAAGAAAATGGACAATTTTCTGGGATAGATATCACTTTCCAAAATTAAATAAACAACAGATAATCAATCTAAAAAGACCTATAAACCCCAAGGAAATAGAAGCACTCATCAAAAGTCTCCCAACCAAAAAAAGCTCAGGCCAAGATGACTTCAGTGCAGAATTCTACCAGAAATTCAAAGAAGAGCTAGTTCCAATACTCCTCAAAGTTTTTCACACAATATAAGCAGGAAGTTCGCTGCCAAATTGTTTTTACAAGGCTACAATTACCTTGGTACCCAAGCCACACAAAAACACAACTAAGAAAGAGAACTACAGACCAATTTCCCTCATGAACATTGATGCAAAAATACTTAATAAAATACTGGCAAATCGAATCCAAGAACACATCAGAAAAATCATCCACCATGATCAAGTAGACTTCAGCCCAGGGATGCAATAAACCAACAGCTAACATCAAACTAAATGGAGAGAAACTCAACCCAATTCCTCTAAAATCAGGAACAAGACAAGGCTGTCCACTCTCTCCATATCTCTTCAATATTGTATTTGAAGTTCTAGCTAGAGCAATAAGACAACAAAAGGAGGTCAAGGGGATACAAATTGGAAAGGAAGAAGTCAAACTTTCACTATTTGCGGATGATATGATAGTTTACATACGTGACCGGAAAAACTCTACAAGGGAACTCCTACAGCTGATAAACACCTTCAGCAAAGTGGCAGGATACAAAGTTAACTCAAAAAAATCAGTAGCTCTATTATATACAGGCGATAAATGGGCAGAGAAAGAAATCAGAGAAATAGCACCCTTTACAATAGCCACAAACAACATTAAATATCCGGGGATAACAGTAACTAAACAAGTGAAAGACCTATACAGCAAGAACTTTGAGTCTCTAAAGAAAGAAATTAAAGAAGATTCCAGAAAATGGAAAGATCTCCCGTACTCTTGGATTGGTAGGATCAACATAGTAAAAATAGAAATCTTGTCATTCCATTTTCAGGATTCAATGCAATCCCCATCAAACTACCAGCACAATTCTTTACAGACCTTGAAAGAACAATTATCAACTTTATATGGAAAAACAAAAGACCCAGGATAGCCAAAACAACCCTGTGCAACAAAAGAACTTCCAGAAGTATCACCATCCCTGACTTCAAGCTCTATTATAGAGCTATAGTAATGAAAACAGATTGGTATTGACACAAAAATAGACAGGTAGACAAATGGAATCAAATTGAAAACCTGATTTTTAACTCACACACCTGTTAACACTTGATTTTTGACAAAGAAGCTAAAATTATACAATGTAACAAAGAAAGCATCTTCAACAAATGGTTCTGGCATAACTGGATATTGGCATGTAGAAGACTGCAGGTGGATCCATGTCTATCGCCATGCACAAAACTTAAGTCCAAATGGATCAAAGACCTCAACATAAATCCAGCCACACTGAACCTCTTAGAAGAGAAAGTGGGAGGTACTCTTCAACAAGTTGGTACAGGAGACGGCTTCCTGAACATAACACCAGAAGCACAGACACTGAGATGGACAATTAACCAATGGGATCTCCTGAAACTAAGAAGCTTCTGTAAGGCAAAGGACACAGTAAACAAGACAAAAATGCAGCCCACAGAATGGGAAAAGATACTCACTAAGCCCACATCTGCCAGAGGTCTGATCTCCAAAATTTACAAAGAACTCAAGAAGCAAGTCTCCAAAACACCAAAGGATCCGATCAAAAAGTGGAGTGCAGAACTAAATAGAGAATTCTCAGTAGAGGAGTCTAAAATGGCTGAGAGACACTTTAAAAAGTGCTCATCATCCATATCCATTAAGTAAATGCAAATCAAAACAACTCTGAGATACCATCTCACTCCTGTCAGAATGGTTAAAATCAACAACACCAATGACAATTTATGCTGGAGAGAATGTGGAGAGAGGGGAACACTCCTCCACTGCTGGTGGGAATGCCAACTCCTACAGCCACTTTGGAAATCAATAGGGAGATTCCTCAGAAAAATGGGAATCAATCTACCACAGGACCCAGCAACACCACTCTTAGGCATATATCCAAAAGATGCACATTCATACAACAAGGACATCTGTACCACCATGTTCATAGCAGCATTGTTTGTAATAGCCAGAACCTGGAAGCAACCTAGATGCCCCTCAACTGAAGAGTGGATAGAGAAAATGTGGTACATTTAAACAATGGAGTACTATTCAGCAGGGAAAAATGTAATCTTGAAATTTGCAGGCAAATGGAAAGCACTAGAAGAAACCACCCTGAGTGAGGTAACCCAGTTACAAAATGACAAAGATGGTATGTACTCACTCATATATGGATTTTAGACATGCATCAACCTACAATCCCACTGCCAGAGAGTATGGGAAACAGGAAAGAACCTAAGAGAGATATGCATGGTACCCCAGAAAGGGGAGTAAGGCAAGATTTCCTGAGCATATTGGGAGCAGGTGGGGGAGGGGAATGGTATCTGAGAAAAAGAGAGGGGCAGAAGAGGAGGAGAGAGGAGATCAGGGGGAGCAAGAAGGCTAAGTTGGGGAAAAATAGGAGAGAACAGGATGAGAAAAACCATAATAGAGGGAGTCATAGGTTTGAAGAGAGATCTGGCACCTGTGAGACCTCTAGTGATCTAAAAGGATGACACCAACTGGCAAGCTAAGCAATAGTGGAGAGACTACCTTAAATGCCCATCCCTGATAATGAGCTTGACAACTACCTTATATGCCATCCTAGAACCTTCATCCAGTGACTGTTGGAAGCAGAGGCAAACGCCCACAGCTAAACACCGAACTGAACCTCTGGAAACCAGTGACAGAGAGGGAGGAGTGATGAGCAAAGGGGTAAAGAATGGGCTGGTGAAACCCAGAGAAACAGCTGACCTGAACAAGGGGGAGCTCTTGGATCCCAGACTGACCGTTGGGAGGCCAGCATGGGACTGATTCAGACCCCCTGAGTGTGGGTGTCAGTGCAGAGGCCTAGGCAATCTATGGGGCCTTGGATAGTAGATCAGTATTTATCCCTGGCATATAAATGGACTCAGTGTGTCCATCCCACAATGAGGGATGCTCTCTCAGCCAGGACTCTTGGGGAAGGGCCTAGGCCCTGCCCTGGATGAAATGACAGACTCTGGCGATCCACCATGGAGGGCCTCACCCTCCCTGGGGATCGGAGTAGAGAGTAGGTGGGGGATGGGGGGCCTGGTGGGGAAGGCAGGGTTCGAGAAGGAGAGGGAGAGGGAGCTGGGATTGACATGCGAAACAAGCTTGTTTCTAACTTAAATGAAAGAGGAAGAAAAAAATGTAATAAAAAAGAAACACACACACACACAAATAATTTTCCTTGGCTTTAAAATGAAGGGGTGACTCCCAGAGAATCAATAGAGAAGCTAAATTCAAGTAGATGAATAAGTAAAATGAAGACGTGACCAAGGAGGTAACTCAAAATATCCATCCATCTAGAGACACATCTGCCTCTATTTCTTTAGTTTATACAAACTCAAGTTCATCAGATCCCCACGGTTCCCATGAGTAACAGCAGCAGGTGTGAGTATGAGTGTTGACATACAGTGGGTGTGTCATGGATCCCACTGACTGTAGTCTCCCCTCTACCCCACCCAAGAAGAGCAAGCGTGAACTGAAGATGGGTGGAGTCTGTGAGGGTCCAGTGCGGGGTGAGTTCACACTGTTCCTCACAGTCTAGGAGGTGAGCCCGAGCCTACTTTCAGCATGATTCCGCATGCTTTTTCGTTTGCGCTTGCTTGAGGCTAAGAATCAGAGCCATTTCAGAGATGTCTGTAGCAGATTTAAGTCCTCAATGTAATCATCATTTAACTGCTTCTGCCACCCACTAGAACAGCCTACAAGGTGCAGGAGCTTGGGACAGCTGAAGAAAGTAAGGCAGCCATTGTGTTCCTCATTTTTTGTCTCTGCAGGACCTTGAAGGCCTATCAAATGAGTACCCGTGAGCAGCGAAATGAAAGGCAGATGCTGGAGGGGTGCCATATCTCCATTTATGCTACCCTTGTCTTTCTGCATTTGAATGCTACAGTTAAAAGGGTGGTGGCGCACGCCTTTAATCCCAGCACTCGGGAGACAGAGGCAGGCGGATCTCTGTGAGTTCGAGGCCGGGCTGGACTGACAGCTTCCAAAACAATACAGAGAAACCCTGTCTCGTAAAACAAAAACAAAAACAAAACAAAAAAGGGATGTGGCTCAGAGCACAGCGAGGACCAAAACAGACACAAGGAGTCACCTCCCCCTATCAGCACACAAGCAAGTGGGAAAAAAAAACAACAACAACAACAAAAACCAAGCCTATGCATAACACACAACTTCCTTGTCACAGAAATATCAGCTCAAGGAGCAACAGTAAGGGTGACAAAGTCCCCTACATGTGACACATGATCCACACCCAGTCTCCTCACAGTTAATCAAGCTTTATTTCTAAACACACTGTCAATAATTTTACGATTTGCAAACGGTTCTTTGAAAGAAGCCAATGCTTACTCAAATAAATAGAGGCCAGAAAGCCTTCCTTGCCAACATGACCACGAATACACTCAGTGGGATTTGCTGTCACTGACAGGTCACCGTTGGAGGGAATTTAACCTCGGATGCTTGGTTCATTTCTTCCCTTGTCATAACTGATACCCAGTGGCCTCAGAGTATGCTTAAGAGTAACTTTTGACACTATTTTGTCAAGATCCAGCCAGATGTGGTTGTATATACCTCTAATGGCAGCATCAGAGAGGCAGAGGTAGGCAGATGTTTGTATGTTCAAAAGCAGCCTGATGATCTACATAGTGAATTCCAGGACAGCCAGACCTACAGAGTGAGACCCTGCCTCAAAAGGAAAACCAAACAAAAAATGCCCAAAGCCTCGCCCCTTGTGGTTGTCAAAGTGCGAGACTGAGAGTCAAGTCCCAAGTTTCCAGTCTACCTTCTAAGTTGCACTGGCCCAGCCAGTACAGAAATCAGTGTGGAAATTCTTCAGAAAGACTGAAGCTGTATCTACCACATGACCCAGCTACACCACCCCTGAATACTCACTCCAGTGACTCCAAGTGAACACACCACAGAGACGCATGTACGTCATTGTCAATACAGCACTAGTCATGTAGCTGAGTTTGGGAACCAAGAGAGGTGTTCACCAGCAGGGGAATGGATAAGGACAGTGCGTGCACACACAGTAGATTTTATTCTACCATGAAGAAGAACAAAATTATGCTCTTTGCAGGACATGGGTGCAACTGGGGATCGCCATAATAAGTAAATGAGATCAGACTCAAAATGACAAAGGTCATGTTTTCTCTCATCTGTGAGTCCTAGGTTTTACACAGATACATAAATCCATCCATATATGCATGCCATGGAAGCAGATGTGGAAACTGTCCAGAGAAGCAAATGGGTTTAATAAGACAGAAACAGGGGATATGGGCGGGACAAGGAGAATATATTCAACATATACTGGATATCTGAGTGAAATTTGCTACATAGAATGAATAGACACCAAATTTAAGATATTTTGCAGTAATAAAAATAGACATTCACTGACCAAGAATACAAATAAGGCCAGGAATGGTAACACTTTAACCCCAGCACTCAGGAGACAGAAACAGGCAGAACTCAGTCAGTTCAGACAAGACTGGCCTACATAGCAAAATTCAGGACAGCCAAGGTTGCATGTAGTAAGACCTTGTCTGAGAGAGAGAGAGAGAGAGAGAGAGGTGGAGGGAAGGAGGAAGAAATGAGAGAAAGAAAAAGAAAATAAGAGAGAGAAAGGAGGGAGGATAGAAGTAAGGAAAGAGAGAAAGAAAGAAAGAAAGAAAGGAGGGAGGAGGGAGGGAGAGAGGGAGGGGATGCAATGATTTTGAAATTATGAAATGGATTGACTTCTTTTACCATAAAAATATAAAAATCAAGCAGCGCCGCCCCCTTCCCTGCTACCGTTTCCAAGGATGTGACTCACCAGTGTGCTCTTCTGGGCCTCGGCCAGCTTCGTGGCTATGAAATATTGAATCGGCGCAAGGAGCACAATGACAGCAGCGCCAACCAGCGCGCTGGATCCGAGCAAGTTGTACAGCAGGATCACCCCCATTATGATCTGGGAGGGAACACAGGGACAGGAGAGTGAGCGGCTGTGGGAGCCAGCGAGTGGGGGATGCCCTTAGTGAAAATGGACATCCGTAACTACCGTGCTAAGTTAATTCGGGGGTCAGCTCAATGGTGACAGTTGGGCTTTGCTAAGATTTCTTTGTGCAGTTACGTGATAGGAATATATTTTTAGTATGTTCATCAGCACCACTGGTGTCACACCCGGTTATTACAAGAAGCTGCAGAGCGACCTCCTGGTGTTTCCAACCTGATAACACAGGTCTAAAGGGTTAAAAAGGCTGTCACCCAACATAAACTTGACATTCTAGGTTCCCTTGGAACTGCACTAGGTTTTCAAAGCTGTGGAAACGGAAGTATCGGCAGTGTTCCACATGAGCATAGGAGTCCTCCTATGCTGCAAGGCCACAGTTCCCTACTTGGTGACTCCAAAAGCCACTTAAGACAAGAACGCTGGGAGTAACCAAGCCTTGAGGAAAGCTGGGTGCAGTGACCAAGCCTGTAACCCCAGCACCTGGGAGCCTAAGGCAGGAGGATTCTTGTGGGTACATGACCAACTAAGGCTACACAGTCAAACCCTACCAAACAAGCAAACTTAAACAAAACCAGCCAATTATAAAGACTCTCAGGCTACTTTATCACAGTCATTTTTCTCTTTTGATCCATTATTTTACAATTATTTTTTGTTTCTGAGAGAGGCTCACAACTTGCCACATAGCCAAGGTTGGCTAAGTTAGTCAAGGCCGGCTTCAAGCTTGCTATCCATTATGCTCAAACACTTGTATTTTTATGAATTTTAATCTCCACTAAAAACAAACCATAAATAAGACATTTATGAACTTTCATTTTATTATTGTGTGTACTTTTAGTAAAATACAGTGTTTCAATTTAAAGATGTAAAGATGAAAATTTTGAGATAATGAAAAATACTCATCACAGCAACCCAGAAAAAAATAACTGAAAGTTTCTTTAGCCTTTTTTACCCAGCGGGACAAAAAAAAAAACCTCACATGTTAAAAAAACATCATTTAAGTCGGGCAGTGGTGACACACGCCTATAATCTCAGCACTGGGGCGGGGAGGCAGAGGCAGGAGGATCTCTGTGAGTTTGAGGCCAGCCTGGTCTACAGAGCGAGTTTCAGGAGGGGCTCCAAAGCTATAGAGAAATCCTGTCTCAAAACAAAACAAAATCCACATTTAAAGTACTACTTTATGCAGTATATAGCTAAATAGCACTGTCATGTTTCAGTCACCCAGTTGAAGCCACGGGGTGATTTGATGTGACCACTATAGATTGGAATTGCTGTGGGAATTTGTCAGAATGAGAGTCCAGACCCGGGTGTGGATTTGACAGTAATGCCAGTAACCAGTGGATACTAAATGCCATGAAATGCAAGTCCCTGCTTCCAGATGCTTTGGACCTGGTGACCTGTTTGAACTTGACAACCTCCACAGCTATGTCTAGAAGATATGCGTGCTTTCTCTGGTGTACAGTTATGGAAAGCAATGCAGCAAGGGGCTCGACAGCAGTGCATGCAGGGGCACCGCAGGCGTTAGAATTTAAGCAACGCAATCCCACGTCTCACGTCCCCACCTTCTAAAATTCCTTAGTCTCATATTCCTTATCTACAAAAAAAGGGGGGCACTAGAACATTCCAACAGTAAGCCCTTCCCTGAGCCTAGCAATCTCAGTTCTGCTTGTTGTATCTCCCCTTCCAATGAGCATCTTACGTATATTGATCTACCTGAACGGGCATGGCCCACAGATTGGGACACAGGAACAAGAACCACATGAGCTGGTTGGTTTCTATGGCAACCAAGTTGTTGATCTGTCCCAGGGTCATCTCGCCCATGGATAGGTTGGAAGTAGAGAGCCGAAGGATTTTATTGTATATCATAGCCTATGGGAAGAGAAGGGGGAAAGATGGACGTCAAGCTCCAAACTCAGACCCAACGCTAACTAGTTACTTCCACTGAAAAACACAATTATTTTTCAGTTTTTGAGAATTCACAAGCCTCTCTACCTTCTTAAACGAACCATGGTCTTAAATATGAACTTGTGTTTCCTAGGATGATAGTTAAAACCCACACTCAGCTTTAAACACTATGCTCAAGAATAAACAGACTTAGGAATGGTAAATGAAAGACTTTTGCGATATCTTCCTTAATGTGTTGTTTTTTGAGAGCTCCCCGTGCCATATTAAGTCAGTGTGTCTTTCACTAAGTAGAAGCTACAGACCTGGAAGCCAAGAGGGGCTGTGAGAAGGGAGAGAAGATCCAACGTAATGGGAGGATGATTGAATATACTTGACTCAAAAACAGGAGGGACTGTTTTCAGGGGATGAAAGGGACCAGAGAGAGAGAGACAGAGAGAGGGAGGGAGGGAGAGAAAGAGGGACGGAGGGAGGGAGGGAGGGAGGGAAGGAGGGAGAACAAAGTAAAATGAAATGTATATATAAAACTGTTACAATAAAGTCCATTATTTTATATGAAAACTAAACTTTTTAAAAGTAGATCCTAGAAACTTATTGTGATAATATTAAAGTGAAAACAAAGTGGAGGGCAAGTATTCCCTAAGTGGTTAGTAGTCTAAGCAACGCACGGCACACAGCATTCACAAGATGCAACGGTCCCCATGCCCTACATACCAGCAGAGCCCCACGGAGGTTGATGCCAGTCTCTATGGTGACATAGTAGGAAGCCTGCAGAAATGTCCTTTGCAGAATAAGGGCCAGGAAGAGCAAGACCGCCAGCACATAGGCGTTTTCCAGAAATTCCTTCGATGACAGTGTCTCTGAAATCTTATCCCCAAAAGGAAAAAGAAAACAAATTAAAGCCAGCCTTTCCATCCACCAGATGTATAGCTTGCATTTATCAAAGGATAATTGATTTTCAGTTTAAAACTCAATGTTCCTACAATGCAAACATCTATCTCCCTTGAGACAGGGTGTCTCATTGGCCCGGAGCTCACCAGGTCAGCTAGACTGGCTGGTGGTGAGCCCCCTGGGACCTTCCTGTCTCCACTTCTCCAACGCTGAGATGATCGTCATAAATTACCAGACTTTTCTGCTTGTCAATCAAGAACGTCACTGACTGAGCCACCCTTGCCCATGGCCTTCAAAATCATTGCACACAGTTATCTTCTTCCGGTTTCCACATATCCTAACTCATACCCGTGAAACAAACTTTAAAACATGTCATTTATTTCATTTATGTGTCACTTCCAGAAAGAAAAGATGACTTGTGAAAACTCATCTTAGTAGGAAAATGACTGAGTCCATCACAGGGATTAAAAAAAAAGCCATGGGTTCAGCTTTACAAAAGGCACATAGCAATATTAAAAACATTCTTCATCTTTTATTATTTGAAATCTAGTGTTGTGATGGAGTATTAAAGCAAATTGCTTTTCTTTTAGTTTCAACTCCTTCATAATCATCATCATCTTCTTCATTCTTCTTCTACTCCTTTTTGTGGTGAATAAGTGAACAAAATTGTAATTGGTGGTGAAGTGTATAACACTGAGCAAAATTTTGTGGCTTTGGAAAGGCCGTTTTAACTGTGGCCTTGGAAGGGCCATTTAACATTCCCTGAGATGGATATAGTTTGGAAATAGACAAACAAGTGTTTGTTTGAGTGACCAACTTAACCTAGACATGTGAAGGCATTCCAATGAAGTGTATTTTTTCAATCTAGCAAGATCGTATTTCTAGCATCTTCCTCGCCTGTCTTCAGCATTTGAACCTCCAGCCCTACCCCATCTCCAGTCTCTGAGTCCTGAGGTCCATGTGTGGACTGTTACGCTCTTTCTACATAGGCGCTGAAGATAAAAACCCGGTTCCTTATGCTTGGAGGCCAAGCCCTTTACTGACAGAAAAATGGAGACAGGAGGATGACCAGGGCTCAGTGGACACCAAATTCAATGGTAAGCTTGTCTCAAAAAGCATTAAGGTGGAGGGGTAATTGAGGAAGACGCCTAATGACAACCTCTGGCCTACACACACACACACACACACACACACACACACACATACACACATACATATATACACACATACATACACACACATATACCTGAAAACACACATGCATATACATATAATAAAGCAGAAAAGAAAAATATATAATATTAAAACCACATTTCTCATATTATTGCCACAGACCTTTGAAACAGTGCCTTTAACACCCTTACATCCTATTTAAAGATTACTATAAAAATCAAGTAAAATAATCAATGTGAAATTTTTCCATAAAGTTCCTTACACATGAAGGGTGGTTATAAAGTGTTTATAGACTCCAAATCTTATGAATAATTTTGATTTGTAGATACATTAATATATATGTGAATATATAATATGTACATAATTATATAGATAATAATTTTCTCTAAAAAGAAAACTGTTGGTTTCACTTAAAAAAACATTCAATTTCTCTATAAATAAGCCTGCTTGAATTTCTCATACTATTGCATTAATAAAAAGTGACAATGCAATGTAATCATCCAGTCATGTGCTTCCTTTCAAAAGAACTGTGCGTAGGACAGGCAAGAGGGCTCAGAGAATAAAGTGCTTGCCACCAAGCCTGATGACCTGAGACCAATCCCCCAGGATCCATATGGTGGAAAGAGAGATCCTACCATCCTCACACAAGTTGTTCTCTGATCTCCACATGTTATCTATGTCATTCACATGTCCATTCACATACACACTGTAGTTATTTGAATAAGAATGTCCCCCATAGGCTCGTATGTTTGAATACGTGACTCCAATTCGTGGAACTGCTCAGGAAGGATTAGGAGGTGTGGCCTTGCTGGAGAAGGTGTGTCACAGAGAGCAGGTTTCCAGATTTCAATAGCCCATGCTATTCCCAGTTAGCTTTCTCTCTGCCTCATGCATGTGGTTCAAGATGTAAGATCTCAGCAACATCTCCAACACTGTGCCTACCTGCCTGCTGCTGTCACCCCATTGTGGTGGTCAGCCTCTGAGGCTGTAATCATCCAATAAACTCTCCGATGAGTTTCCTTGGTCACTGTGTCTTCACAGCAATAAAAAGTAACTAATGCAAACATAATAATAATGATAAAACCACGAACTTACTCCTGTAGTGTTATTTGTTCCATTCTTGGTTTCATTCACACGCTGGACTATTCCAGAAATACAGAGAGGACCAGCAAACCCCAGCAAGTCAGCCAAGTATCGGAACGTGCTGCTCAGCAAGATTGGTCTCCCGAAGGCTCTGTACATGGCCAGCCATATGGATGGGGTCCGATTTGGATGGTCTGCAACCTTTTTCTGAAACAAGCAAGAGACCCAAGAAAACCCTTGAAGCAGCAGCTGACGGTGGTGTGCTTTCTGAAATCTCAAGGGTATTCTAAAGACCTAAAAATAATTGTGAAAATTTCAGTGCAACATGGGAAACCCTACAACCTTTCGTTTTATGCAAATGGCAGCTACTGGCACAACACAACGAAGCAAACCACGTGGTATATAAGGTAGTTCTTCCACATCTCTGCGTTGCTTTCTGCTGTCAAGATGACAAGGGACTCTTAAGGACAAATTCATATCTAGTTCCCTCAGCTTAGAAAATGTGTATTGCTCATGAACGTGACCAAAAAATCGTATGAAAAACAAGATCATGAGAGACTAGGTGTAGATATTATTTGAGCTTTGTACTTCCGTATTTAACAAGCCTGCTCTCTCTCTCTCTCTCTCTCTCTCTCTCTCTCTCTCTCTCTCTCTCTCTCTCTCTCTCTCTCTCTCTCTCTCTCTCTGGTTATGGGTGTGGAAGAAAAATGCTATTACCTTTTGCTCTTCATAGGCATCCTTCAGGCAGACATAGTTTGTCACTGCCCTCATTGCTATGGGCAACTTTCCGATGGCCTTCAGATCAATAGGCTTCCTATGAGCAGATATGATCAGCGTGTTCATCCACCAGTATGTAGCTTTGGACAGTAAGTTCACAAATGGCTGGAGGAACCTCACACCCAGGTCCTGGAGGTCTTCTGGAGGCTTCACTTTCTGAGGATTCATGAAGAAAACATATCTCTGCGGTAGGAAGAATTCCACAATGTGACCATCAGCCTACTTCTCTCTCCACAAACTAAAAATAAAGCCACAACTTTCCTAAAGTTTCATCTAAGGCAGTCAAAGCTCATGTTTTAATTTACGGTTCTTTCCACTGCACTCTAAAATATCCTTTGCAATGTTTCTCCCTTGTTTTCCCTACCAGCTGATTGCCAGAATTCCACATGGAAAACACTTTGAGACAATCCTGAAAAATTGATTAGCCCTTTAAAGGGACCTGTCTTTATCCTATGATAGGGTTAAATTAATGGGGATTGTTGTATCATGTCATTGAGAGTTTAACACCACTGTTGAGCCACATGGTTTGGCTGATGTTAACTATCTATTGTTTACTTTCATTGTAGTGTATATCTTTCTCCTCAAAGTTATTTTAAAGAAAATGAATATTGAAAAACCTGCTAGTTCTAGTAGTGACTCCCACAATGTAACTGACAACACTTTAAGAACAGAAAGTGCAAAATAATTTGAAGTATAGGCTTTGTTTACCTCAACGATAGTCCTAACTATTGTATTTTGGACATGTACCACTGTGGACACCTCATTGGGGAAATGAGAAGAACAGATAAAATTATCTTCTCTACATTGACCAACTTCAAGAATCGTATTTTGATAAAACCAGACATGCCTTCGTCCACTCATGAATAAAGAAATCCATGGATGAAGAAATCAATCACTATCTGTGAGATCATAAATAGAGTCAAGGGTCACACAGATTCTGAGACATTAATGGTGTGGTTGTTTCAGTGAGAATGACCTACCACACAGACAGACAGACAGACAGACAGACAGACAGACAGACAGACACACACACACACACACGCGCGCGCGCGCGCACACTCATGGAGTTAAATACTTGGTCCTCGGGTGGTGGAACTTCTTGAGGAGGATTAGGTTTTGTGGCCTTGTTGGAGGTGGTGTATCACTGAGGGTGGATTTTGAGATTTTAAAAGACTGATGGCATTCCCAGTCTGTCTGCCTGTCTGTCTGTCTTTATGTCTATGTCTATCTCTATCATTTGTTTCAGGCTTGTGGGTCAGATGTGAGCTCTCACCTGCTGCTTCAGTGTCTTGCCTGGCCGCCTGCCCGCCTGGCCGCCTGCCCGTCTGCCTGCCTGCCCGTCTGCCTGCCCGCCTGCCCGCCCGCCTGTCTGCCTGTCTGCCTGCCTGCCCGCCTGCCTGCCTGCCCGCCTGCCTGCCTGTCTGCCTGTCTGCCTGCCTGCCTGTCTGCCCGTCTGCCTGCCTGCCTGCCTGCCTGCCTGCCTGTCTGCCCGCCTGCCTGCCTGCCTGCCTGCCCGTCTGCCCGTCTGCCTGCCTGCCTGCCTGCCTGCCTACCTGCCCGCCCACCCGCCCGCCTGCCCGCCCGCCCGCCTGCCTGCCTGCCTGTCTGCCTGCCTGCCTGTCTGCCTGCCTGCCTGCCCGCCTGCCTGCCCGCCTGCCTGCCTGCCTGCCTGCCCATCTGCCTGCCTGCCTGCCCGCCTGCCCGCCTGCCTGCCTGCCTGCCTGCCTGCCTGCCTGCCTGCCTGCCTGCCTCCACACTGGCCATGCTGGCCCCGGGCTATAACCCTTGGAAACTGTTATTAGCCCTAATGAACCCTTTCTTCTTTAACTTGTCTTGGTCACAGGGTTTCATCGGAGCAATATTTCCGTAACTAAGACAAATGTCCTGCAATTCAGTGGCTACTTTAAGTTTACATTTTCACACATAGATCACATGTCCTCCCCGCCCCTTATTAAACACTACTTACTCCCCACTGGCTGTAATCCCTCACACTGAGGTCCTGAGTGGCAGTCATTATACAAATGCAATTGGTACTCACTCTGACCCGGATGACATTGATCTCCACCGCCATCAGCAGCCCATTCAAGATTACCATCACGCCGGTGATGCAGAAGCGCAGATCTGACATTCCCCACCCCAACTGCCAGTATTTGACCAACTTTATCGTCTTCGTGATGAAGGCCATTACCCAGTACAGGAATAAAGCTGCAGAAAGAGAAGGGGCGGGTGTGAAACCTCGTGAGAATTTCAGCATAGGCACAAACACATGTTAAGTATTTCACTTGCAAATAATTTCTTCAGACGAGTTTAAGCGCATGCCACGGGTTTTAAGTTGGGGTCAAGTTTCAATCATCTGCATGTGGGTATCCGGTTTCCCACAGCTTCAGTTATTTCTGATATATGTGTTTGTGCCTTTGTGCAGAGTCACCAGGCTATAAATGAACAGCATTACTTCTGCCATGCTGTTTTAATTACTAGAGCTTGTTGCCATCTTTTGAAGTCCTGTGATGCCCCATGCCTTGCTCTTAGTCAAACCTGAGGAGAATGGTACTAGGGTTTTGACAGCGTTGGGGGAGAGGGGAAGATGTTCATTGACTCCGTAAATTGCTTTGGAGCATGTCAACACTTTGATCACATTAGTTCTTCCAATCCATAATGGTATGAAACATGCATAACTACTGGTTGCTTCTGCTCTGATCGTGTGGGAAGTTACAAGGAGACCCAAGCATGGTCTCTTTTCTCAGAGTTATTGTGATTCTGTGGGTCTCTGATGTGGTTCGTCTGTGATCTTGTTTCTTAAGGCCTTTGATTATATGAAGAATTAGCAGGTTGGTATGCGTGTAATTTATTGGTTAGGTGGGTACATTGTAACTCTCAGTATACTATGGATTGTTGTTTGCATGGAATCATCATGGGATTTATACAGCTGTGGAATAGAGCTTCTGCTATACAGTTAACCTTCCAGGAGTAAACAATTCTTCTCAAACAAGTAGTTTTAAGCAGCACAAACATCTCCAGGGCACAGAGAGAGCAATGATCCTGGAGAGCAGCCTCGTCCTTGAGTAGATGAACAAGAAGGGCGAACTCTTCAATCCTCACCCTCATAGCCAGTGTCATACCATGAATATGAGTTAGAAGTGGACACTAATGTAGTCCTCTCTGTACTTGGGTCATTACAAGTGAATAGGATAAAAAAAAAAAGAATCTAAAACACACCAGACAACCCAGTTTGGGCAGTACTTAGCAGAGCCAGAACACTTCCAAGTGCTCACCCTTCCTACCCTGAAACAAAGCTGAACATTGGCATCACAGCGCAACATACATCAGGGATTTTTAAGCTTAAGATAGAGAAATAAGAATAAGTCTAAGGGAAAAAATCCACTGTCTAAAGAGATCCACCTTACGTACTGGAAACAGGTTGAAAATAAGTGATGGAAAAAGATGTAACATGAAACCAGGAAACATAAGATCCTGGAGAAGTCTGTTAATTTCAAGTCATGTAGGCTTCAAGATGGAATGTTAGCTGGAAGGCAAAATGTTTCTAATAACCTAATAATGATGAAAGGGTCCCCTTTTTGGTTTTTCTGCACAGGGTTTCTCTATGTAAGAGTCCTAGCTGTCCTGAAACTTGCTTTGTAGACCAGACTGGCCTCAAACTCACAGAGATCTGCTTACCTCTGCCTCCCAGGTGCTGGGATTAAAGGTGTATACCACCATACCCAGTCTTTAAAGGGTCTATTTTTCAACAATTAAATTATGAATGGCCCAATGAAAACTTGAAGATCTAGACACTATCAAACATCATACTATTTGGTGTTTACAAAATTATTCAGTATTTGGCATTATAAAATCTACTTACCACCTTCAGACTATATTTTCACACTAGCTGACCATTGAGCTGGTAATTAAGAAATAAGGCACAATAAAATTAAAATAGGAGTGAGATATAACTCAGCAGTCAAAGCAATTATTGCACAAGCAGCCAGTGTGAGGACTGGGTTCAGATTCCCCAGAACCATGAGAGCGCTGAGTGGTCTCAGTGACCCTCCTGCAATTCCAACCAGGAGGCAGAGGCAGGGGACCCATGGAGCAAGCCGGCTAGCCAGAGCAGCTGTAGTGGTGAACTCTTGGTTCACATGAAAGACCCTCTCTCAATAAATATGACAGAAAAGCAGTGAGGATGATCTCTATCACCCACCTGAGGCAACCACGCATGTGTGCACACTTATGCATCCACACCCGTGCACTCATGTGTCCCTGAACATGTGAACATGCATGCGAACATGCATGCGCACATGGACACAATACAAGCATGCATATGAAAAAGGACGGAAACCAAAGTGTCACAGTTTTAGAAGTCAAGAACAAAGCCTTTTGCCTCTGCGTTGCTGCTTAATGGGGGACAGAAACCTAACAGCTGGAAACAGCCCACACGCTTGTCATCTCACAGTTTGTGTGTACTGTAAGTCCAAGTGCACGTCATCTGGACTCTCTCAACAAGCACCAAGCCAAGTGATGACAGGGCCTGCCGTGTTAGCAGTGAACCAACTGACTTCGAACGCTTGCACTCGCCGTACTTTGTTGGATCCTCCTTGACCTCAGGAGAATATGTCACGGACTAGCAACACCGAGCACAGAGACAATGCTGTCACCTTCGAGTGTTTCTGTTCAGTGGCCTATCTAGAGGTCTCCAAATGGTCATAAATTAAACCAAGCATATCTAATAATCCACGTGAAAGAATACTTCCTATACACACTAGAGAGTAGTCTAAGTGAATTGTAACAAAAATTCCACTTTTTGTAAAACTTAAGAAAAGCTAAGCTTCGAATAAGATTACCATTTTCGATATTCAGTTTGGAGGGGTCTCAAATCAATGTGTCTACCTTAGAAGCTATGGGGAGGAGGACAAAGAATGAAATCTGAAGAAGGGAGTCAGTGGCCTGTGAGTGGAAAAGGATACAGCATGAAATGAGCAGCTGATGAAATGAGCATGCTCGGGAATGTCAACAAGGCTGGTTCTTTGGGAGAATCACAGCAGAATAGTAACTCTTTGGTCAGGTTAGACAAGGGGAAGAAGAGAAGAGCCAGCATTGGAAATGGAGGCAGCTGTCTCTAGTCTACATCTGTGAGCACGGTAACCAGTGACAATTTTATGACATCCTATCTGAAAAGTTAGGCCAAAGGGAATTGCTTGGAGCCAACGGCCGTGCGTGTGAAATAAAAAGAACTTTGCCTTCTAGTAGCATCTAATACAAAACGGATTTCAAATGGATCACAGCTCTAAAAACAAAAATTGAAACTATAAACTTGTCAGATAATACACGATATAGTAAAAGTTTAAGACACACAGAGCAATAACAATACAAAAATATTAGATAAACTACACCACATCAAAATTAAATTTATCCACTCAACAGGTGACCCAGTTAAACATATGAGTTTAAATGCTCCACACCGAAGGAAAATAGATTGATGATGTCATAGGATTTACTACATGAAGAGTATTTCTGCAACTCAAAGATAAAATGCAACTTACTGAAAATAGAACAAAACATATCAACAAACACTTTAAAAAGATAACAACTAGACCCCTTACATAGATACCAGCCACAAAATCTATCAAGTGGCACTCTGCACCAGGAGCCAAGGAAGATGAACGTTAAAGTCACAGTAATAAGATACTGGTGTACATGCTGAGATACTGGTGTACATGCTAAGATATGGATGTACATGCTAAGATACCAGTATACACAGTAAGATACTGGTGTACATGCTAAGATACTGGTGTACATGCTAAGATATGGATTAACATGCTAAGATACCAGTATACACAGTAAGATACTGGTGTACATGCTAAGATACTGGTGTACACACTAAGATACTGGTATACACCCATCAGTACTGCTGCATGAGAGGGACCAAGCTCACTAAGGCTGTGTCCACATAGACCTGAAGACATCACATACTGTTAGTGAAAATATAAAATAACTCAACTACTTTGGGGCAACATCTGTTGGTTTCTTGCTGATACTGACATATGCTTACATATACTTCTGCCTGCCCTCTGGCCCAACAATCTCTCTCTGAGCTTTTCAGCCTAAAGAAATAAACTCATGTATTCACGAAACTATTCACAATGGTCTTTATTCTCGTGATAGTCCAACTCTAAACAGTCTGGTATGGATCAATAGCACAGGAAAAAGACACATTTGTACAGAGGAGAACTATCTAAGAGTTTATTCTAAGAACAAAACACTGATCAAAGAGCACTGTGAACGGAGCCTCAAGGAATCACACTCAGACAAAGCCGCCTACCTCAAAAGAGTTCAGACAGTCCGATTCTATCTGTGTGAAACTGGAGAGCCAGTTGGTCTCTGCATGGTGGAGGAAATCAGGATAGATATTTTCTCTGTGCAGACGGAGGGGAGGGGAGGGCAGTCTAAGAGGGGCAGAGGCTGTGCATGGCTGAGGGTGATACTGTGGTGGGGAGATGGTGTCCACACACCTAACAGCCGCAAGTCCTCTTGGCATCAAGTGCGCACATTTCAGTTCACAAGAACTGTAGACGAAGAGTTAACTCTAGAGACTCTGTGTGTGTGTGTGTGTGTGTGTGTGTGTGTGTGTGTGTGTGTGTGTGTGTGGTATGAGAGAGAGAGAGAGAGAGAGAATAGAAAAATGAAGTTTTGTACTAAAACAAACAGAATAAAACCTAAACTGAAGAATTTTAAGTAGTAGGTTAGTGAGTCTTTGTCTAACTCAATTTTCTGCAGGTTTGGAAGTTTTCATCACAAATTTGGAGTTGGAACAAAATTACAAGTTCATGATTTTAAGATGAGCATTTTTTTCCCGGGATCAAGACTTTCTCTTAAAACAATGAGAAAGCAGCCTGTTTTTTCACTGCATTTTAGACATTTCACTCTCATTTTAGACATTAAGTAACACTCTGTCTCCCACCTACATAATAATCGTGCTCCTGAGTTTGACTTAAAGTCCCTAGATATATTGCTGAATTGTACATTTGCTTTTCAGTTTTGTCCCGTAAAAATTATATGCTTTCAAACTTTTCTTTTTGACTGCCAATTTTAAGTTTCATACTCCTTAACATGTCCATTTTGCTGTGGTTACATCTGGTCACTGTTTTACTAGAAAGCCTTGGTGATACTCCAGGTTTTGACAAATCTTTCATGTTAATAAGATGGCCTTTCCCCAGTCATTTGTAAGACAACACAGAATTAAGTGATCAGTATTTGAATGTCAGTGCTCTCTTAACAATAAAGCACTAGTGAGTGTGTTCTATTTCCTCTAATAGTCTCCTGGTGGGTAGCCAACGACATTTCCCCCATCAATCACATGAAATCCGTGGGCCTTGGGCAGTTCTAATCTTCCATTCATAGTAAAACCTGGTTGTAGTTATAATGTCAACAGGTTCACAGGACCCTGAAGTCACCAGGCGTCTGTGACCTATGCTTTCTTTCTTTTCTTTTTTCTTTTTTTTTTTTTTTTTTTTTTTTTTTTTTTGGTTTTTCGAGACAGGGTTTCTCTGTATTGTTTTGGAGGCTGTCCTGGAACTTGCTCTGTAGACTAGGCTGGCCTCGAACTCACAGAGATCCGCCTGCCTCTGCCTCCCGAGTGCTGGGATTAAAGGCGTGCGCCACCAACGCCCGGCTGTGACCTATGCTTTCATCTCAGCTGTGTCTTCATGACACTGGATGTGAGAAGCTCTGAATACAGCCTACTGGGAAGAGTTCCATCACGTCAACATAAGGCAAAAATGAAGTTAAGAGCCCTTAATTATCGATATCCAGAGGTCAATGGAGCCAGAGAGGCTAACTGGATAACTGCAACCCCAGTGCAGGGAAGAGCAGCTGAGATTGAGGAGCTCCCCTATGACATGTCCACAGGACCATCACATGCTCAGCTGAACAGTCCTTGATGTCCCCAAGGTCAGCACATCTTTCTCCCTCCCCCACACGGACACATCACAGAGGGCATTTGGTGGAGGAAAAATGGGATTGCCATGGCTTAGGATGCCTTGACGTATCCCCAACCTCATATTTACTGGGAGACTACGCCAGAAGGAAGTGTTTTCATGCCTCCCACTCTCAACTCCCCCTCACTATTTATTTATCCGTCACGTGGGGAAGAAACCAAGTGGTTCTTTTGGGGAGGAGGGTCGGAAAACCTGTGAGAATATTTACCTAAAAGTAATTTAGGGAAATTTGATGTTTCAATATTGTGATAATACACGATGGACGTTGTAGTGGCAACAAATCCCATCACGGCCGGCATGAAAAGGTGGAGATGCCTGGACTCCCGCCGCCTAGAGAGAGCAAAACAATGTTGGTGTCTAAGGCAAAGGGTTCTAGAGAGTTCTTCATTGTGTTTCCAATCTTCGCACGAGAACTTACACAGCTGCATTTAAAATCCAGACTGCAATAGTTGTTGCTTAGAAAACACGTGAGTAAAACAGGGTCACACCTGTGAGATGCAATTGTGCTTACAGCAAAGCAACACCCACCCCCCATTCTGTATGTGTGTATATTAGTGAGGATACACACACTGGTGTGCAAATTGTGTGTCAAGGCAGATCTGCTGAGGTAATTTGATGATCAAAGCAGTAGAAACTATGAGCTGAAAGAGTGAATAGTTCAAGTATAGGGAAAAACATGTTTGAGGAAGCTTGACAGTGGAGACTGAAATTCAGAAAAATGCGGTTGACCATCATATCAAACAAAATAAGAGGCAGGAAGACAAATGCGTTTTCTCCCATGTATGGGCCCTGCTATTCTTTACAGACATGCAACACCATTTCCTTGGGTGTATTTTTACATCATGGAAGCAGAAGGGAGGTTAGGGTAATAGAGGAGATGAGCAGAGGGAAAGGGGAAGATCACAGGGAAGGCATGGACAGGCAGGGGAATAATGCATTCAGAGAAATTGTCAATATGAAACACAGTACTGGAGGGAAAGAATTTATGCCAATAAAAATAAAATAAAATAAAATCAATGCCCCAGTCTGAAAAGTGGTAGACAGGGCAAAGAATATGGAAATATACCAAAGTTTGAAACCATGCAATATGTTTAAAATTCTAAATAGTTTAATGTCGAACCAGAAATCTTAGGACAGGTTATATCCTGAAAGGCTTTGAACACCATGGAACGGGTTGGAATCTCTCTGAAGGGCCCCAACGAGCTTAGCAGTTAGAGCTTGTTCACACTTGCACTTTAAACAGGTTTATTTTGTGCTGTGGGTGGGATGGTGTTAGTAAATGTTGTAAGGGTTGTGGGGGAGGGAAGAGGCAGAGGGGGAGAGGCCACTAGACAGGCAGACACCATGAAGGTCTAAGTCTAATCTTAACAACAGTGACATGAAGGAAACAGGGCGCTTGGAGAAGGTCCGTTGAGACATTGGACATGAGTTGGTCAGTGTGAATTATAAAGGCAATAGAAATAAAGCTAGACTACAGTTGACCAATGCGAATGTACCAAGGCGATGACAGCAGGCTTAGATGACAATTACCCTCCTATCAGACAGGGTAAGAGAAGTGAGGGAGCTTTGGATGTATTTGTACAAACATACCAAAGAGTTCTGAAAAGCTTCCAATAAGTCAATGGTGAAAGAAACCTCCAATTGCTTTAAATAAGGACATGTATTAGAATCTCTGATTTCCCCCTTTTATCAGAAATAAAAGCCCACATGATGGCAAGGAGCCACTATGAAGTGTTATGGGAATGTTGCCTCCATGGCAGAACTCCCCAGTCCTTGCTAATTGCAGCAGGAAACCATGGAAGTGGCAAAGGAGGTCCTATGAAAGGAAAGGAAAATGGTTTTTGAGTTTCCTTTTTTAAAAACTTAAGAGGCTTCTAATACTGACTATTTATTTTTAGACAGGATCTCATTGTAGAGCCCCAGCTATCCTGGAACGCAATATGTAGATCAGGATTTCCTGGGACAGAGATCCGCCTGCCTCTGCTTCCCCAGTGCTGGAATTAAAGGTGTAGGCCACTATGCATGGCTCCAAATCAATGTTTGAGTGAAAGGTGTACCAGGGCTTAAGCATTTCCTACTGCTTGAGTTTAGTCTGTTATTACATGAGAAATATTTTTTCAAAGACTGTATTTATACTTATAAGTAAATTTCGTTGTATTTAATTTTCTAACATAAGTTTCTTTTATAAGAAGGACAAAATTCCACTAGAAATACGACTCATACAAATTGTGATGTTAAATTCCTCTTATCCTTTACTTCACTGTCTTTGTCTCGATGGCTCTTAGGTTCTTGTAAGGCCTGCCTCATCTATCTCTGTTTCTTTACAAAACAAATGAGAACATCTGAGAGTTGATGATCGTGTTAAACTATAAATGCATAGTTAGTCGAGCTAAATTCAGTTAATATCAAGACATATAGAGAGATACAAAGATATTTCATATCAATATAGATGATATGTATAAACCTTTTTTAAAGATAAAATACGTGTTACATGTTTCAAAGGACAGAACTTTCTGGATAAGAGAACAAAAGAAAATGAAAGCACGTGACTGAGCGCAAGCCACAAAGATCTGAAATTATGTAGCGAGATGAGAATGGAGTAAACCGCAGGGGGCAAGGGAGCAAGTTCAGCAGGTAAAGTGTTTACTGTGCAAGTGTGAACCTGAGTTTAGAACCCCTGTAAAAAGCCAGGCAGGGTAGCAGGCATCTGGAACCCCAGTGCTCCTGAGGAGTGGCGTGGGTGCTCACAAGGAGCAATGTGAGTGCTCCCAGAGGAACGATGTGAGTGCTCCTCAGGCGTGGTGTGCGTGCTCCCGAGGAGCAATGTGAGCTCTCCTGAGCAGTGTCAGTGCTCCTGAGGAAGGATGTGAACGTTCCTGAGGAGCAGCGTGAATCAGAGACAACTTGAGGGCCAGCTAGCCTGGCGTTTGCAGCGGCAATGGAATCACATGTCAAGCAGGCACAGAGTGAGGGCCAACACCAGAGGTTGTCCTCTCACCTTCCACATGCAACCCCCCCCACACGGATGTACATACATCCCACATGCACACACAAGACAGAAACAAACCCGCATGGTGATCCTGTCGGGTGGGTGACAGTTATCACAGCTAATTTAAGTCATGAATTGATTCCCCCCCCCAGACAAGCCAGGCGGTGTGCTCCGAGCTACTCCACGCGTCTACTCGCGTCCAGAGACACACTGGACCTGCCCGGTCACTTACGAGTCGGAAACAATGCCTTCTGCTATCTCGCAAACATGGACGAACAGGAGAGCGAATGTCAGAATCCATCTCAGGTTGTGTCCCGGAAAGTGAAGCCACGTGTTGTGATGGATTTGCACCTTCGAGCTTTGACTCCCCCATCCTGAGAGAGAAGGGGGGGAAACGTGATTAACAAAAGGGTCCTTACAGCCAGGAGTATAATTCACATTTTCGGATGTCGCCTGCTTTTGGGAAATTTCTGAAACCCTGGTGCCTCGCAGCAATGGAAACTCTGGTCTATTTCGTGACATTAAAAATAACTCTTTAAGTTAGCTTTACACCGCCATGGAGGCTCACACATGAACACATGCCACATGGCTCACAGACGACCCTCCAATTCTGAGAAGAGCAAGATCATAACCCGTGCACTTACAGCTTCTGACTCACCCGGCAAGACAAATGCGTAATTACAGTGTCAACGGAAAATAAGAATCTGTAGACCTTCAGGGAACTAACAAAAACACGTATTTGGTGATACAATACAGGACCCGCTTGTTGAATCAATTCTGAGTCACATGCCCATTTGTGTGTGTTTACATGTGTGGGAATGTGAGCACATGTGTGTCATGATATACATATGGAATTCTTTGCTGTCCACCTTGTTGGAGACAAGGTCTCTTACTGGTCACTGTTGACCTGTGAGCCTCTGAGGATTTTCCTGTCTCCCCCTCCCATCTCGATATAGGAGTGCCTAGGTTATAGACATGCAATAGAGCATCTTTTTTGCACGGGTTCTGAAAATTCAAACTCAGTTCCTTATGTTTGCCCAGTAATGTAGTGAGCTACCTCTCTGGCCCTGAATCCCACACCCATCATATGAAAAAATAAATGAGTATCTCTGGCTGGGCCAGCACTGCTCCACAAGCATACTACGCTTTTCCTCAAAGAAAGCTGACGTCAGGGCCTGTAGCGATGGTTCAGTGCTTAAGAGGGCATACTGATATTGCAGAGGACTAGAGTTTGGTTCCCAGCACTCCAGACAGGCAGCTCAATGGTGCCTATAACATTAGGTCCAGCAGATGTTCTGGCCACCATGGGCATCTGCAAGCATATAAATATAAATATATATACATATACGTGTATATGTATATATATGTATGTATGTATACATACACACACACACACACACACATTAAAATAAAATAGGTGCCTTGGGAAGAATTGAGAATACCATTGGTTCATCCTAAACTCACAACAGAAGGAAAAACAGTAATTACTTCTTGTCAAATTTTAAGGCTTTCCTACCCAAACTGTAGGTAGAGAGAATATCATCACTTATGGTACATCAGAACAGAAACCCCATAGTGGCATCTTGCCTTGTCAGTGAATTTGCAGTAATGGCCACACCCTTTGGGTGTGGTCTCAGGTACGGACATGACCCCTTTAAGGTAGAAGAGTGGCAGGCATGCCTTTTCTGGGACCCCAAACTGCAGTGAGGCTGGTGCATGGTTGTCTCTGGAATTCCAGCCAGCCAGCCAAGCAGGCTGATAGTGGGAATCAACCCACATGGGCACCAATTGAAGCCAGAGGTTTCTGACCTGACTGATCCCACAGTTGATTTGCCCAAATAAATACACAGAGACTTATAATAATTTATAAACTGAGACCGGCATTGGCGGCGCACGCCTTTAATCCCAGCACTTGGGAGGCAGAGGCAGGCGGATCTCTGTGAATTAGAGGCCAGCCTGGTCTACAGAGTGAGTTCCAGGACAGCCTCCAAAGCAATACAGAGAAATCCTGTCTCAAAACAAACAAACAAACAAACAAACAAACAAAAAAGTATTAACTGTTGACCGATGGCTAGGGTTTCTTATTGGCCAGCTCTATCTTAATTATTAACCCATTTCTTTGCCCTTCTGATGCTCTTCGAGACCCAAGAGAGTGCGTGCTGACCACTCCTCTACCTTATAAGGGTCAGGTCCACCCCAGAGACCACACCCAAAGGGTGTGGCCACTACTACAAGTTCCCTGGCAAGGTAAGATGACACTACAAATCCCACCTCTATGTTTTGCCCTCTTCTTTCTTTCTAGATTTTGACTACACAGATGTATAGCTTATTTCAAAAATGAATGAGGATCTGTGCTAGAAATATTGCAAGAAAGAAATTCTGCGTAGACAAAGGGAACTGCAGCAGAACCTCTGAAAAGAAAGCCGACTCACATCTTAGTGCTCCCAAATGTAGTTCATAACGGGGAGGTAAGTCCCACTAACACACCTTCCTGTGCTCTGCCCTCTCCCTCCAGCAAGCAAGCTCTGTCGCTCTCCTGGGATGTTACAATTTCCCTAGGATGTGACACTTCTTTCACACTAGCTAAGTGGCCAACGCCATAAGTGAGCATTCCATCAGTCCTTCTGTTTAAATATGGTAGTGGTCAGCCTCTGTGATGCCATTAAAGGGTGACGTCACAGGCCAACTTCAGGTCAGACTACGAATTATTAGCTACAGACCTGCATTAAAATAACAACGCTTTCAGATACCGCTACATAAAATATGAGCAGTGCTTCCACTCTCTGGTCCTGGAACATTCAGTGTCTATACATTTATTTAACCTGATTAGCAATGCACCAAGAATCATACTGGTCTCTCTGTACACCACAAGACAGATGGCCTCTGTCGGGATGTTAACCCATGGCACCTGTGTGAGCTTGCTTCTCTGTTGCCGTGATAAACACCGTGACCAAAAGCAACCAAAGCACCCTGGATGGGAAGCACTTCGCTCTTCTTACACTTCATAGTTCATCGGCAAGGGGAGCCAAGGAGGGAACTCACGGTAGAATCTTGACGCAGAATCTCATTTGGTGCCTTGGCCTCAGCTACCTTTCTCATACGGCCCAAATCCACCTCCTAGGGATGGTTCTGACTGCCCCACAATGATGAATTCTAATGTAGAATTGATAGCCAAAGAAGCTTTTCTTTTCCCTCCTTACTTTTGTCAAGGTACTTGGTCTTATACTAATCTTAATTATTTCATACATAGCAATGGTTTAAAATGTACGAGCTAAAAAGCCTGCTTTTTCCAATTGTGGTTGTGATGCCCAAAACCTCCGCAGGAGACTAAGACAAGAGGATTGTAAGATAAGGGTAGACTGGGCTGCATATCAAGCGCCAGATGTCTGAGAGTGTAACAGAAACTTTTCTCAGGGAAAATAAAAACAAAAACAAAAAAAATAGTGAAATGATCTATTTTGGTTGTTTGCAGGAAGCTCCAAAAAAGTATATATAATTGCCCTAAATAATTGTGTACATGTGTAAGTGGCTAAATGAAGTGTATTTACAGGCTTTTTTGTTTGTTTCCTGAGTCAGCATTACTATATAGTCCATTATGGTCTGGAACTCATGACCATCCTCCTGCCTTAGCCTCCTAGGGGCTGGAATTATAGGTCCCAGCTACCACACCCAATAAACTTTCTAAATGATTTTCATAAGACTTCTTTCCTCCCTAAGACACAACCTAGCAGTCTCCTTCTTTCAAGCCCCAGATGTGCCACTGTGATCATTCCCTCCACCCCCAGGAGGCAGATGCTCTGGCAGGTGAATGCCCAGGGAGTTTGCAAAGAGGCTGACATAATGGAGTCGATACGGCTCATGGGCTCCTGTGGTCTGCACTGGAGGTGAGAGCTCTGTCCTGCCCGTTTCAATCCTGTCTCGTAGCATGAAGCACACAGTCCATGGATGCTTTAGCTCTGTCTCACGGAATTGTCTCCTCGCTCCTTTATAAAGGGCTGCCGCAGCACTGCCGGCACGTACACGTGGAATGTTCTGTAGCATGTATGTATAATTCAAACACACAGAGCAGCATCGCACTGTCCTCACAGACTCACACGTCAGCTTTCAGGGTGGAAGACTTAACTCAGCATTACCCAGGATGTCAGCCATCAGTGAGGCAGCAGTGGGAGGTGCTGTGACACGGGGCACTTGATGACTCACCGATGAACAGTATCGGGAAGGTGATGAACAGCAGGAAGACGTGAGGGACCAGGTTGAGGGCATCCACAAAGCAGGGGTTCTGGAGAACACCGTGATAGATGTTATAGGAGGAGATGTTGTTCCCACAGAAAGACAGACTCATTTCTCCTGATCTGGTTAGCCTGAAATGGAGAAAACACCATCCTAGTGAGCATTAAACTTTCTTTCCTAAAATGATGGCTTTAAGTTAAGGAACTTCCTCAGGTCTGAGAGTCAGACACCTTTTTGGTCATGCATGATTCAATGGCTTTATTATAGCCACAGACTTGTGGAGCGGTCACCAAACTAATTTTAGAAAAGTTCATCACATCCAAAGAAACTTAGTGTCCTTTAATCTACCTGTTTCCATTTTCTCATCCTCCCTCCTTAAGAAAGGAATAACTATTTTCTCTCCTTTAATTTTCTCTTCTTTTCCTACTCTCTCTCCCCTCTCTCTCTGTCTCTCTGTCTCTCTGTCTCTGCCTCTCTCTCTCTCTCGTGTGTGTATGTGTGTGTGTGTGCGCGCATGTATGTGTATGTGTGTGTATGTTTGTGCATGTGGTGTGTGTGGGTGCGTGTGTGCATGTGTGTGTGCATGTGTGTATGTGTATGTATGTGGTCCGTGTGTGTGTGTTTGTGTGTGTGTGTCTGTGTGGTGTGCATGTGTGTGTGTCTGTGTCTGTGGTGTGTGTGAGCATGTGTGCATGTTTGTATGTGTGTGTGCATGTGTGTATGTGTATGTATGTGGTGCGTGCGTGTGTGTGTGTGTGTGTGTGTGTGTGTGTGTGTGTGTGTTACAGCAGGCACTTGGGGGTCAGAGGACAACTTGCAGGAGTCAGTTCTCTCCTTCCACCACCTGGGTTTTGTGTTCAAACTCAGGTCATGAGTCTTGGCAGCCGGTGACTTCATCACTGAGCGTCTTACCAGGCCTTATGCACTTCCTCGACAGTATTCTAAGCACCAAGTTGAGTAACTTTCTATGGTACCATCTCTACCACATTTCATTTATCTTTTCTTCAGTTGACAGATATCCAGTGTGTTTAGACTTCTAGCTGTTATGAAAACGCCACTAGAAATATTCGTAAATCCAAGGCGCTCTGCCCAAGTTGAGATGAAGTCTAGCTGCTGAGCTGGAGGTCAGTGTCTCAGCACAATGAGAGTAGGGGTGGGTGGGAAGGAAGCTCGAGGCTTCGCGCCAATCACTTCGAGGATTCAGCTTCCGCCCTGTGTCAGTGTGAGCGTGGGCTGTGCTCTGGCTTTGATTTGAAGTAGAAGACCTTTCTCTTTGCTAGGATGGGAAGACTGCAGAACCTGCCCCATCAAAGTAAGACCTTGGGACCCCTCGTCTTCTTTCAGCAACCTGAACCCCTTTGTATGGCATCTACTACTTAAAAAGCAACTTCTTAGTTCTTGGGGCTGCCCATGTCCTATCCGAAGTCCTCAGAACAAGCATGTAAGACAGTGATGTGGTGGGTATTTTACAGCAAACTGTTCTGAGCTTTGGGTAAGTTCAGTCCTTTGTCAACCAGGAGACAACTTGGGACATGCACCCACTTGTCAGATTTATCACCTGTGCCTTTCCACATCGCCACCCACCCGTTTTTCTACAGAACTGATCTTAACTATTCACATTAAAACAAGTAGCAGTGTAAGAGTTTAACCTCTGCAGATTTATATTGGATTCTAAGTTATGGTATCACGACTTAGTATTTTATCAGCAGCACCTGTCTTGTTTTTCTTTTCATTGGTCATTAATTTAGTAACAGACATGTGATTTTTTTCCCTAAAAATAAGATGAATAATGTGACACAGAGAATACTGACAATAGTAGATAAATTGTTAGGAAAATCACATTTCCTTCAGAGGTTTTAAAAATCATTTCATGAACATAAGTAACTAGTTGGAAAGCTTGTGTGATTATAGTCCAAATGTTTGTATATAACCAGTCACATCTGATAATTCCTCTTGAGATCTTTGAAAAAATTATACTTTCAAAACAAATTCAAAATTTGGCCATATAACTGATAAATCATTACACACTATAAAAAACTTCATATGGGAGAAAGAACTGAAAATTTTCAATGAATGACAAAACGGAAGATATGCATTCACATGTGTGTATTAGTGGATATATTTTGATAAAGACAGAAAAGCAATCTAAAAATAATAGCTAATAAGATTTTAAGATTATTTCCTTGTATTAAGCAAGGAAACGATAAAATGAAACTTTAAGTCATTTGCTTGTTGTTTGTTTGTTTGTTTGTTTATACAGTGCAGGACACAAACCCAGGGCATTGAACTTGCTGGGCCAATGCTCTATCACTGAGCATATGCTCTGTCCCCAGCCCTTAAGTTCACATTTCACAGAGAAATCTAGAAGGTTCTATTTCCTCTGCTGCGATTCCTGAGCCTCGCCCTGGTTCCCAGTTTCTCTGCTTCTTACACAGGTCTCCATGTTCCCTTTAGACATCTCTTCTGCTCAGCCCACTTGACCTTTGGTTCCTTTCTCTAAACCCTGCTGTCTAGGAAGCAAACCAAAAGGTGGGAGAAAAGGAAACCCGTTGCAGATATATTAGTTTCTTGGTCCATCAAAGATATTGAATCAAGATGGTGTGTGTGTGTGTGTGTGTGTGTGTGTGTGTGTGTGTGTGTGTGTGGTAGAACACCTGTGTGTGTTGTCCTAGGATTCGAATCCAGAGCCTCCTGATGCTGGCCATTCACACTACAAACCAAACTACACCCCAGCCATCTAATACATCCTTAAGTTTCCAAACAGTGTCTCGGTTTCCATTCCAGAGTTCAGGCTGCTATGAGCATTTGGGGAAGGCCATACACTAATGCTCTTGAGAGCTAAACTGTCATCCATTTCTGGTGTCCCTCCCCCTGGATCTGTTTAAGCTCAATTCTGCCCAGAAGTCCCAGCAACCAGAAGAGGACCAGAAGGGAAAACAGAACATCTTTCTTCCCATGCACGTAATCCCTTTGAAAGATAGTTAAGTGTTTATAATAGTCGTCAGGGTTGGGAAATTGAAAGAGACAAACTTTGAAACAAAGATCAAAAGTGAAACTTTGACTATGGGATGGCTCGCAGAACAGAAAACAGAGGGGAAAACATTTCTGTATAGCCTAACTTCTAGTTTCCTAGAGAGAGCAGCAACTCAATATGCTTGCTTAGTCCTGGATTTGCCCTATGTGAAGTTCCACAGCCCCTGGGATTTATAAAATGTGGTATTGATTCATAACTCTAATAATTCATCTATCAACTCCATTGATACTTCTACAGGAGTACAACAAAGGCTAACTGATCCAATTCTAGAAACATGCTAAAATATTAAATTGTATCAGGATGACCAGTTACATTCGCCAGCCTCCTTCTAGACTACTAGTGAGTGAAAAGCAGCCACCCAGCTGTGACCCATTGACAGCTGCAGCCAACCCCAGGCTCTGGAAACATCTGGAAACAACATGCACAGGCCGGCTTTCTTTCTCCCAGGTGAAACAACCACTCCTGAGTTACTTAGCACTTAGCACATCCTTTGAAGGCACCTAAGCGTCACTGTTACCCAGGGCACTCTCGGGATGTCTGTCATTTACAAAAGCAAATGCTGCAATCACTTCGTTCACATTTCCCTGTGGAGAGCTCACAAATCAAAGGAGTCTAGCTTCTATTCAGATCCAAGTAGGAAATTTCCTAGCAAAAATGACCACTGACTCGATTGATTGTGCGTTCATTTACCCTTTCAGGGGCTGTGACATTCTGGGACACAGGAAAACCAACGCTGGGACTCCCTCCACAGATAAGACTTCTTAGACACTGTAAGCCACACGGAGCAAACAAGCAGAAAATATATTAATAAATAATAAATACCTTGAGCTTGGCTTCTGTGCTCGGTCCCCCTACCGGTCACTTCAACTACCTTCCAAACGCCAGCCCACAGTCTGAAGCCGTAACTTTCAAACCAGTACACCCAGCTCCTAGAGAGCAAAGAGGGACAAATTCAATCTATAGAAAGCTGCTTCGTGAGTGACACAGGGGATGGCTAAGAAAGTCTATGTATTTATCAGCGACACCTTCCCCTGTTTCCAGTAGGTTCAGGCTCCAGCCGGCAGGGTTGTGTAAAGCAGACGGGAAACTTGATCCACACTTTCTCTTCTCCGGCCAGGGCCCTGTCCTCTGGATCCTAGAACTAGCGAACGCTTTTACTGAGCAGATACTAGATCAAAATCAACAGCTTACAGCCAGGGACTCCTCCCAGTGGTCTGTGGTCGTTCTGTAGCAAGCCGAGGAGCTCACGCACTCCATGGGACGACAAGTTTCCCTCCCGGGTCGGTCGGCAGCCGGCGGGTGGATTATTTTTAGGGTGGTGGGAGGCCAGCTGCTGCCTCCTATCGCGTTTCTCCTCTGCGCTGCGCAGCGCTGCAGGCTGGGGCGGACACCGCCGCGCCCAGGCAGGAAACTGCAGGAGCCCAGGGTGCATCGCCTGAGACCGGGGACCCTCCCCACCCGGGACCCTCTCCTGAGACCGGGGATACTCCCCATCCGGGAGCCTCTCCTGAAGCCGGGGATACTCCCCACCTGGAGTCCTCTCCACCCGATCCTCCCCAACCAGGACCATCCTCACCCGGACCCTCCACCACCCTTCCCCCAGTCACTTTCTGCTCCAGAGTTGCTCAGCGAGGGGCGAGCGCAGCGGAGATGTGTCAACCCCACCCCACGCCGCAGCAAGCCGCGGCCCCCCAAACTCCACTAGATGGTGGAACTTGCAAAAAACCGACTCTCGAACCCTAAAAAGAAGGGTTGTCAGATATGAAAACCCGTAAGGTGCCAGTTTTGTGGGCAGCCTTTGCTTTGACCACCTAGGGGGAGGTGCTATTTATTCCCCCACCTTCGTCCCCAGCGGAACTGGGAGCTGAAGGGTTCATTCAAGGTTGAAGAACCCTCCACCGGGCTAAGTAGGCACGCTGAGCAGGCGCAGGGCAGACTGATCGGTGATCCCAGGACTTAACTGCTCTCCAGACCGACTGCCCTGGCCTGATCACCCTGAACGCATGACTTTGATCCTGAGGTCCTGAACTTGAGCTTTCATCAACTCAGATGCAATTAACTCTGGAAATAACATAACCTGCTTAAGACAAGTTCAGTGACGGCAGGCTTTGGTGGCGCTCTTCTGGAATACCAGCATTTGGGGAAAAGATGCAGGGAGTTCAAAACCAGGAGCAGCTACACAGAGGGCTAGAGGCCAGCTACACACACACACACACACACACACACACAGAGAGAGAGAGAGAGAGAGAGAGAGAGAGAGAGAGAGAGAGAGAGAGACAGAGACAGAGACAGAGACAGAGAGACAGAGAGACAGAGAGACAGAGACAGAGAGAGACAGAGACAGAGACAGAGAATGAGAGAGAGAGAATATGCATGTGAACTACTCTACAATAACTTTTCCTCCGGAAATTTTTTAAAACTTTTTTTGGGGGTGAAGGTTTCAAACCCTGGCTTGGACTCGTACTCGCAGTAATCCTCCTGATTCAGCTCCTGTGACTATTAGGATTACAGATGTGTGCCACCACCACACTGGATTTTTGATCCCACCAACTTCAATAAAAGCCTTGGAGATTCCCAAGGGCCGGTTCGGAGTCCTCTGCGGTAATGTGTGTCCGATAAGGGATGTAGTCGCGGACGGGCTGGTGCCTATGAGGTCCGGCGTGCTGTCCCCTAGAGGCCCTCATCTCCAAGCTGAACTCAGAAATCCATGACCTCCTGGCCCCCAGGAATTGGTTGACAAGCTGGCCACACAGCACAGTGAGTCCCGGGGGAGATGAGAACGAAGCCGCTTTCTGGGAAGGTCGATGCGGCCTTGGCCAGCTTCCGGGCTGCAATGTGCCACTGCCAGGGGCCTGCAAGGCCAGAGAGAGTGGCACCTGGGAGGGTCCTGGGACTGATCTTCTAGCCACAGAATGCCATTCAATTTTGCACTATGGTGAGCCTTTGGGCCCGGAGGAAGAGAGTGTGATCCAGGAATAGGAAATCTCAGGATCGTGTTTAGAAGGTGCAGACACCAAGTCCGGAGAGAAGTGGGAACTGGTAGTCAATGCCAAATACAGTCTGAATGGGAATATACAAAAGGAAGTTGAGCTGGGGAGGTTTTTTTAATATTACTGTTACTGAGGCTGGAGTCACTGTAAGAGTGCTTGATGCTCTTGTTAGGTTCCCAGAACTTCTGTGGGAATTCACAACTGTCTGTAAGTCCAGTTCCAGGGAACCTGATGCCCTTTCCTGGCCTCTGAAGGCACAAATGTTGCACACACATATTGTCAGGCAACCACGCATAAAAATAAAAATAAATCTTAAAAGGGAATTATCACTGTTTTTGAAGTTACACATGAAAATATATATGAAACAAAACACATGGGAGGCTGATGGAGAAAATCTTCAAACAAGCCTGGGATATAGAATAACACCAAGAAACTATCCACAGATACCTAGGTAGACGATACACAGATAAAATGGGTAGATAAAGATGTGTAATAAAGATGACAGACAGTTGATAAATGGTGAATAACTCTAGATATCATGGAGGGTGGAGAGATGGCAGACAGACAGACAGACAGACAGACAAACGGAGAGGATGAAGCAAGCAAGAGGGCATGGGACACTAGCTAAGCTTCTGGTTATCGCTCACACTCATTGTCTCCATGATTGGACAAGTCCGCCAGTCCTCCTTCCCTCCGTGGAACAAACCACGGCTCATGTGTCACAGGCTTAATGTAAAGGTAGACGACCTTTACACTTATAATCAGATTCCTTCCCTACAATCAGCATCAACGAGTGTGCTGCTCTCACACTATTTTTGCTATGTGTGTTTTTATTATTGGCAACAACACATAATCTGTGTCTTTTACAATGCTGGTACATACCCTCATTCCCAGCACTCAGGAGGCAGAGGCAGGAAGATCATTACGAAAGACCAGCCTGGTCTATATAGTGAGTTCCAGGCTAGCCAGGGCTTTATAGCGAGATCCTGTCTGGAAAAAAAATGCATTCTCTGAAGAGTAATTATGGGATCAAAAGTGGGAGGCTGTGGGAACCAGCACCAGATTGCCAGCTGTGTTCTACAACAAGACAAGCATCCAATGTTTTCATTTTTTAAAAAAACCTGAGTTCTTCAGGGTCTCCAATATAAGTTGACCTGGAACTCTCTACATACCTGAGGACGACCTTGGACTTCTGACGGTTTCCCTCTACCTCCTGCATGTAGAAGTTGCACCTTCACACTTAACTGAGGCAGTGCTGGGGTTTGAACCCAGAGCCTTGCTCATGCCAGGCAAGCACTCTACTCTGAGCCATCGCCCTTGGCCCCTTCACGTTTCTCCGCAAGGAATGCTGGGTTAGATTTATTGTCACGCTCCCCATTGCACTGTACTCCAATAATAAACACTGGCCTCCTTTTATGCTGAGTATGAGCGCTTTGGTTTTTTATTCTGGGATTTATTTTGTCTTAGGCTTTGGGATGAGAACTGGTGTATTTTATACATTATACCAGTACTTCTCTTCTGTCCCAACATGTAGAGCTGTCCTTGCTGTGTGCACGTGACAATTCTGTTGTGTGTTTCTATGCTCCTTACACTTTTCAACTGATCCATTTTCTGCTTTTTATGCTATAACTGTAATCAGACTGATTCTATGACTATGGCTATATATGTGTGTAAATTTTAAACCTCATCATAACCAGTTTCCATTGCATTTTTTTTATTCTCTTCTTGGGTTCCATTAAATCTAAGAAGTTACCAAGAGTCCTGATGGCTTCCATCCATGCCACCCCCCTCACTCGTGTTAAGTTTGCACATTCCTTGTGAAGTCCTATAGCGTGAAGGTCACCATTTTATTTTCATGCTTTGCCTCACTGACTGTATTTATCTTAGGGCCCAGTATGTGGTAAGGTTTCTTAACAGCCTGTACCTGACACTCTCTCAAAGACATGCACTTACTGGCATTTTGCCTCTAATTTTAATATATTCTAAACCAGCAAAATATAGGACATTCTTCTCTGCAAAATGTAGTTTATAGTGTGTGTGTGTGTGTGTGTGTGTGTGTATGGTGTGTGGTGTGTTTGTGTGCAGTGAGTGTGTGGTGTGTGTGTTGTGTGATGTGTGTGTGTCATTGGGGTATGTGTGTATGTGAGTGTTGTGCTATAGTAAGACAGCATATCTTACTATATATAACCCAAGCTGGCCTTGAACTCACAGTAATCAACCTGCCTCAGTCTTCCAAAGAGTGGAATCTTAGGAGTAAGCCACCACACTAGGTTATTGTGATTATTTTATTTTAATCAATTTTTTCTAAATTTTTAATTGTGTGAATATGTGTTTGCCTGTATGTGGGTATATGTATGTGAGTACAGTGTCCTCAAGTACCAGAATAGGGCATCAGATCCCCTGTAGCTAGATAAAGATCATAATACAAGTGTATTATGATCATAATACAGGTGTATTATGATCTTTATCTTATAGTATTGCACTTAACAAAGTTGATTTAAAATATATATTGTAGGTTTGGAGAACTGGCCCGGTGGTTAACGGCACATACTGTTCCCGCAAGAGACCAGAGTCAGTTTCCCAGCACCCACATCAGGTGGCTCTTACAGACGTAATCCTAAGCGTTTGACACAACCATGATACCACCGATAACGGAACATTCTTATGTCTCTAGGAGGCTTCTTCGCTGAGTCTTTAACTCATCAGTCTATCTGTTGCCTATCTAGATGTCTTAGTTAGGGTCTCTATTGCTGCAGTGAAACTCCATGACCAAGCATGTTGAGGAGGAAGGGTTTATTCAGCTCACACTTCCACACTGCTGTTCATCACTGAAGGAAGCCAGGACAGGAACTAAGCTGGGCGGGATCCCAGAGGCAGGAGCTGATGCAGAGGTCATGGAGGGTACTGCTTACTGGCTTGCTTCACATGGCTTGCCCAGTCTGCTTTATTACAGAACCCAGGACCACCAGTCCAGGGATGGCACCACCCACAATGGGCTGGGCCCTCCCCCATTGATCACTAATTGAGAAGATGCCCTACAGCTGGATCACATGGAGGTAGTTCCTCAATTGAGACTTTTTCCTCTCTGATGACTCTACCTTATGTCAAACTGACACACACACACACACACACACACACACACACACACACACACGCACACACCCAGCCCAATGGGATAGACACTTTACTGCCCATCTCTTTTTGCTCCTTGTCTGTGTCTTCCGGGTTGACCACAGACTTTGCGTTGTTTCCTGATAAATACACAGCAGCACTAAACACAGGTCTTTGTCAGTCAGCCTCCCATCACTGTGACAAGGACCCCAGATAAGCCAGCTTTAAAGGAAGAAAGGTTGGGTTTGGCCCAATGTTTCAAGGCTCTGCCTTTGCTGTGGGCCTGTGGCGGCAGAGCGCGTCATGAGGGGCTGTGCAGGGGGAGGTCTGCTCCCCTCGTGGCCACCGTTT